TGCTGCGGCGATCAAGACGGTTAGCATTTTGTTGGCCATTGGCCACACACCCTTAACCTGAAGGCAAAGGTCTTCAACGGAGGACCTTGCACAGTTGAAGTGGACACTGTACGCCACATCCACCCGCACCACATGGAAGCTCGCCAACATTCTGGAAGCTGGCCTTTACTGGCACGGTAGGCGAGGATTGCACCACGGACCACCAACCCGTCACCCTAGAGCGCCCGTCGGCCCCAAAACGCCCTCTCAGCCGCTGGGGCGGTGTTTGGACCAGGGCCTAGTGTGAGGTCGATTGACGGCCTCATTCGCGAGAACGGGCTCGCTCGGGGTGATCGCTCGACTTGTCTTTTGACCTTCCCTTTCCGAGCCGCAAGCCGTAGTCGATTTCTGCTGGCATGTATGCAACCCTGGACAAGCCCCGTTAGCTAAGGTCCGGCTCTGGGAGATGAGAGTTGATTACCTTGCTGCGATGAGCAGCCACTCCCCTCCCCCTCTCTTCCGAAAAGGGGACCCCGTTTGGAAGATTGTGCACTCCGCCACAACGCTTCTTCCCTACCTAGTCCGTCATGGAGCTTAGGAGCTAGGGAGGTCTCGGCCGGCTGGCGGGAATATACGCCGCCGAAGGATCGATCCCGGCGAGCCGCTGTCAAGAGCATGCCACTGCCACCTTTGCAGCTCGACTTTTGCCGCGAGGCTGTGGCGTCGGAGCGCATTCGAGGTCTGAGTGAGCGGCACAAGCCTGCTCCGAGATACGAGCACACAGACTTTCGTACAGTACTGTACTGTACATGCATGTTATCCTTGTTCTCACATCTCATCTTTCTTGTCTTGTCTCCTCTCCACCCGTCATTCACTAGCTTCGGTTGGCTTACCGACTGCGGCGTCGTCGGGGGTCTGGTGCTCACCCCCCTCCGTCTTCCCCCTTCCCCCTTGGGGTGCTTGGGGCTCCGCGGCGCTGCAACGGCTCGCCCTCGGGCCACGGGCAGGAGGGCACGAAACGGCTGCGTCGGTCGGTTCCCCCGTGGCACAAGCACATGTATGAGTATGCACTGCGCCGTAGCAATGACCGGCTGCCGGAGGCGGCGATGAGACGAGGAGCTAAATATAGCGCGACGGGCCGTGTTGCTGAGCAGATGATTAGCAAGCAAGCAAGCAGAGACAGAGACAGAGCTTGTCTGGTTCCGACGCAGTCGTCGTGGCGGCGCCGCTCTCGTCAGCAGCGGGAAGAGAAGCAGCTGGGAGAGAAGAGGCTTTTTTGCCGGCTGCGCGAAGCACCTGCCGTCCCCTACCGAGGACAAGGTGCTTGTCACTTGCGGTCGGGTGCAACTGCGCAGACCTGCCGAGGTATCCGAGACTTGTTCCTTACAGTATTACCCGCTGGCAGGTGGAGGCAGCTCCGGAGCCTGGCAGAGGCGTTCCTCGTCTAATCTGTGCCGAGTACGAAGTAGAGGCACATGCTTCACTGGGACGGGCATGGTGCAGCCGCCTGTAGCCAGTACTCGACCCCCCCACAGCCATCACTAAGCCAGCCAAGGTCGTACTCGAGGTAACTCCCCATGCGTCGCGAGAAGGCAGGAAGGTGCCTTGTAAGTTAGGAGGAGCTCCGGAAGGAGGGGAGAGACGGCGAGGGAATCTCTGTCGCCAAGTGTCCTCGCCATGGCACTCTCCCCCTTTCGCCCCATCTGAACCGTGCTGGTCGATCCGGCCCGGCGACGACGACGCGCCTTTCACCGCCAACGAAAACCAATAACGACGAAATCCAACGCTCCATGGCGCTGCTAGAGCTCCCGTCCGAGCTCCCGTCCGAACGGCACAGGAACCCTCCATGCCCTCCCGTCTTGCGCGCTGCCCTGCGTCGCGTTGCGTTGCGTTGCGTCGCCGCCCGGCCGTCCCCAACAGCCGTCATTTCCTCGTCAGATATTAATGAGCAACCACGGACACGCAGCGTCAGTTTCACTGGCCGCCTCCTGGCGCCGCCCGTCGACGAGTCGAAGCAAGGGGCCCGTCTTCCAGCGCCATTCTCAGCCCACGTTGCTGCTAGCACCAGACAACGCACCTTGGATCAGCGACGTCGCCTGCGGCCCTTGCCGTCGGCCTGGCTAAAATATCATCAGACATGGGCCACGAGACAAGCGGTTGACAGCAGTCATGAGGAGCCGGCCGGCACGCCACTTTTCTCACCACGGCCCCGGGCGCCGCAACACGCTGTGTAATATGTCAGGCACTCGGCGCTAGACTTGGTGGTATTGGACTGCTGCTGGCGCGGTACTCGACATCGTGCATGCATGCACACATACATGATGTATCGGTGCACGCACAGGGGGGAGGGCGTGCGTCGTGCTGCTGCTGCTGCTCATCTCTTGCTCCTCCTCCTGCCGCTGCTGCTGCTCTCCGGCGAGGGGACAATCGAGATCACCTGGGGCAAGGGACCTTGTTCCGGCGGCTCGCTCGGCTCCAGACCGAATTCTCCACCCTCGCCCGATACACACACAGCTCTCAGACTCGTCACCCTCCCTCCCTCACGGATACTGCCGCTCCATTGGCGAGGAGGTGCCATCCCGGTCCGCCACTTGGGCGGGCACAGACTCCAGACCTTGGCACTCCTCCCCCTCGCTGCGAGTACTTTCCTTGCGGCCTGCTCTTCGGCTCTGGCGGCGGTATCTTGCAGTCGCGGCGCTGTCCCTTCGCAACCGACCCCAAGCGGGAGCCCGGGGCAAGACCTCAGACCGTGTGGTGGTCCTTGGAAACCGATTCGCTCACCACCCACCCATGGGTCAACGGCTACTGGCGCCGCGCGTCTGGTTCCAAGAGCAAGCGAAAAGATCCGGTAGGGCCTTGTGGCTTTGGCGGGCCAGGCCAGCCCGGCCTAGCGCCTCTCTGGCCATCATCTTGGCCAGCCAAACCCACCACGCCCGCTCCGTTGGCCCGTCACGTTACAACATCGAGTACCAACTACCTCTCCGGCTTACACGCTCAGTGGCTATCTCGACCCGTTGATCGACGCCTGGTGTGTGCCTCCCTGTCTGGGCGACACCCGGCTCCACGAGAGCCATCAGTCTCACCCTCTCGTCCAGGCCCTGTCCCTGCTCGTAAGTCATCGACTCCCGTCCCAAGCCGCAAGGCCAGACGGCATGTTTCTGAGCCCGGATGCACGGCGCCCAAGAGGAAGGAGCATGTATCCTGCAGCCAACAGCATCCTCTTCCCATCGCCTCCACTCCCACCAAGACTGATCCCGGAGCTCTTGGCGCATCGTCAACCACGCGAGCATAATGCGTTCTACTGAAATGCCAAGTTTCATCGGTCGACGACTGTCGTGGGCGAGCCACGGAGGGAGAGATGCGATAGCGACTACTAGTCTTGCCACAAGCACCTAAACTACTGCACCGTGCGTCTGCGTGCACATCATGCCAGGATTGGCGTCTAGGGTGCCCGTCCCCCCTCCCCCCCAGCAGAAGCCACATGCCGAGCAAAGCTTGGCATGATCGGTTCAGAGGCAGCACCCAGTCCAGTCCCTTGTACAGGGTACAGTACATGGCCGGCCAGCTTCTGCTCCCGGCTGGCTCGCCCGCGCTCTAGCACTGTGGGCCGTGATGCTTAAAAGTCGTGTTAGGCTCGGCGAACCGGGGCCCGGCCACGTTTGCTGCCGACGACCTGCCGTACGAAGCGAGGACACAACTTAGACGACGTACTCTGTGTCGCTCGTCATCCGGTCCAAGGCGACCAGCTTGGCACCTATGCTCGCAACATCCGTACGCCCGCCTGGGTTTCCCGCTGCCAAGGGGTCGCCTCCTCCGTCCAACACAGACGCACGCCCTTGTACATAGAGTACGTAGGTAAGTGTGTGTGTATGTATGCGCTCTGCGGCAGCAGCATGGCATCGGCCGCGCCCCACGGCTCCCAAGAGAGAGTGGCAGGCCGAATTGAGTCGCGACCGGGATATTTGGGTTGCCTCCTGCTGATGGCAACGACACACTGTAGTCTGGGATCCCAGCTCTGGTCGAAACCCGTTAGCGGCTTGGGTATGCGGATTCGTACATACATACACCCAGACAAGCTGTCCAGGGTTCCGTCGACGTTTTATCCCCCCATGCCACCACCCCCTTGTCGATATGTTCAAACGATAATCCCCGAACTTGCTTTAATGCGCGGAGACTTCCAGCTGATGACGAGCGAGCACCGTGTTCCGGTACTCTTGCCATAGCCTGAGGCGGACGGGTAACCATATAGAAGGCACACTCCGTACGTGCCCGAGCTCCTCACGCTCCGCTGCCTGCCAAGTGCAAGCGTCCATCGTTCTCGAAGCCGTCACCGACACGGCACTCGAGTCCGCAGGCTTGGATTGCCACCGTTGAGCTCGATATCATCCCGTGCCTTGATAATCGACTCTGACAGCAGGCCTGGCGGACTGTGTCTGGCGTGGACCGTTCGTTCGTTTGGGCGTCGCCAAGCTCCCCAAAGCTGTCGAGAGCTCGACGAAGCAGCACCCGCTTTTCTGGCAGGCTGGTCAACAACAACGGAGCCGGGCCCGCGTCCAACCTTTGATCCCCTCGCCATCTCGTATCCTGGTCGACTGGAGAGTGCCGGGGAAGAAAGAGCCGACGCAGCAGTCGCATGCTCATATCGCGAAACGGAGCGGCCTGGAGTAACACAAGGGCTGCGGAGCAACCAGATACACGGCCATCGACGTGATCCGGTTTCCACTGGCCCCTGCCCGGAGAGCCACCAGATTCTGCTTTTGGATTGGTCTTCGACACGAGCCTGGCTGAGGAAGCGAGATCTGTCTCCAGTCACGGGTTTGATTTGCTCTCCAAAGGTGCCCGGCCGGCCTCGTCGCTCGACTCTTGGACGGCTGCTCACAGCCCCGACTGCAGAGCCCCCAGCCGAGACGCCCGTTGAATTGACTATTGACCAGTCAAAAGGTGGCTGCCTCGTGGCTGTTAGCCCCCGCCCATTCGACACTGACGGACCCTGAGCGAGTTCCTCGACAACCTCCCTAGCCATGGCCGCCGAGTCGTCACACCACCCATATGCTCGATCTCCCAACCCATCCACAAGGTCATACGACTCCTCGTCAGTCTCCTCCGCTACTTCGCCAAGGCCGCCCTCTCGGTACCTCGGAGGGCTGCTGGGCACAAGCTCGAGGCCCAACGCAGCGTCGAGCCCTCAGCCGATTGGCATGCCGTCCCTACCTCCAGTCAACCAGAGCTTCCCGCCGTACGCATCAATGTCGAGTTCAGCAATGGGTCGCGAGTCGCTCGCTTCGACGGATTCGGTCATGAGCGCTCAAGTGTCTGGCCATGGCCACCTGCCCGGGACACCCGGCAGTCAGGGACAGAAGAGAGCGTACCGTCAGCGTCGCAAGGATCCCAGCTGCGATGCTTGCCGTGAGAGAAAGGTCAAGTGCGACGCAACAGAGACGACGAGCTGTTCCGAGTGCTCCAGTCGCAACGTCAAATGCCAGTTCACCAAGGAGACGAACCGCAGGATGTCGTCGATCAAACAAGTCCAAGATCTGGAGAAGCAGATTGAGCGCGTCAAGCGCGATAATGCGAACCTCCGCCGCATGCTCGGGGAGAGGGACGGGCCCGTCGACATGGAAATGGAGCCAGGAGACAGGCAGCTGTCCCAGCTGCCGTCGATCGGGTCTGAGCCCAAGCCGCGTCGGCGCCACGCACCGAATCCCGAGCTGGCTCGGGCGAGGGCCAACGTGCGCGGCTTCTCCAAGGGCATCTGGAAGCCGCCGGCACCGCATCGACATCCGGCCCCGGCCACGTTCGACTGTCCTACCCCTGAGCTGCCTCCCCATGCCGTTGTTGATCGGTTGTTGCATTCGTACTGCAACTCTGCGCACACCATGTTCCCTATTCTGCACATGCCGACCTTTCAGGCCATGGTCGATGACTTGTACAGGTTGAATCCACAACGCGTCTCCTCGGCGTGGATGTCCTTGTTCTTCGCCGTCCTCGCCATGGGCAGTCTCTTTAGCCCCGAGCCTCCCACGACGGCCACCTTTTACCGCCCAGCCGACCTCCTCGAATCCGCGCGCAAGATGATGGACCCCTGGAACAACCAGCACACGCTCGACACCGCTCGGGCCCTGGTCCTCATAACCATCTGCCTCGGCGAGATGAACCTGAAATCAGCCGCTTGGAGCTGGCTCGGCAATGCGGTCCGGGTGGGCCAAGACCTGGGACTCTACGCAGAGTCCGGGTCGTGGCCAGTCGTCGAGGGGGAGATGCGACGCAGGACGTGGTGGACCATTTACATAGTGGATCGCACCATGGCGACCGAGATGGGCCGCCCCTGTCTGATTGACGATGCCGACTGCGACGTGTCTCTGCCGGCTGCGGTGGACGACCAGTATCTGCGTGAGGATGGCATGCGAGTCCCCAACGGCGCCGAGCCGCTGACGCACTCTCTGCTTGCCGTCATCCACGTGGTCCGATCGTACACGGCTCTGGTTAAGTCGATGGACGCCTCCGTTCTTTCGACTGCGCAGCTGTCGACCTTGGATGCCCATTTCAACAAGTGCCTGAGCACGTTTCCGCCCGCCTGCGACCCGTCCAGCACCGTCGCCCTGGCTTCGCATTTCCTCGCGCCCTTGGCCTACCTCTTCCACGCCCGCCTCCTGCTCCACCGACATAACCTTTCCCCCAGCTGCTCTCCGGATACGCGCCTTGCCGCCGTCGAGAACTGCATCCAGGTCGCTCTCGAAACGGCGTCGCTCGTCAACCGCACCAAGTCCCCGGCCGACGGGGCGACGGCGCTCCTGACGGCCCACGTGTTCCGGTCCACGCTCTTCTTGCTCCTGACGGGCTATCTCGACCACGCCATCACCTGCATCCGGGCGCTCGCGGCCATAGACGCCCGGCGGGATGTTACGCTGTCTTGTGGGCGCTATCTGGCCTTTTTCGTGTCCACGTTAGTGACCAAGCGCGCCGAACACACAAACTATCTGTCGCGCCGGGCCTCGGTCGACCCCGCGGCCCTCCTCGTGTCGCTGGCCAGGGACGAGGAGCTTCTGGCGTACGTGTCAGCCGACCAGCAAGCCTCGCCGCACTTGTCGTGGGTCTGGGCCGGGCCCGAGCTCGAGTCGCCGCGGCTCAAGACGGGGCCCGTCGTCGGCGCCGGTGCCGGCGCGGGCGAGAACGGCCTTTTCAGCTCCGAGATGAGGACGGGTCTGACCGAGGACGAGCGCAGGGAGTGGGGCGGATGGGGCCGGCTCGAGTCGGCGGTGCGGAGCCTCGCCTCGCCGTCAGCCGCCTGGTCGACCCCGCTGCCGCCCCCGCCTCAGCACCCGCCGGCCGTCAAGAGCGAGTCCCCCGTCTCGACAGTCGAGGTCCAGAGGTTCTCGGACACGCCGAGGTACGCAGTCGAACACAGGGTCGTGCCGAGCCCGACGGCCACTCCGACGGTCAAGAGGGGCGCCGACCGCATCAGCATCGCCAACATTATATGAGGCGCAGCAAGCGTCGTGCGTAACAGCCGTGTCTGCTGGGCCCCCTTGTTCCTTTTTTGTCACGCATTCACATGGACCTCGCTCCCCCCCCGGCTATTTTTGCCGGTTGGTCCCCCAGCATCTTTGGGAGGGGTTCCTGGATACTTAACATGGTGCATTTGGATCGCACGTGGGTCTTGGTTTGGGCGTCTCTTCTTTTGCTGCTTCAGGACAGGGGCAAGGCAGAGCTTGGAGATACCACGGCGCCGGGGGCATGCCTTTGTTCCTTATATATATATACCTTCACTATTGCAGTCGGCGGGTACACAATTCGCCTTTTACTACGCTTTATCACCACACTGGGCGTGGTGAGCAACAATCGACGTCCAGGACTTTGCACCTGACGAGTCAAGTTCGGCTCTGCGGATTCCCGAATTGTGTGCTGCTCAAAATCCGTCGCCGTACCTCTGATGTGTAATTCCGATGTCACATCGTACACGTAGCAGCAACCATGGTCCCCCCTTTCCCCCTCCCCCCTCCCCCCCTTTTCACTTCTATTTCGTCAACTTGTCAGTTGATTCTCGGCATCAAGTCGCAACGCCAACCCCCCCTCTCTCCCCCTTGGCCCCACCATCACCCCGTCCGACCTGCAGCAGAACCCTGCTCGAACCGCAGCCTGGCAAACCTGTCACGCAGCAGGACCGCCAGCGAGCCGCCGTCGTCGGCGTACTCGGCGAGGGCCATGGCCTTGAGGGCCCACCGGTGGCAGGGCTGCTCCTCGGCGCGGGCGTAAAAGTCGACGGCGTGGTTAAAGGCCGTGGCGACGAGCCACTCGAGCTCCGCGCCCGGAAAGGGCCTGCCGACCTGTGAGGTTTCGGGAAGGGGGGTCTCAGCGAGGGCCGACTTCGCGGGTTTCTCCTCTGGCGGATTCGCACTGGAATATCCCAGTAGTGGTGGGGGAGGATACAAGTAGGAGAGGAAGAGAGAGGCCTCGGTGAAGAGGGGGCGGGTGGCGAGGACTACTTCGTCGCTCGCAGGCAAGCACAGAGAATGACACCTACCTGGTGGCCCTCACGGGCAATCTGCAGCGCTTGGTCGATAAGCTGGAGGGCGAGCGCGTCGTCGAGGGGCAGCATGGCCTGCACCATGCAGCGAATGTACTTGGCCAGCTTCTCCCCGTCAAAGTCCTGTAGCTCATAAATCTCGTTGATGATGAGCCGCATGGTCGCGTACATGACTTGAAAATATCGGATCCTTCTCGTCAGCATCACACGCTCTGCAGACCTGGCACGGGGGGGTTCGGCGGGGTTCGGCGGACCTTTTCCAGGGGCGCGGCTCCTCAAAAGGCAATCCCCCATGGCCTTGTACATGGCTTCATCCTTGCACGGCTTCGCCTTGCGGACAATATGGCTCAAGTCGTCCCATCCTTTGAGGCAAACGGCGCTCTCAAAGTCAAAGACAGAGAGCGTTGCCATTTTACCCGCCACGTCCTTGGCAACCGCCTCGTCGCTCGTGCCAACGCCAGCCTGCATCAGATCGTCAAACGCCGTAATATGGTGTCTGGCCTCGAGGTACCGCTGCAGTTGCTCATCCATCCTGTCTTCGGCCCGCGCGAGTGAGATCAACGCCGCGCCGATGACAAAGTGGCAGCGCATGCCCATGAGCCCCAGTTCCGCCGCGTCCGCCTGCGGAATGTCCTTGGGATAGCAGTCAATGAAAGACAGACATGCGCTGAAGACGCGGATAGTGTGAGGCAGCGGCCAGGTGTGGCAGTTCGTTGCACCAACATTGTAGGCATTCTTTCGAAACCAGTGTAGTTCTGGGACCGTAAACACCCTGTGGCCTTGATCGTCCTTTGGATGCTGTTTGGCATGCTCGGCCGCTGTTGACGTCAGCCTACGCACGGGGGAGATGGGATAAACCACACGCGGCACACCTTTGCTGAAAACCTCACAAATGTCTTCCGTAAAGTCAGGCTTCTCGGTCAGGGCCTCTCGGGCGTCTTCTTCTTCCTCAGTCATGTGCATCAGACGTATCGTGCATCGCAGGATAGCAGGAAGACTGTCTGACACGAGGCCTCCGACGGCCCAGCTATCGGCCACTGCTTTGAGTGCCGCCAGGGTGCAAAGTTTGTCGCCAAACTGCTGCGCTTCTCGCACGCAAGCGTACAGTATGTCTCGACCTCGAGCCGTGTCCGAAACCTTACTGAGGTGCGCGATGCTCTGGCACCCCAGCTCATGGTCCCAACTCAGGAGAGAGACCTTGAACATGAGATAGCCCGTCAGTGCGTCCTCTTGAGGGCCCTTGGGCATACTGTGATAGGCATCCTTGGCCCTCTCCGCGTCGTTGAGCCTGAGAGCGCAGAGAATCCGCTTTCTCCCAATCTTTCCCGCGTTGGCTTCGCCGCCGCTGGCGAACAGTTGGTGAAGCGCAAGCTCGCACCACGCATCCGCAGTCGCAAACTGTTGGGTGCCGAATAGGGCCTCTGCCTTCTTCCATACGAGCTACCTCTTGGGGTCAGTCTTGGCTTCAACGGCCACCTATCTACTTACCGAGTGAACGGCTCCAGCCGCATCCGGTTTCAACGGCCCCGAAAGACCGTCATGCGCATTTTCCATCAAGCCATGCAGGGTCTTCAACGATGCCTCTTCGTCTGTTTGCGTCGTCGCCATCCAGATCCGTTTCACCACGACTTCGTTGATCCATGTCACGTTGGCAGACGGCAGCACATGGAGCTTCGTGAATTCATCGAGCAACCCGCACGCCAGACGCTCGCTCCTGTCTTTGAGCTCCTTTATCTGGTGCAACAGGAAGCGAAACGTTTCGTCGGAGTGGTCAAAGCAGCGAATCATGCGGCGCAAGATGCTCGTGCAAGCCTCCGCGTCAAAAACTTCGCCCGGTGACTTCTGGAGTATCTCCAGCCGCCAGTGCAGCACCACAGGCTTGTCGCCGATTTCCGACTCGACGTAGGCGACGAGGTTGCTCGCTTCTTGGAGGCTCTCTGTAGATCCCAGTGCAAGCAAGCTCTGGACACGTCCGTGGCAGATTGCCAGGCGGAGCTCCAGCCCGTACGCGGAAAGTTGCTCCAAGCTTTGGCCGTTGATGAGATCATGTGCCCTCTTCAACCATTGCAGAGCCAAGGTATGGTTTCCCTTGGAGGACGAGTCGGCGCCAATGTGCTGCAAGGTGTCTGCCATGGCTTCGGCCGATGACACCGGGAGGCTCTTGCGAAGCGCGTGCGTCTTGCCGTACATGTGCTCGGCGACATCGAGGCGGTCTTCTTTCCACGACTCGTCCTCTCCCTCAGCAGCAGAACGCCTCATCATGTGTCTCGAGTAAGGAGACTCACCAGCGCCACACGCAAAGTCAGATAGTCGGCCTGGAGACGTTGCCTGGCCCCCGAGAGATCCAGGGGGCCATCTGCGCCGACCAGCGGCTTCAGTCGCTCCACATAGTCGGCGGCCTTTTGCAGCGCCAGCTTGGCGAAGCGCAACTCGGATTCGCCCAAGCATATTCTCGCCAGCGTCAGGGCCAGGTTCAGGAGATAGACGACGTCGGCCTCTTCATGTCTGCGGTGCCCCCTTGCCAGTCGGCCCAGCGCGAGCATGTGATAGGCAAAGACCCTCGCCGACACCAGCAGCCTGGCCCTGTCTCGCGGCGGCGCTGCGTCATTGGTCTTGTCTCTCTTGACCCGGATGCACAGGTTCCATAGGCCCCTTCCCTGTCTTTCGAGGTCCTTGGCCATGCCGCCCGGGGGGATCTGCTGCTGTGACAGGTTCTCTATCGCCTGGAGATGCTGGCTCAGATCTGCGATCAGCACGTCGACTGCGCCGCCGTCTCTTGACGCGGGAAGTTCTGCCTCGAGATGGACCGCGAAGCCTAGGAGATTGAAGGCTTCGTGAGCGACGGCAGGGTTGTGCAGGTGAGTCGCCGAGCTTACCGATGATGGAGCGAATCGCCTTTTCTCGGCCAACAACGACGATGGGGTCAGCAGAAGCCATTATGAGTCGTCTTCTGCAAGTTGCATCAGGGATTGGACATGGTCAGGTAACGCTGACTGTCTGACGTGAGGGCGGAACAAGTGAGATTCCGGCCGTCGCGAACATTCGAGCAGCTGCCAGCGGGAGTTCCTTCCCAGCATCACAAACTGGCCCTTTCAACTCAATCGTCATCAAAATATGATATTGGCCTTTATCAATGTAAATGATTCATCTCAAGGACCGGCGATTGAGTGAGCCGTTGTAGTATCAAACGGCTACCATCAACAGACCCTTTCACGACGACGCAATATTGCAGAGGGCTTGTGAGAGCCCTCCATGGAATTTATTCCAGGCATTACCCGTCCCAACGTCCTCCCATGCCCCGGCTCTCTCACCCGAGCCTCCTTTTCGTCCGCCCTCACACGCCTCGCGCTCAATCCTGCGGGGTATCATGCGGCAAAAAGTTGCCCACGATCAAGGCGGGCCTGCAACTCTCGCCGTCAGCCAGTGACTCCTCGTAAAGAGAGACCCTTTGTGTGCTCGGGGAGAATGAGGGTGAGGATGAGGATTCGCAGCCAGGGGGGCAGGCAACCCACAGCTTATGCTCGTCGCGCCGAATCGAAAAGGAAAAACAACACTTGACAATCGGGTGCTCCGACGCGTCGCTCGGGTTCTTGAGTGAGCACGCCGTCAGCAGCGTCTCGTGCGCCGGGTCAAAGGCGATGGTGCCGAATTCTTCCCAGTAGCGCACCATGGACTCCTCCGTCAGGATCTGATGCAGTGCAATCTTGCCCTGGTCTGCAGTTTAGCTCTCGTCCGCGACCCCAGCCACGCCCAGACAGCCATGTGTGTCGGGGGCAGGCAGGGAAACACTCACATCCCGCAGCTGATCCACCGGCACCTTGATCAATTCGGCCATTTCCTTGTTCCCCCTGAAAATCTCCCCCGTCCTCCGCCAACAGCACGCCGGCACCGCCATGCTGGCAAACACGCGGTCATAGTCCATCAGCTTCTTCTCGAACCACATCTCCACGTACAGCAGCTGCATGTCCGTCAGGCCCTGCGCCTTTTCGCGGAACTTGGGCCGGAAGTGGTTAATCGTCCGCAGAATCTTCTGCTTCGACGACGGCGCAATGTGCCCGTCGAGGTACTTGCCCAGCCGCGCGTAGCCGTTGATGTAGTTGAAGGGCTTGAGCAGCCCGGCCTCGGACTTGGCCCGGAGCACGCGTGCCATGCGCTCCTCGGCGTTGTCGTTGCCCGAGGGGTCGGCGGCCTGGAGGTAGTACTCACGCGTCTTGTCCGACGGGGAGCGGGCTTTTTTGGGCTGCTCCTTGCCGTCGACGCTGGGTGGCGGTGGCAGCATCGATGAGAGCCCCTGCGAGTTGTTGAAGCCCGTCGTCGGGCCGAGAAATCTGCCCCCGAACCCGGGCGCCGGATCGGCCAGGCCCGTTCTGCTGAGCGCTGCGTTGTGGGGGCTTTCGTCCGGCGCCAGGCCGTTTGTGTCCAGGAACCCGCTGTGCAGAAAGTCGTCGAGCAAGTTGAACTCGTGAGACACGTGGGGGGCAACCATGTAGTTGGGGTTGTAGCTGCTCATGTCGTTGAAGTTTTGAGCCGTCAACCAGGCGTCCGAAAAGCCTGTCACTGTCGGATCGTCAGTCCCCGATCCCACGCCATCTTCGCTGAGCAGCTCCAAGTGGAGAGACATGCTGAAACAGAGGTAAAGGACAGGGGGAAGCAAGCCAGCAAATCCCCATCTCCCGCCAACGATGTAGGAAGAGAGGACAAGGGGCGCGGGGCTGGAAGGGGGGGGAAGGGGGGTCAGGAATGGCGGCCTGGGCCTCTCACACAACATCCACACGTACGTTGATTCGCGTTGGCGCTCGCACTGTTGGCCAGGCCGTGTGCTTGCAGGCCCGTCGCCGCAGCCGGTTGCACAAGAGGCAGCGGAGCCCCCTGGCCCAAGACGGCGGCGGCCCCAAAGCCCCTCGACGAGTGCCGCCTCGAGCCATCCAGGGCAGGCGGGGGCCCCATGATGGTGCTGGCAATGGGGTTGCGTCCCACGTCTGGCAGTGCCTGCGGCGGCGGCGGCGCGTCCGATTCCTCGGCAGCTGCCGTGGCAGCGGCCTTGCCGTTCTTGAGCTTCTTTGTGTCGGCGTCGCGCGGCTCGTCGTGGCACAGGTGGCCGATGTTGCGCTTGATACACCTCGTACATGGTCGCTCCTTTTGCCGTCGTGTCAGCTAGTCCTGTGTCTCCGATACGGGGCTCGAGAGGGGGGGGGCAGACGGGGAAGAGTGAGGAGGGTGAGGGGATAGGGGGGAGGGGGGTGGAAGTTGGGGATGGATGGGAGAAGGAGAGTGGACGGGGAGCAACGGCGTCACAGCTACTGCAGTCTGCAGATGCCACGACGTCCGCCGCCCTCCCTCCCATCCAGGGGGCCTCGAACACGTACAAGATCGCAAGTCATATGCTGTCAAGCGCACAAAGACGGTGATCTGTCAGCCACGTGCACCCAAAGTCTGCTCCGGGGGCAAGCCGGTGGGAAGCAATCTTGCTCTGTCCCTGCGCCCACTGCCGCCCTACCTCCCACCTGGCCCTCCCGTTTTCCGCGGCGCACGCTCTTTGCGCCTTTTACCGCCGTCGTGGGGCGCCATTGCGCCCTGGTTTTTCGGGTAGACTTACAGATCTCCTGCAGTAGACACAGGCTGGAGATATGGGGCAAGGCGAGCAAGCCAAGTACAAGGCAGGCAGCCGTAGAGGTTAGCGCACGATCTATGGCCAGGTGTGGGATGGATGCCGCAGCCGGTTGCCAGAGAGGCCAGGGGGTGGACGGGAGAGATGGTATGGAGGTGGAGAGCATAGGCCAGCTGCAGGCATCCGCTCCCCAGGTGCTCCAAGGCCTCCTGTCTCCAGTCTCTCTCACTCTCCCGGCAATGGAAGCAAGCATCCGGGGGCAGTGTAACAAGAAGAGAAGGGGAGCGGACGGCGTACCGTGGTTGACCTTGCGCCGCTTCCTTGGGCTCTTGCTCGACCTGGCCCGGGTCGCGTCGTCGCCGTCACCCCCACGGTCGCCCGTCGTCGTCTCTCCTCGTCGCTCTTGCTTTGCTCCAGCGGCGTCGTCGTCGCGCTCCTTGGCAGCCGGGGCCTTGTCGCCGTTTGCGCCGGCGTCCTTGGCCATGGCAGCGGCGTTGGCTTTCCCGTCACTCATGCCGCGCGCTGTCCTCCCATTGGGTCTCTCCCGACGTTACGCAAGGCGGCGCGCAGCTGTCGCAGCTCATCTGCCCTCCCGGGCCGTTGGCGCCTCGGTTCGGGGCTGTTTTCTCTGGCTGCTCTCCCCCCTTCCCCCCCTCTTATCTCTCTCGCACACTCTCTCTCCGTCTCGTCTCTTGTTTCTTGTCCCTCCGTCTCGTGTTCCTTGTCGTGGTCCGTCACTACCGGTGGCCGCTTGACGTGCGCAATGAGCTCTACAACCGTCGGCGCAGTCACGGCAACATGATCGGCGCGCCCGGGCCGATGCGCTTTCTGCCGTGTGGATGTGCACGCGCGTCGTCGGAGGCAAAGCGCAGAGGGTCCGGCCTCGGCGGTCCAGGTGATGGTCCGTCCGCTTTGGTGGGCGGTCCGTTTGTCTTGCGCCGCGGTCCTGGCCCAGCTCGGGCGCTGTTTGGTCAGTATTCCGGACTCGTTGGCTTCGGGCAAGAGTCGACGACGGACGGTGGAGGAGAGTTGAGAGCGCAAAGACAGCTGAGGCTGCGGCTGAGGACACTGCGGCTAAAGAAGGCTGAAGCAGCGCAACAGTCGACAGCGGGCCAGAAGCGACAAGACGACGACGACGGTGACGGGTGATTTTTTTTTACATAACAATTATATGATGGAGGCATGGGAGGGAGAAGCAAGCTCGCTGTGGCTTTCGACCTCTCCTTTTGGCTTGTGCGGGCGTGCTCTCAGGTACCAACCGGTGGTACACCCACTGTACCTACCTGATTACCCTGCTCCTCAGTTAGGGAGCCGGGCGTGCCCAGGAGGGCATCCCTACCATCTCTTTTCCCTTTTCCTCGCCTTCTCTTCTCTGCTGGTTTTTCTTTCCTTTTCCTATTAACCCCGTCCGCTCGGCCACGCTCTCCCTCTTCTCTCCATCACCAGCATCGCAATGCGTCGTCTGGAGCCAAGCCGAGCATCAGTCTCCGTCGCCCGATTGTCGTGGGAGGCTGTGCCCGCCTGGAGTAGACCCAAGTGCCCTGTAATATAATTACGGCGTAGCATTAATACTTACCAGTAGTAGTAGCGTGCCTGGCCCCCGCCAATACGACCTTGCAGCTGGTTCAGCCACACTCCGCCGCTAATAAGATCAGGTACCCGAGGCATGCCTCGAAAGATTCCCTACCTACCCTGTAGCGTAGCATTCTCGTCCCCTCTCAACTCCTCCTCCTCCTCGCCCTCCTCCTTCTCGAGGCCCTTCGTTTTCCCATGTGAAAGCCATCGTCATCATCCCCAGCATTTGCACATGAAAGACTCCTGCAGCATTCAGACGCCGGAATGCTTCAGACTACTGTACAGCCACCCACCCTTTGGACCCGCCGCTCCCTGCAGGATTCTACTCACGTCAGCAGCTTCGCCCGCCCTAGTCGCCAGCCGTGACGCATCTCACGAGACTTCGGGACATGTCGGCGTCGGGAGAATCCGCCGACTCGTTTCTCATACACTGATAGGCCAGGCCAATTCTCGTCCTAGCCACCAGTTCACCCCTCCCCCTAATAAAGGAAGAGAGAAGGAGAAACAGAGAAAGGAGAAGCCGAGGAAGACGGGACAAGCATTCGCCATTGCTGCTTCAAGCACATGTCAAGCCGCAGCCCCAACCCGAGCAAAAGACAGCATGCCTCGTACACGCCTGTCCTAAATGGCCACAAAGAAGCTCTTCTCCCCCGGCTTCGGCACCACCCGCGCCCTCCTCATAATCTCATCCTCGCACGCCAGCCGAATCCTCTCGGGCGTCGCCGGGCTCTCGAGTCTCAGCAGGCCGTCGTCGTTGTCCTTGCCCACCGCCGCCTCCACCCCGGCCGCCCGCCTCGCCGCCTTGAGCGCGTCGCGGAGGGCGAAGAAGACGGCGCTGCCCAGGAACAGTGGCGGCTCCCCGACGCCCCTGCTGCGCTGGATCGTCCGCAGCTCCTTCCACTCGACGTCCTTGAGCAGTGTCACGTTGAACTCCTGCGGTATGTCGCGGAACCCGGGGATCTTGTACGCCCCGGGCCCCCGCGTAAACAGGTTGCCCCCCGCCGGCCCGTTGCGCAGCCACAGCGACTCTTCCATGGTGAAGAGGCCCAGCCCCTGCACAAAGGCACCCTGGATCTGCCCGTAGTCGATGGACGGGTTGATGGACTGCCCGACGTCCATCTTGATGTCGGCCCGCACGCACGTCCACGTCCCCGTCAGCGTGTCCACCTCGACCTCGGCCGCCGCCACGCCCTGCGTAAAGTAGAAGAACATCTGGCCCTTGTTCTCGCCCCACACGTACCCAATGTCGGGCGTCTTGTAGAAGCCCTGCGCCGACAGGTTGACCCGGTCAAAGTAGGCCGCGTGCGCCAGGTCCTTCATCGTCGCCCCGCCGCCCAGCTTGTCCCGGTACGGCGCGAGCCGCTCGTTGAGCTGCTGGCAGGCGTTGTAGACGGCGTAGCCGTTGAGGTCCGACGACGCAGACGCCGCCGTCGCCGATGCGTTGGCAACCGTGTTGGTCGCCGTCTCCGAGATGAAGACGCCGTCCAGCGGCACCGACAGCGCCTGCGCCGCGATCTGCGCCAGCTTCGTGTGCAGGCCCTGGCCCATCTCCGTCCCGCCGTGCGCCACCAGGACGGACCCGTCGTGGTAGATGTGCACCAGCGCCCCGGCCTGGTTGAGGAACAGGGCCGTAAAAGAGATGCCAAACTTGGTCGGTATCAGCGCCAGGCCCCTCTTGCGCCACTTGTACTCTTGGTTGAACCTGTCGACCATGATTCGTCGCTCGGGATACGACGACTCGTCCTGCACCTGCTGGTACATGAGGGGGACGTGCCAGTCCCCGAGCGTCTGGTTAAAGTGCGTGATGCCGTAGGGCCCGTAAAAGTTGACTTCTCGAAGCCTCTCCACGGCCATGCCCAGCCGGTCCGCCGTCTCCTCCATGTACGTCTCGGCGATGAACATGCCCTGCGGGCCTCCGAAGCCGCGAAAGGCCGTGTTGGACATGGTGTTCGTCCTGCAGACGCGGCCTCGGACAAAGACGTTGGGGATGTCGTAGCAACCGTCGCAGTGTGTCAAGGCGCGCTCGTTGACGCTGGCGCTGAGATCAAACGTCCACCCGGCATTGTTGAAGATGTCAAGGTCCAGCGCCTGCAGCTTGCCGTCCTTGTTGACGCCGACTTTGTACCTCGCCAGGAAGGGATGCCGCTGGCCCATGGCGATCATGTCCTCCTCGCGTGTCAACATGCAGCGAATCGGCCTCTTCGTCTTCTTGGCCGCCAATGCCGCCGCAGAGCTGAGGACCACTGATCGCGTCTCCTTGCCGCCGAACCCGCCGCCGAGTCTCTTGACGCGGACAACAACCTTGTTTGCCTGCACCTCGCATACTCGCGACACGAATGCTTGTCTGTACATGTCGGGTCAGTCAAAGCCATCTCCAACCAGGATGCTCACTCGAGGGCACCCACGTTTCATTGGCGTTTTGCGTGCTGGCGAAGACCTCCATCTCTCCATCCTCGGGCTTCGGAATGACCAGGCACGCATGCGTCTCCAGGTAAAAGTGTTCCTGTCCGCCCATCCTTACGGTGCCGGTGAATACGTGGTCGCAGCTCTTGAACGCTGCCTCGGTGTCTCCCCGCTTGATTTCCCGGTAAAAGGGGTGGAAGCTTTCCTTCTCCACGGCTTCTTCCATGGTCAGCACCGCAGGGAGCTCCTCGTACTCTACCTTGACGGCCCTGGCCGCCTCTTGCGCCTTGGACGCCGACGTGGCCAGGATCATGGCGATGGGCTGGCCAGCCGTGTGCACCACACCGTCTGCGAAGAAGACTTCGTCGAAGTGCGGAGCCCCAAATTTGTTAGCCTCCGCAGACGGCATGTCATCCTTGTCGACGTAGTCAGCCACGCCGGGCATATCGAGTGCCACCGAGTAGTCAATCGACTTAATCCTCGCGTGAGGCTTTGTCGACAAAACCCAGGAGCCGTGCAGCTCGTTCCTCAGTGGAGGAATGTCGTCGGTATATTGGGCCTCGCCCGTCGTCTGCTTGAGCGCGGCGAGGTGGGGATTGGCTTTGCCCGTAATCTCCTTTTCGTAGGCCACAGAGGATTGCTCGTCGACTGATCCCTTGGAGATGCAGCGCTCGACCTCATCGATGGCCTCCTTGTCGACATGCCCACACTTTCCATCCAGGTTCGTGAGCACGTCGTGATAGAAGCGATAGAAAAAGCCCAGTGCAAGCGCCTTTCGATACGAGGCCATGCCGCCGGGAACGCTGAACTGTAGGTCAAAGTCGGCTCCTAGGGCGCTCATGGCTCCTTCAAGAGTCTCGAGCTCGGCAAAGCGTCTCCCTATGAGGTACTGGGTGGCCGTCTTGGCCGACACAGTCATGGCGGCCATGCCGCCGTAGATTAAGCTGCATTCGGCGACGACGCCCGCGTCGTCCAGCCTGACCCTCAATGCCCCTGTGACAATGGCAATGTCGTCATCCTTGCGCTTCGCTTGCTTGTAGGCACGGAGAAACTCGCCCTTCTTGGCGGAGGCGGGGATCCTGATGGACGCAATGACGGCGTCTTGAGGGAGGGCAGTTTTGCGGTAGCCCGTGAAGAACTGGTCCATGGGAATCTCGGTCTCGCTGGTGGCCGACCTGGCCACGAGCACAGCATTTGCCGCCCATAACACGGGGTTCAAGTCGGAAATGGGTGAGGCGGTGGCAAGGTTTCCGGCAGGCGTGCCGACGTTGCGAATCTGCCTTCCGGCAAAGTACTTGAGCTGCTTCAAGATGCCCTCGAAGACTTGGCCTCGCTCGCAGCCGTAGTGCTTGATTGCCTCGGCGCAAATGTCCTCGAGGTCGGTCAAGACGACGTTTCCGCCAACTTCGATGTGGTCGTCGTGCAGAGCAAACTGGCGCAACTCGGGAATGTCGCCGGCGTAGACGGAGACTGGGTACTGCAGCGCCTTGAACTTGATTTCGATTTGCGTCTCGGTGCTGCCGCCGATGATCTTGGCCTGGGGATGCACGCTTTTGATCTGGAGGAGCTGGTCGAGGGTGACGGGCCGGTACCACTTCTTCCTCTTGTTTCCAAAGGCCAGCGGCCGCATCTCGTGCTTCTTGAGCGCAGGAGGGAAGATGAGTTGGGTGTCGGGGTTGTACTCGATGAAGCCAGGGGGGGTGAAGCGCTTAATGGGCTGGTCGTCGTGCGCCGTCGTCTTCTGCATGCAGCAGACGCCGTTGACGGGGCCGTCGGCGTTGGACATGCAGCAGCCGCCACTCTCGGTGCGGCCAGGGCTCCCGTGGCCGGCAGAGCTAAAAGTCTGGGCCGCGTCCAAGATGGGCCTGTAGCCGGTACAGCGGCACAGGTTGCCGTCAAAGGCCTCCTCAATGTCGTCGTAGGAGGGGGCCGAGTTGTTGCGCAGCAGCGCATACAAGCTCATGACGATGCCGGGGGTGCAGAAGCCGCACTGGCTGCCGTTTCCCTTCGCAACGCGCTCCTGGGCGGGATGAGGCCGTTGAGTGTTGCCGATGCCCTCGATGGTAATGACGTGCTTGCCATCGAGGCTGGCCAGGGGCGCCAGGCAGGCATTGATGCTGGCATGGTAGATTTGCTTGGTGGTAGGGTTATATTGGCTCACGACAATGGTACAGGCGCCGCAACCGCCTTCGCCGCAGCCGCTGGCACAGGAGAGAGGCGTGAGACTGGGCAGATGACGTGGGTGGAGCGGGGGAGGCAGGGCGAGAGTAGGACATACAGTTTGGTGCCCGTCAAGCCGATGCCGCGGAGGTACTCGAGCACGGTGACGTCGGGGTCGACGTCTTCGAGGATGACCTTTGTGCCGTTGAGGTAGAAGCGGATCGTGTCGTCGAAGTCGGCCGTCAGAGAGGCCAGGGGTGCCGGCTGAGCGTTGCGCTCGGGGAGGACGGCGGCGGGGGCCATGCCGACGGAGCTTCAACGGCGAGCTTCCGAGACGAACAAGACGAGCACTGGTCCCGGGCGCCGGTGGAGGAAGATGGGGGAGACGGGGACGGAGGAGGAGGAGGTGAAAGCATCAAAACTGGAGCAGCGGGCACGACGGGCGGCAGGGTTGCGGGGAGGAAGGATGGCCGCAGAGGCCCGGTGCTTCGGACTCCGCCGTCTTCCTACGAGCGGGTGGCAAGGACGGCCTATTGTCAGCGGTGTTGCTGGCGGTGGCGACGGCGGGCGTCGGCGTTCGGGGGTGGTGAAGGGAGGGGAAGTGGCCATGTTGGTGGTGTGTAGTCGGGAGCTAGCAGGGGCGTCTCGGTCCATCCGCACAGGATAAGCTCCGTACAACGACAGTGTGTAAGCATGTATCTAAGTTAAAAAGCAGACGCCGGCCCGCGGCTCGGGGCGAGAGCAGGTCGGTGCGACGGGTGCGGATGCTTATCGAGGCCCTTGACGACGGGGGAGCCATGGCGGCGATGACGAGCTGCCTGCTGGACGGGCACTCCTCTCCAGAGGCAGCCTCAAGCCAAAGATTGGGGGCGTGCAGGAATTCCGCGGATCGGGAGTGGGATGGCGGCGACGGGGAATACTGTAACTTGGCCATGTTGGGTTTTGGCACCGGCTTCGGAGCCTCACGCATGGCCAATCACCGCTCGATGCGGGGGGACGGCCTAAACGGGGGGTCTCCGCCGTACCTCGCGTGTACTGTACCTTCTTGGTCTTTATTAATACCCACCGTCCTTTCCGTCGGTGGCAAGAACATCGTCAACGGGCAGAATCATCATTATAATCCATAGGCGGTTCTCGGTGACTAGACTCATATACCATGTCTACCCATTCATCCACTCATTGCAGTTGATCATGGCCTTGGAGTGCTGCCCGAGCGAGCACTTGATTAACCAACCCAAGTGCTGCAGGTACCTCGAGCTTACTCCGTACTTGATTCCCCCTCAACGCCCCGCTACGGGGAAAACCCCGCTTCTTCCTCGTCCCGCCTTGATTGCCGACATGCTGAGTCACCAACTCGCTCACTTCCCAGGCATCTGATAATTACAACTCATGTTCACAAATCACATCTATCCATGCTCTCTCCTACTGTATGTATTTCTTCAACCCCCGCAGCCGCTCCTTGGCCTCTTCGAGCACCTCGTCCTCCTTGCAGACGGCGAAGCGGATGTAATCCTCGGCCAGGTGCGCATTCCCCTCCGTGTAAAACTCGGTCGGCGGGATCGCCGCCACGCCCATCTCCTGGATCAGGAACCACGCCAGCTTGAAGTCGCGCGGCCGGCTCGCCACGTGCGCTGGGAACGGGTAGTCGGCCGGCAGCTTCACCTTTTTCATGTTGACCAACACAAAGTACCCGCCGTCGGGTTCCGAGTACGGCAGCCCCAGCTCCCCCCACACCTCGTTGAAGCGGTCCATCTTGGCCTTGGTCTCCCGCACCGTCTGCGTCCAGAACCCCTCGGCCTCGGCCTGCTCGAACCCGACGGCGCACGCCTCCTGCAGCGGCGACACCGACGAGAAGCAGATACGCGTGTGCGCGGCCGATACGTACTTGATCAGGTCCGCCGGGCCCATGAGCCAGCCTCGAAGCGCCCACGTGTCAGCTGCACTGCTATGCTCCGGCCAGTGGGCACATACTCACCGACGCGCCAGCCCGTGGCATAAAAGTTCTTGCCCGCCGACCCGACCGTGAGAGTCAGCCGCTCAATCTCAGGCGACAGAGTCGACATGCGGGTAAAGGGCACGTAGTAGAGGCGGTCGTAGACCTCGTCCGACAGGATTATGACCTCGTTCTTGACGCACAGGTCGCCAATCTTTTCCAGCTCCTCCTTGGAGAAGACCTTGCCCACGGGATTGTCTAGTGTCCCGGTCAGCATGGCCAGGGGAGCAGGAGCCTTGCTTGTGTAGACCCACGTGGCGTGTTGATGACAATCATCTTGGTACGGGGCGTCATGGCTCGTTCCAGCTCATCGAAATCAATGGTCCAGTCTGCCGCCGACGATGTCTTTGTGGCGCCCGTCTCGGGCGGATGCAGTGGCACGTACTTGATGGTGCCGCCGGGCATTTCAATGTTGCTAATGTACCTGTTCTTTCCTCTTAACACCCTCTCCGCGTCAGTTGTCAGCAGGGCACACGTACTGGTCAAAGAAGGGCTCGAAAACGATGACCTCGTCTCCAGGCTCGACAAAGGCCATGAATGCACTCAGCATGCCTAGACAGGCGTCGAGTCAGTGATGGGGTGCTTGCGAGACGGACACATGACCTGACCCTCGTTGGCGCCAGTGGTGATGGTGACCTCGGTCTCGGGGTCAATCTTGCGGCCGCAAAAGGGCGAGTAAGCATCGGCAATGGCCCTCTTGAGGCGCGGGCGGCCCTTGGTCGGCGAGTACTGGTTGCAGTCGACGCGGTCGAGCGCCTTCTTGGCCGCCTCGAGGATGAAGTCTGGCGGGTTGTAGCCAAAGAAGCCCTGTCCCATGTTGACAATGGGCTGCTTGGGCGTCGCCGCCGCCGCCTCGTTGATGATGGACCTGGACCACGGGGCTTAGGCCAGCTTGGATTGCGTTTGCGGGACGACTCACCACACATCCTGCTTCTGGCCCGAGACGCGGGCGGCGGGCTTCAGCTTGCCGCTGCCGCTCATGGCGCTGTAGAATCTCTGGCCGACACGGCGGGCCACGGGTTTGGATGCGAAAGAAGCGGCCGCACGAGACACACCAGACATTGAGGGCGTCGAGGCTGACGATGGCGGTCCTCTCTGCTGTGTACGCCTGCTATCCCTCCTGGTTAGGGAACGATGGCGAGCGCCAACAAGGTGGATCGAGAGTCTTGCAGGTCGCAATGCCGTCAATGAACGGCAAACGAGAGGTGCGATGTCGCTCAACAGTGGGAGCCAATAGAGGCGCGGACCCCCGCGCCTTTAAAGTCGGCGCGGACGTCCGCGCCTGTTATGTAAGCCCAGGCGGAAGATAGTCGGGCCGCCCCCTGACCTGTACTCTCCTTTTCTATTGCATGTGGCAAACTGTCGCACAGAGAGCCAGCCTCATATAGCATACCATCTGCGCTCAGAGTAGTTGTCCGCGGAAGCGATGCTATAATCCGCATATTAAGGTCGAGCGCCTGCATGCGTGGTGCTTGGACCCCATTGAGGCCAAAGCTCAAACGCAGGCTGCATTAAACCTCGCAGGCGGCCTCGGTTACAAGGGTTCTGCACCACGTCCACAAAGCAGGAGTTTCCTTTCCTTTGTGTATAAAGAGCTGCTCACTGTCGTGCACTACAGCTAGCTCTTCAAGATAATTCCAATATGGGGCTTACTGAATTCCCTGACGATTGCCTTCCTCCTGAGGGCCAGTTCGACTCGCGAGAGTCTCTTCTTGCCTCAATTAATGCGTGGGCGGCTCCAAGAGGCTATGCCTTCACCACAGGCAAGTCCACGAGAGACCCGCGGTCCGGAAGACGCACAGTCATATTTGCCTGCGATCGTGGAGGTAGACTTGGGGCTCATACAAGCAAGGACCAGAAGCCAGCTGATCGGCAACGGTCTACAAGCTCCCGTATCACTGGATGCCAGTTTTCCATCAATGCGAAAGAGAGCCTTGATAAGTCGTACTGGTATGTCAGGCATCGCCCAGGCGAGGAGAAGTCGGTCCACAACCATGAGCCCAGTCTGCATATTACAGCACATCCAGCTCATCGTGCCTCTCCTCAACTGACCAGTCAGCTATTGGGAACCTCTCAAGCGCTGGCATAGCACCAAAGGATATCCGGACATATATGCGCCAGAGCTCTCAGACTGCCCAAGGAGCGACACAGCAAGACATATATAACTGTATCGCACAGCGCAGACGAGAGCTCCTTGCTGGCCAGAGCACAATGCATGCCCTTGCCAATGAGCTTGACAACGAGGGGTTCCAGAGCCGCATACAGCTTGATCATGATGGCCGAGTCACAGCAGTCTTATTCGCACACCCAGCGTCTCTAGGATACCTCAACGCATACCCAGAATTACTACTGCTAGACTGCACATACAAGACGAACAAATATAAGATGCCACTGCTCGATATGATCGGCGTTGATGCCTGTCAGCGGTCATTCTGTATTGCCTTTGCCTTCCTCAGTGGTGAAGACGAAAATGACTATATCTGGGCACTGGACCAACTCCAATCGATATACGAGTTATATGACATTCGCCAGCCATCGGTTATCCTGACAGATCGCTGCCTCGCCTGCATAAACGCAATTTCCCGGTGCTTTCCTGCGTCCAAGTCTCTGCTTTGCATCTGGCATGCGAATAAGGCGGTGCTTAGCTATTGCAAACCAGCTTTCGACCGTGACGATGAGGACTCTAATAGTGATGAGAGGTGGGCTGAGTTCTTTGGGTATTGGCACTCAATCGTGGGCTCGAAAGATGAGGAGACATTTGATCAACAAGTTGAAGAGCTCGAGAAGCGCTTTGTGCCACGATACGTCAAGGAGGTTAGCTACATACGGAAACCTGGTTGGACCCGTATAAGGAAAAGCTCGTCAAGGCCTGGGTCGATCAATATGCTCACTTCGGCAATGTGGCTACTTCCCGGGTGGAAGGCATCCACGCATTATTGAAGAGTCACCTTAAGAAGTCAACATTAGACCTCTTCGAGGCAACGAGGGCAATCAAGCAAGCTCTCCTCAACCAACTGGCCGAGCTACAAGCCAACCAAGCCAGGCAGCATATACGGATGCCAATTGAGCTCTCTGGAACCGTATATAGCACGGTACGTGGCTGGGTATCACACGAAGCCTTGCGACAGGTTGCAAAGCAACACAAGCGCCTCAACGAGAAAAACACCCCATCTTGCACAGGCAGCTTCACCAAGTCTCGCGGTCTCCCTTGTGCGCACGCATTACAGTCTCTCATAGTGGAAGATCTGCCCTCCGGCTACAACATTTTCATACACATTGGCGCCTTCGACGGGATAACAAAGAGATTGGTCAGGTCCTCATAGAGCCTCGTCGGCGACTAGACCAACTTGTCGCCGCATCAAGGATATCACAGTCATCCACACAGCGCGAGCCAAGTGCATTTGAAGCCATAGAGTCAGATCTACGGCCAAAGGCGCCGCCTACATGCAGCAAATGCCACCAGCAAGGGCACATCATGACATCTCGCAATTGTCCTTTACGCTATAGCGACATACTGCAGCGGGCAGAGGCACGGGCGGCACAGACTGCACAGACTGTACAGACGGTAGCAGTTCCAGAGACTGCGCAGACTGCAGCAGTCATGGAGAAAATGACAGTTGCAGTCACTACGGTCTCTACAGTCTCTACAGCAATTGCAGAGACTACAGAGACTACAGAGAATCTATTATATGATGACCCACGAGCCATCTATCAGAGGTATGTCAGGAAAGAGACTCTTGGTATAGAGCACAGCCTCGCGGCAGTCTCAAGACCAACCAGGCATACCGAAAGGCAATGGGCTTGCCATTGCGCTACAGCAAGACTGAATATGACTGGTGCCTCGACTGGAAGCAAATGTCAAGGAGCTGCGGCTCGAGGCAATGGACCAAGGTAGAGATGATGGCATACCTTGATTGGGATAAGGCAGAAGAAGAGCGATTAGATGCCCGGGTGGCCGAGGAAATTCAGGTGCAGCCTTTCTCACGAGAAAGAGGTACTGCAGGTATATGGGCTGACTGCGAGAGAGACTCAGAGGAACAGCAGGCATTTTATTCACATATATAAGTGGTGATGATGCCGGCGATGCGAAAATGTGAGGCAGATCGTGAGATCACCGACATGCACCGGCGTGTAGCACTGTAGCTGGCCAATTTTAAGGCGGTGAACTTCCGCGCACCCTCCCTTGCCACGCAACAGCGGCGCCCTTTGCGTCACGTCAATCTACCAAATAGGGAAGGCTATGGGTTCGAACCCTAAGGGATATCCTCCTTTGCAATTAATTGAAGCTATATGTATGCAGCAAGCATGCTGTATCGGTGAGGCCGACTGCGAGCGCAGTTGGCGGCGGCCCAAATGGCCTGCCAGGCTTACATAACAGGCGCGGACGTCCGCGCCGACTTTAAAGGCGCGGGGGTCCGCGCCTCTAACGTAATCCACCCCCTTCCCGGTCAGACCCCCTACTCGGTCAAAAATTCCCCACCGACTAGACCCGCACCTTACGCGAGACAAACGGAGCACAATACCACGACATATTTACTCCAAGAGACAAGTAACTCGATTAGGACTATCTATTACACGTACGGGCAGTGTGTTCAAAAGACCTGCACTTACTACACCGTGGTGGTGCACGCTGTCTTGGGACACTCAGCTCTTCTATAAGTCGTTGGTCCCGCTCCCTTCTTCCCGCCGTCGCTTGGCCCGCTCATCTTCCTTTGCTCTCTGTTTCTTGACCCGCTCCTCTTCCTTTCTCGCCGTAGCTTGAACCATTCCTCGTTCTCTTGTCGCCGTCGCTCGGCCCGCTCTTCTCCTTCTTGTCGTCGCTTGGCCCGCTCCTCGTCCTTCTCTCGCCGGCGCTTAGTCCTCTCCTCTTCTTCCACTCTCCGTCGCTTAACCCGCTCTTCTTCTTCTTCTCTCCGTTGCTTTATCCTAACCGTGCCCTCTGCAACCGATAGAGTACCGCCGTCGCCAATGTATTCACGGCGCTGTTCTTTCTCTGCTTTCGCCGCTGGTTTTCTGACCGAAGTTGCCGGTTTTCGTCGGCAAGGAGGGCGGCGCTGTGCATGGCCATTTGACATCCTTTGATAAGCTGGTTGATAGCTTGTGAAACTGGCGAGTCTGTATTTTGTGGCCGGCGTTGAAGAAGCCTTTCGGCGTGAGTGGTAAGCTGGTTGACGTTATGCGGAGTCTTGGCTGCTTCCAGGCTCTTGTTGGGACTTGGAGTATTCTTGTCGCCGTGATCGTTACCGACTTTGTCAACCTGAACTTGTAACCGCGATAATACTCTGTTTGGGTCAAACGGAAAAAGGCCTGTTGCCATAAATCCGCTTCGGATATTCGACGGCGAAAGTGCTTGTCGGCGAGCGTCTAAGTACATGGGAAGGAAGTCCTGCTTGTCGATATGATGGATCCCAGCGAGCATTTTCTCTTGAACCTTTCGGCCGTATATGGTTTTCAACGGCGAAAAGCACCCGACATCAAGAGGCTGCAAGAGATGTGAGGAATGTGCAGGCATTTGAGTACTACGATGGAATTGGCCGTACAGTACTTGTCAAATTCCGGCGTGACGTGACTGCCGTGCCCGTCGAGAATAAGAAGTCGATGCGTACCAACCGTACGGCGCCGTGTATTCGGATCAAAGACTTCCTTTAACCAATTCAAAGCAAGGTCGTCGGAAGTCCAGCCATTCTCACTAACGGCGATATGCCAGTCATCGGGCACTCCTGATTCGTACCAGCTTGCTTGGTGTAACTTGCCCTGGAAGATAACCTTCGCCGGTAAAGCCCAACCTTGGCAGTTGATAGACTCGATCACAGTAACCCATTCTCGATTTCCAGGCTGCGTGAGTACTGCCCGACCTCGCCGGTCAGACCGGGTAAGGACTCTCGCCGTTGCAGCGACTCCCATTTGAAACCCCGTCTCATCAAAGTTATAGACATCCTCGTCAAGAATCCCCCATTTCTGTTTCGTCGCCGCGACTCGATCGTACCATCCTTGGATCTTTTGGGGGTCTTCGCATTTGGCTCGTTGGTAGTCGTATCGGCGAGAGTACTTTGCCTTGATTTCGCCGTGGCGGCCAACAAACTTCCGCACCCAGTTTTCCCCGACAGGATCTTTGCCTCGCTCGGAAAGCAATAAGTTGGCCATCCGACGAGTGTAAGCCACTGTCGGCGGCATCCCTCGCTCGTCCATCGACAAGATCCATTGTACCAGGGCAGTCTCTTCCGTCGCCGTCAACTTCAGGTTGTTCATCTGAGCGTCGCGTCGGCGAATGACACCGCGCAGTCGATCAGATACTGTCGATTGAGGGACGTCGTATGCGGCCGCAGCCTTGCGGGTACTTTTGAATTGGCCCTGCTGATAGGCCCTGACGGCGAGCAGGACCCGTTCTTCGCGTGGAACCGATTGGTCTCCCGTTGCCGTCATAGTGCTCGGTTTGTCTTGCCATAAGTGTGGGTCGCCGCGTGGAGACTTTTTCTGACCGAGTAGGGGGTCTGACCGGGAAGGGGGTGGATTACGTTATTGGCTCCCCTCAACAGTTCGGTGGTGACTAAGCCTTGTATGTATGGGTCGCTCCAAAATATCGCGCACATCGATTCTCACTCCTACTCTCTCATGTTGCAGCGAGCATTTTACAGAAACTCCCACCGATATGACGTGAGCTTTCCGCACAAGCCTGATGGCAAGCCTAGGGGCTTGCACGGGCCGATGACCATTTCTCTCCTAAATTCTATGTAAAGCACCCTCATGACTTTTCCAGCCATTATTCTCTTCAGCCGCGTCCTCGTTCCTCATGATTACAGGCTGGCTCAGATGCCGCCATCAGCTGCTCAAGTGTCGAAAGGGTATCTACGGCATTCGTCCGGTGGCGTCCGTCCGGTGACTAGGAATGGTGGCCCGGACGCTGAGTCGGCACAGGCGGGCCATGCGGGCGTCGAGTCGGCACAGGCGGGCCGTTCGGGCGTCGAGTCGGAACAGGAAGACGAGCCGGGCGCCGGGTCGGAATAGGAGGGGGACCGTTGGGGCGCGGAGGAGGAGGCTGATTCGGGTCCCGGGGAGGAGACTGCGGAACACCCATCGGCAATGGCCTCAACCCCCTCCCGGGACCCTCTCCAAGCTCATCGCCATCGTCCTTGTCCTCATCGGCACCCCCACAGTCCTTTTGCGGGCAAAACCAGCAAAACGGTGACCTATGAGAGCCCCGGACGCCGCGCTTCCTGTTCAAATCGCGCTTGCAGTCGTGCCCGCCGCAGAGCTTTGGCGGGCAGAAGACCTGCGTGCCCCGCTTCAGCATCCCGTGCAAGTCCGTCTCCAACATGTGCCCGACGCCGACTCCGTTCTGCGCCTCGGCCATGGCGTTGCTGGGCGCGGCGAGGACGGTGCAGGCTGTAAAGGCCAGCGCCACGGCCAGCGCCTCGAGCTTCATGGTGCCGGTTTGTATTTTCCTACAATGGAGAGGAAGACATTAGCCGCCTTGAATTTGACAAAGGCGTTTGGTAGAAGGCAGCGCGGTGGCCCAAGAGACACGCGGCGAGTACACCATCCTTTATACTCGCCTCTCCAAGGCTGGAGTGACGGCATGGACCCGGCCGTTTGAGCCCTGTCTTGCCGCGGCGAAACCAGAGCGTCAGGGGTAGCCTCTGCTTGGGTGTCGAGGAATTCTCTATCAAGCGGTAACCCAAGTTGGAGCGTGACGATTGATTCAAAAAGTAAACGCCGAAACTTGAGCGACCCAGGGGTACTGAATCAGCCGTGAGTATGGTCTCTTCCTGGAAACCAACAGCTGTCTTACGATTCTGTCTTGAGATACGGGGCTCGCCAGGCGTACTGACTATTGGTGAATGTACGGATAAGCACAACTAAACACCCGTTTCGCCTTGCTCGACGCTTCAACCTGCATTGCAACCTCGGTCTAATGAGCCCGATAGCTGAGCCCTTCCTGAACACACTGGGCAAAAGACTGCACAGCACGAGACACCCCGAAAGCCGTTACGCCAGAGAAGGCTTGGGCATCTCGTACACAAGGGGCGCCCGAGGCGACACTAGCAGCGGCACTGTTGCGCTGGGAACCTCCATCCAGGAATGAGAGGGGATTCCGGGCAAGGAATGCTCTTCTTTGGCGAAAGCAACTCCGAAGGCGGCGCACGTGGGCAGCGAAGTGGCGATGAAACATAGGAATGCCGAAGCGGAACCGCGAGCGTCGTGCTCTCCAAGAGTTATAGATGCTTCTCGCCTATATTGCCTCCTCGCGTTTGCATGATCCTTCGTAGATATTCCGATCCGTCCTTTGATGGCCTTTTCCACAGGGACCCACAGCCCGACATGCCCATGGCTTTTGTTCCATCTTCCTCTTTCCATCTTCCTGTATACCCACGAATCCATCATTATACCTGCCGTGTTGCACGACGGGATATGAATGTTGAAACGATCGCCCATATCCTACACCTCGTCAATACCTTCAAGCATGGATGCCAGGACATCTCACTTGCACAAGCCAGAGCCATCCCGCTCACCAGACAAATAGCAAGAGTCAGCCAGTTGACTGGCTCCCGTCGTTGATCAATCATCAAATCAATCGTGCTTGCTGCCACGATCACCTTGCCGTTGTCTCGTACCCGATTCTTAATCAACGGCGCAAAATGAAATTGTTTTGGAAGAGGAAGTTGAGAAATAATGCAGCATCATTTCCAGGCACAAGTCTCGATCCGAATCCTCACTCAACCGCGTTCTTCCAGCTTCACGGAATGAACAGACCCAATAAGATCTGCTCCGTATCTAGCGCATAACAAGCCACAAAGAAGCCGCCTCTCCGAAACAAGTCCTCGAAAGACCCGCATGTTTTCACAGCACAACCAAGATACCGGGTGCCCAGAGAGACCAGCTCATTCTCTTCTTCTTGGCGTAACCCTCTTCCCAGGATTTAAAGGCTCTCTCCAAAACCATTTCGGGCTCTAACTTCTTTATTTCCCCTGGAGTGAGAGAATCCCCTGCGAGTGCAATATGTCTGATGTATCTCAAAAGGGTCTTATGGCGATTGCCAGGGATTCCCTCGGGATAGCTCCAGTTGCAGCTTTGGATTTGTTCCGCCGCGTAACTAACCAGGATGGGGGACCATTGCAGCTTATTATTATGGGCCCTGAATTTTTCGAGAATGATCTTTTCCACGTCTAAATTAAAGACGCCCGAGTATTAGTCTGAATAGGGTTCCGAAGGCGGACCCCAAGTTCGACCAAGGATTCTGGGGCAAGTCTCCAGGCAATAGGTTTTAAGATTGGGTTGAGCGGAAGTGCCGAGCAGCGGGAGGGCGAGGGCGAAGAGAGCGGAACGCATCTTGTGCTTTGCGGAGCGCGAAGACTGGACAACGAGGGTAGGAAAGCAAGAATTGTTTGCGAGTGTTGCAGTGAAGTAATGGGGCAAGAGGGAGGACTCGCGGGGCCTTCTCATAGACTTATACTATTTTTTTTTTCATAGGCTCACGACTGTGTTTCGAGAACGGGGGTGTCCAAGACCAGCTTCTTGCCTAATAAGTCTCATTTCAACCAGTTTATGCTGGACCGCCTCCTGGTAGACGGCTCCTCCATAGCCATCAAACACAGCCATGAGGACAGTCACCCGTCGCGGCCAATTTCCAGGGCATTGCACGACCGAGGGAGCCGTCGAGTGTCGACTCGGCCGGAGCAATGCATGCAATCAAATCGTAAGCCCATGTCCCTGACTCCCGCATAAATCATACTCAGTGCGTACGGGCTTCAGGGCCCTGGACAAGGCTACAAGCTACAAGTCTAGATCTGGGACTCGTTTCCGGGTGTCGTCGGTTTCTAGGAACGTCGCCGCTGATGAGAGTCGGCGAGTCATGCCCGTCTTGATGCCATGGCAGGCGCGCTCTGGAACACACACAAGGACCGCTTTCGAAAACCAATCAACTTAGAACACGGCTTGCGTGGACGACTTGGCGTCAGCCTCTCTACCCCTTGAATCTTACCAAGAAATGACTTGCAACGCGCCTTGGCCGACATGCTTAATAGTTCTATCACCTATTTCGGTATTTCCTAGCACCCGCAGCCATATACATGCGCGAACTGGAGTCGTCGGCTGTGCTGGGCCGACTATCGTACGTGGAGCATGCATAGGCGGTTGTAGCTCGCGAAAAAGAAAATAGCCAAGGCACCTTTACTCGCCGAGTCGCAATGTGCCTGGATGTGACCTGTAGACGGCAATAATCAAGTTCTGCACAACAGGGCGACGTTTCATCACATGGGACAAGGCCTCCTCGTCTACTGCGGAGGCGGTTTCTACGCAGAGCTCTCAACCAACGCAGAGTGACCGGCGTGAAGATGAACATGACGCTGAGACGTACACAATCATCGAGAAGAACCGGGTGGCAGATGGGGACGGGGTGGTTGATGGGGAAGCTGTAAAGGAGACTGAGGAGACTGATGGAGACATGAAGAGGCTGTACAGGAGACCAAACCATAAGCCGGTGCTGCTTACTAGCAGAGCTTGGCTGTTCCTTGTTATCTTCAACGTCTATAATGACGAGGCTATTATCCCTCGCTTCAAATTCGTAGTCGTGGAGACAGGCTATGATTTTGCGTAGTTTGTCTTGAGAGGCTCCATTAACAATACGCGAGCTCCTAATATTGTGCTAGTGTGCTCGGGAGGTCCACGGTCTTTGTCCTCTCGTTGAGCGAGGCCCCCCCTGAACATCCCCCTGAACACAATAGTTGAAAGTGAAGTTGTGGATCATCATCAACAACAACATGGCCCTAAGAGCCGATTTGCTTCCCGTCTTTCCTCGCCATGCTCAGTACGTGGAGAAACCCATCCGCCCCAAGGCAATACTCTTGCTACCAGAAGGATATCGGTCGAAAGTCGGCAGGCGACTCAATGCCCAACTCCCCGTCCGCCTCCCGCTCCCGCTCCAGCAGCAACAACCGTCCAGCCACGTCGGCACACTCCCTCGCCGCCGCCCTCGCGCCCTCGTCGCCCTCGAGCATGCGCGCCAGCAGCAGCACCAGGTCGTGCCGCGGGTTCAGCGCCAGCAGCGTGCGCGCATGAGCCGCGCACCGGCCCGGGTACGCCCTCAGCTCCTCCTTGTCGTGTCGCCGCAGGACAGGCCATTGCGCCACCATTCCGAGCAGCGTCACGCCCAGCGCCCACACGTCGTCGCCCGGCCCGACGTGCCTGTTGCGCCGCACCATCTCGGGCGAGTAGTACGACGGCGTGCCGCCCAGCGGCGTGTCGTTTGCGCTTCTTCCGCCTCGCCGACGCCGCCGTTGCTGGTGCTGGTGCTGGTGCTGGTGCTGGTGCTGTGCTTCTTGGACCCTGCGCACGTCGCCGCAGTCGGCCAGCACCACGTCGAGCGGGCTCAGCCCTCGGACCAGTATGTTGCGCGCCTTGACGTCCGTGTGGAAGAGTCGTCGCGAGTGCAGGTACGCCAGCGCGTCGCCCACTTGCCGCACCGCCAGGAGAATCTCCCCGCGATCCATGCTGGGCGACGCGTGGTCGATGCGCGTCTGCAGCGTCCCGTGCCTGCAGAGCTCGGTGATGAGGAGCGTTGCCGCCGCGTTGCCCGGCTCCCCGTGCCAGTCGATGAACTTGAGAATATGAGGCTTGCGGGTGCGTCTCGCGTCAGTCTCACGAGGCTGTGCCGACACATGCAAGGGAGGAAACGTACGTGCTTCAGCGACTGCAGGATGTCCGATTCCTTTCTCATCTTGGCCACCGCCTCCGACGCCTTGCCAGCCAAGACGCGCCCATCCGCCACCCGCAGCACCTTGTACACCCAGCTCCATCCGCCGTTGCCCAGGCACGAGCCGCGTATATACTTGTCCATCGCGAGCCCGCGGTTCAGGACCGTGGACCGGGCCTCGTCCTCTCCGGTCCAGCTGCCGCCCTCATTGCTGCTGCTGCTGCTGCTGCTGCCGCTGCTGCCGCCGCCGCCGCCATGGTGACTCGAGTCCCTGCTTTCCTCGCGCGGCCGGCTCTGATGCAGCTTGTGGCTCGGGTTCGTGGCGGTCTGGGTGGCGAGCACACGGTGCATTGTCGTCGAGATATAAACAGGTCCAAGGGGGAAGAAGGCGGGAAAGCAAGGGGACGGAGAGGCGGCTGCTGGTGGAACAGGACTCGTCCAATGCCGTGGGCGCCAGTTGCCAGTTGCCGGCAGGCAGCCCTTAATGGCTGCTGCAGTAATGAATCAAACGGGTGCCGTGGGATGCGTCGTGAAACCGTCGTCCTGTTGCAGCGTCATGTAGAGATACCAACGACTCCCACAGAGCAACGGTTTGCATTGTACACACAGTGAGCATTACCGGCCCAGCCCTGGGGCGGAGCAACCAGCTATCATACACGCGCGCTGGTCCCGTTTTCCACTTCCCGTTGGCGCCTCAAATCGTTTGCATCCCCTGCACACGATCCCTTCGCCGTGAATGCACTTCTAACCTGCTTGCTTGCCCTTCATTTCAACGCCTTGATCAAAAGATGTGTATGTACCTTGCTCCGCCCGACCTTGTCAGATTCCCCATCCCATCAAACACCGAGCATCAACCTTTTCGACTGTGCTGCCACTTCTAGGCGCTCCCGTCGCCTGCTCCGCGTTGCGATGCTCTTTTCAAGTTTTCCATCATTCTCTCGACAAATCTCATGGATTCGCATCCAGGCACGTCGGAGAATTCCTGCCTAAATTGCACGGCTGGGCCTCTTCGAGTCCCCGGTGTCTCGGACAAGACATGGTCATGGCTCGGAAGCCCGCCTCTGGACTGCGTGGGGCCCGGAGCCGGACCCTTCTCCACTAACGGCGCTGTCTGTGCCTGCCGAGCCGCGTCTTGCGACGTCGCTGGTGCTAGTGACATGCTTGGCAGCCTTGGCGCTGGGGGTCCCGACGTCCTCGCAGCTTGTGCCAAATAGGCTTCCGCCCCAGGGCTAAACACTGCTGCGTGCGCGTGCGCCAATTGCGGCGCCTGCGTCCCTGCCTTCGCTGGCTCCCTGGCCGCCCATGCTTGCGGTGGGTCGACGGCCGGAGCGGGCACAGGCTCCGACTTGCACGCCTGAGTGTTACTCGGGGATGAAGCCATGGCTGCCAGGAAGTTGGCAGGCAGAGGAACCGGCGACTGTTTCGGCAGAGTCTGCGTCGCTGGTTTGGTCGACTTAAGGGCAAGATGGACGGCCGCGGGCAGCCCATCCTGATTCGACTTTTGCGCCGGGGCGACTCCGGCTTGGGACACCTGAGCCGGTGGTTGCTGGCTGGGTGGGCTGTGCTGCGAACCGGCTCCGGCCTGTGGTTTGACGGCGGGGTGTAATGGATGGCTCAAGGCTCCGGGCACAAGGGGCGGCAGCATGGCCGTGTTTTGATGCAGCATCGACGCAGCCGACACCAGGGTTTGTGGATTTGTGGCCGGTGGAGATACATCTCCGGGTTTCTTGAGATGCGCAGCGCCGTGCAAGTTTGAGGCCCCGTAGTTCGGGGTCATCGAGACAGGCAAAGGTGCTTGATTCAGGCTGGGTCTTCGCAGCAGGTCGCTTTGCCTTGCCATCAAATGCGCCCGTAAGTCACCCTCGTATCCGTTTGTGAAACCGCCCCACAGAGCATACGGGGTTCGATACTTCGACGAGTCCCTGCGATGCTGGTTAGCGCCTGGCAACGCTCGAGCAAAAGGACTCGCGAGAGCGAACGCACCTATTGTGGTTGACCTGGAAAAAGGGATATCTGTAATACACTGATGAATGGACCTGCCACGTGGGGCGACTCTGGTGCATCGAGGCAGTCTTCTGATATGGACCAGGCGAGGGTCTGTGCAAGCTAGACGCGCCGCCATAGCTTGGGTGTTGGAGCGGCGCCGGCGTGCGTACTTGCGGGCTGGGGGTATTTGCGGGTCCCGAATTCGTCGTCGGATACACATCCTTCGGGTAGCAGGCCCGAGACGAGTTGTCGCTGTGCTGGTAGGGAGCACCGTGGGGTGCTGAAAATGATGGTTGCGCAGCTGTCGGGGCGAACTTCTGGGGCGCATACGTCAACGGGGCGAGATGTGGTCCGATGGGCGTCTTTGGTTTGTACGCGTACGGCTTCTCGAGCCGGCCAGCCGCAGCGCTCGTCGCGGCGCTGGGCTGGTGGTTGAAGGAATAGGCATACCCGCCCACCGGGGCAACCTTCGGTGGTCGGGCGCGGGCGGCACTTTTAGGCGCAGGCGCCGGCTTGGGTGGTTTCGGGAGTGTGTTCAAGAAGTTGCCTTTGGCATTGTGCCGCTGCCTTGTCGGATCCTCCGTGTACTGGGCCCGGGCATCGGTCGACGTCTTTCCGAGGTAGTGCCAGGTCTGGTCCGGCTTCGAGAAGTCGATCCTGGCTTGGTCCTTGTTGGTGACTGGTTCGAGGTGGAACTCAGCCCAGATGTAGCCGTCGGCAAATGCATCATCCTTCTTTGGTTTGTCGTCGTGAAGCCTCCTGGCGTTCAGTTGGTCCTGGGCCTTGCGCGATGTAGGCATGGGAATGGCCTTGGCAGACGCCTTGGGCAGTTGGAAATCGGCCGGGTCCGGGAGCAGTAACCACTTCCACTCCACCTCTACTCGGTCGCTGTAAAAGGTCAGCCTCGCGTCTCCTCGTGGAGCGATGGACACATACCCGTTGGGAAGGACATCAATCAGAACCATCTGCTCGTCCGCGCGGTTCTCCACCACCATGCCGGCGAAGATGTCGCCCTTGTAATGTTGGAACTGACAAATCTCTCCCTTTTGCAGCACCTCTGCAGCCGCACGTATGCGATCGTCCGTCTCCAAGACGTCGCCGTCCGTCTTCTTCTCCCGCCTAACCCGGTGAAATCGGCAACTAAATTCAAAGGCTCGTTCCTTGAACTCGGTGCCGTCGTCGACAAAGACAGGCACGTCCTGTTCTTCAACAAATACCCCAGCGGCGGCAGCGCAAGTTGCATGGTATGCCCTGGCACATTTCTTCTTGGAGCACTGGAAACAGGCTCCGCGCTTCGAGCGGCAAAACAGACACTTCAAGTCAAAACGGTCCTTGGAGATGGCCGCAACATTGCAGATGATTTCCTTGTCGTCCACCGTCTCCACGTACGTCTCGGGCATGTATAGGGCACACATGCGATGTGCTTTGCGACCATCTTCTGTGGGCAGCATGTCCAACCCGGACACATCGTGAGGGCAAAGGCAGCAGGGGGGTTCGGCCTTTGCCTTGAGGCGGAGCTTGATCCTCTTGACCTTGACCTTGTCTCGCTTCCCGGGGAGACCGCGCTTCCTCTTGCGGCCGCCGTCCTTGAACCTCACCCCGTGACTAGCGGGCGGTGTCGGAAGGCCAGACATGTCCCCGTCTCCATCGGCGTCGTCGTCTTCGTCGTCTTCGGTCTCTTCGTACTCAGTTTCTTCGCCGCGAAGCTTGCGCTCGATTTCGTACACGTTGATCCAGACGCTATCCTGCGCTTGGGCACACTCGCATTTCTTTGCAATCTTGCCCATCGGTAGCCAGGAGTCGAGCGCGAAATTGACAGCCTCGGCGCAGTTGTACCCTAGGTTGTAGCCAGAATGATAGCCGTATGGGTAGGTGACGACGAACTCGCCGGGATACGACACGACCTTGTTGACCTTGATGCCGTAGTGCTGCAGCAGGTGGTGTGGCGAGATCAAGAAGCCCTTGTGCCGCAAGAATTGGTCACAAGCCTTGGCGTCGGTGGGCCAGATGCTCTTCATGGCGGCTTCGAACCGGCGAGCGTCGGCCTGGGAGATGCTGTACCACTGCTTCGGGGCGCCAAAGTGGAGGTAATTGATGCTGTACAGGTCCACGTCCTCGAGATGCCAGGCAAATGTGGCCTTCCACATTCCCAAGTAGAGGTATGCCGTGTTGACACCGGGAACCTTGGTGCCCAATACGTCCAACAGGTTGGGTAGCTTGTTGAGGTTCCAAATGTCTGTCCTGTCGTCAAACAGAGTGCCCATCAGGTCGGCACCGTACAGTGGCGATGCGTAGGTCAAGGTCTTCCAATAGGCACGCTCAAGTTCCTCGCAACGCTCGGGCGTGTAATCAGATATGTCCATCCGATAGTCAAACTCCTTGAACGCGGCCTCGTCGATCATGGCCGATCCTTCCCGGCGGCTGTACTTGCGGCGAGCCGACACTGACTGGGTCTTTGGTTTGGACTGCCTTGCCCCTCCCATTCTCCCCACCGAGGGCTGGCAGTCGTTTTCATCGGCCTCGTCGGCGGCGTCTCGCTCGATGGAGTCGACAGGCTCGTCCTCGACGTCATGGGGCTCCTCCTTGGGAGACACCGGGGTCATTGGCCGCTCCTCTTCGTTATTCTGGGATTGCTTGCTCCGACCCTTTGCCGGTCGTCCCTTGCCACGCTTCTTAGGCGTCGAAGGCTTGGTAGACCTTGGGACTGCTGGCGCACGGGTCCGCGGTGGCTTCGGTCTGTCGGCGTTGGCACGCCGCTCTCCACGCCTGGCCGGGGGCTGATGCTCGCTCTGTTCGCACAGCTGGCGCCACTGTGGCACGTTGTAGGAGCGACCGTGGAGGATGTTTACTTGCCGGTAGGTGCCGTTGGAGCCCATGATGTCTTGCTTGATGGGCTCGCGCACCTTGACGTATTTGACGAGGTCATCGAGCGGCGGCTGGGCATCCTTCCATTCGGACGGCGGTATGATCTTAATGATGCCGGATTTCATGCCGTAGCCGTCCACCTTTTTCATCTTCATGGCTCAAGGTTAGCGAGGGGCCGGATGACGACGCTTCGCATGGGACAACATACGAAACGCTCGAAGTCCTTGAATTGATGCATGGTTGGGCGGAAGACGGGTACGTTGCCGGACCAGTGGTCCGGCAGCACCTCGCCAATATCATCATGGTCGTGGTCCTCCTTTTCCTGGTCGGCTTCGGTGGGCTTGTTGGCCTGGGGTTCGACGGGGGCGGGCGCGGGCGCGGGAGGAGGCCCGTCGAGGACAGGCTCATCGTCGAGGTCGCTCAGCTCCGAGTCGGTCGCATCTGTCTTGGCCGCATCGTTGCTATCGGGCGGGGAATAGAGAAATGCGGGCGCGGGCTGTCTGGCGCATTCGATCTGGTCTTTGGCGGCAATCGGAAGAGGGCCGGACGCAACATCGACAGGCGCTGGGTTGCTGGCGGCGGCGGTGGACATGGCGGTCGGGACTCAAGCCGCGGCACGCGATGAGGCCATGGGGGAAGCGAGCTGGCTGCGCGCGTGCGAAGCGCCGGTGAGGAGCTTATCGAGGATCGCACAGAGAAACGGGTCGAGGAAGCGGAGGTTAGGAGAGGTGAGGTCGGCGGTGGTATGATGTGCTGTGGGTGCACAGGACAAGGGATGGAGAGCGGCTGCTGGAATAGGTGGTGAGTGGGCAGAGGATGCGGAGAAAATTGTTAGACGGGTGCTGGGCCCGGGCAGGTGCTTGCTTGGAGGGGCGAAATGGGCCGCATGTACAGATACTTTCTGTACTAAGAGTGGGAGATTGGATACCTGAGTCAGACGAGCAAATGCAGGGCAAAAGAAGTCTCTTGTCAGGGATAAAGTACTTTCTCGGAAATTTGAGTATCTTCTACCGAAAAGAATCCGCTTTTTCTACGTTCAAGGTACGTACCGGGTGTTTGTACCCGGGCTGATTGCAGATTGAGGTGCAGCGCCTCAATTGAGATGCAGAGAAACAGAGCAAAGATGGTCCGTGGATAGGTATCCCAAGTACTGTAGAAAGATGCACGCAAATCGACGGCAGTCTTTGGCTGCCTCGCTTTTAATGGAGTTCTAATGCTGGCATCGCGCGCCGCGCATGAGAGAAACGAGGAGAGACAGCTGTTGCTTTGCCTCAAATCACGTGCCTGGACCTGGTACATCTTCATTACAGTCGGAGCCAAGCATCAGGTCACCGAGATTAGAGGTGCGGGACCGAAACTTTGTGCACATGCTAAGCTGTCCTGGGCCTCACTTTTACGTACCGACGAGGGCGGGCGGACGTCTGATTTCGAAGGAGACAATGCTTTGGTCGGAGTAAGCGCATTGAGCTGGACACGCCACTGATCTGGCCTTGTGTGAGATGGAATGGGGCTTCTTGGATGGGCCACGGTGCCTGTTAGCCGCCGTTGCGACAGGATGTAGAGAAGCCTTTCTTGCAGCATGCGCATCAGTGTCCGTGCATTGCAATGAGCTTGCCGTCGATGCGATTGATAAGATCAAGGCTCCCCCGATTAACGATGCGGAGCGCTTTTGCTACTCCTTTGCGAGCCTCCACTTCCACGTTCTACGCAGTCGCGGGTCTTTCCGAGGCCCCGTCCGACTGGCAAAAAGAAACCCCCATTCGCCACGTTCCATGAGGTAATCTTGTTTGATTGCTGTATCCTTCACATGCCGGTGAACGGTCGGCACGACCAACAGCCATCCAGTCTTGTCGCCAGAGACACAACATCCAACCACAGTGGCGCCTCGACACCCAAGCTCAAAGCCAGAGCGTCTATTCCACTTACACCGGAAAGACAGGAGATTTACTGACATGCATGAAAACAAGGCTGAGCGTGGCCGACGACAACACCCGCTACCCTGCAGGCAGATCTATATCCTGCAGGCTGTGTCTAGCTCCGACCTACAATCCTTAACACGCGCCATCCTCGGGCCTAGGGCCATCCTCGAGCCTAGGGCTTTGGGGGGGTGTCAGCTCTCTCGAACCACAGACAACACTGTCATCAGTCTACGCCGTTGAGCTGGCTTTGAACGCCGGGTCCAGCAAGCGGTGCTTTATAATATATTTTATCTGACGCCCCGGCACGAGTCCCACGAGACAGCCGACCAAACATGCGAAGTGGATCACCGCTTCTTCCGGTTCCATGGTCTAACGGTTATGACTGCGGATTCTGATTCCGCCAGCGAGGGTTCGACTCCCCCTGGAACCTGTCTTTTTGAAGCTCGTTGCCTGGACCGTGATGCGGCGGATTGCTCGCGATGTGCGGATTGAAAATAATGCATCAGCTGTCCAGCCATGTATTTTTTTGCCCTTTCCTCGAGGATGGGATTTTACCACGAGGACGGGTTGCGGCCGAGAGCACGTGACGGTCATCTCCACCCTCTGCGTTGCCTTTTAGGCGGTCAGCAGTATCAACTTGCCTGCCTGCCTACCTACCTCCCTACCCACCTAGGTACCTATTCACTGATGGGCTGAGCAGAACATGTCGCCGAAGCTTCGGTACAGTGTGGCAGTCGACAAGGCCGTCACCACGTGGTGTGCTGGTTGATAGGCTAGATGATCCCTCGCTTCCACCGATCGAAACCATGCATCAATCGGCCACCATCAACAAGCTAGCAATCTCACCTCGAGCCAGCCCGCCCGCCGTCGACTCGACCTGCTAGTGGCTTGCTGGTGCTACCCCGGCCGACGCATCTCCCCGCATCTCGCTCCTCGAGAAAGAGAGCTCCTAGCCGTCCTGGGTAGCCCGCTTGGTGCCTCCAGCTGCGCGGCGCAAGGGCCAAGAGCTGACCCTGTTTCTGCAGCTAATGACCCCGTTCGGCTGGCTCCAGGTTGCTTTTGTGCACGATGCCTCGCCACGTACGGCCCTTGGTGCTGCTTCGCCGCAGTCCTCTTCTCCTCGCCGTCCCTTCTCTGTTCGGCCCTCACTCGATCCCGCCACCCTCGTCTTTGCCTCACCCAGCGTGCCTGGAGAGTATTAGACCCTTGACCCAAAGGAACCAGCTCGTCATACCGCTCCTCTGAGCAGCCTGGAGCAGCCCTTTGCCGCTGCCCTGCACCCGGCTCGCCATGGCCCCGCTCTGCCTCGTCGGCGTCCTTGCCGTTGCGCTCATGGCTGCGACTGTTACCGCAGACGATTCCAACCAAGGCATCAGGGTCTGGGCCGCGGCTGCTTACATCACTCATGGCGAGAGGACCCCCCCGATGGGCGGCCTACAGACCATTCTGACCCCAGAGGGCGCTCAGCAGATGTGGAGGCAGGGCAGCGCGTTCCGCAGTCGCTATTTGACTGGCGGTGCAAACGGCAGCCAAAGCGCCGTTCAGGGCATGGCCAGAGATGCCATCGACAACGCACAGCTCAGCGTCCTGTCGCAGGCCGACGAGTGGGTCGCCGCCGGTGCCATGGCCTTTATGCAAGGCCTCTACCCGCCCAAGACGGACGTCTATGTCGGCGCTGCGGGCGGCCAGGTCTTGGGCCATGACTACGCCGACGGAAGAAACACGACAGATTATCCGTTGGAGGGCTACCAATACCCCTGGATTCTGACCGTGCCCCCTCAGGAGAGCTCATCTATCGGGTGCGTCTTGCACACGCCGCTTGTTCGCAACGGCCCCAGCCAGTCCTTGATCGCTGACGGCGTTTCGTAGGCTTCAGGGAGACGTCGGCTGCCCCGCGTGGCAGAGCGAGATGGAGACGAACCTGAGAAACAGTCGAGATACGCAGGATCAGGTTGATCAGTACAGAAGTTTATACCAGACGCTGTTCTCGAGCGCTCCGCTTCAGGGAGTAATACCCCTGGTGCAAGCCAGCTATGAGAATGCGGCCGAGATATACGAACTGGTCAAGTACATGTACACCCACAACGAAACAGTCTTCAACGGTCTCGACAACGCCCAGGACACCCTGAACACGCTCCAGGCCCTTGCCTTTGCCTCGGAACGTGCCAAGACCAGTCACAACAGCACGAACCCTGACGATTCCCTCCATGTGCTCTACAGCATCGCCGGCCGAACCCTCGCCAGCCAGGTTGCCAACGATCTTGTCAGAATGCTCGCCGCCGACGGAGGGGGAGGGAAAATGACTCTTCTGTTTGGCTCCGCGAGACCGCTCCTTTCTTTCTTCTCGGTGGGTGGCCTGCTCACGCGGCAAAACCTCGTGTCGGGACCATTTTCTCGCTTGCCGGAGCCTGGCGCCGCCATGATATTCGAAGTCATCTCGGATAGTCAATCAAGCACCTCGGGGAGTTCCCCGGCTATGGGCGACTTGAAGGTCCGCTTCTACTACAGGGCCACGGCCAACGCAAACGAGACTTTTGCGACCTACCCGCTGTTTGGATCCGGGTTCGACGGCGCAATCATTCCTTACGCGTCGTTTGTTCGGAGAATGAGAGACCGGGGCTCTACGCCCTCGGGGTGGTGCGATATCTGCAGCCCTCGCAACACCGTGTACTGGTGCGTCAGTCCGTCTTGCGCGAAACCGAGCATCAGCCCCGTAGTCGGGGGCATCATTGGCGCCGTTCTCACCGCGGCCCTCGCTGGCATCATCACCCTTGTGTACCATGTCCTTCAGAAACGCCGCACCAGCAAAGCACCTCGCGACGGGTCCGCGGGCGGCTTCAGGGGAGCACAGAGACGGCCCGCCGATGCTGATGTTGCCCTGTCCAAGGGCGGGGTGCGCGAGGAGAGGATCGGGAGCTGGGAGATGCGCGCTAGAGATAAAAACGAGGAACCGACTTCGGATATTGCTCGGGCCGTGACCAAAGATTGCGACACGACGTGGAGGGAAAGAGATGATGGGGATGGCATCAGTATTACCGGACCGCCGGTGAAGCCGAGGGAGAGTGTATGATGACAGAATGAAACCACTGGACGGTTGGTGCGATCCGCAAGCATGGTCGGGTGTCGATAACATTGCACTCATGCTTTTCCACAAGGGAAGGCGTCTAAAACTACAGCCCATCTTCTCGGTAATACGCGAATAGGGGAGACAACAAACCCGCTACCTCAAAGCCATCGTCCTCTTGGCGATATTTCCCAGCCCTAAACTCGGGCTATATAGTATGCTGGTTAAGTATGGGTAGAGGCTAATAAAGACGAAGGTGGGCAGTGCTGGCGTAAACCTTGATTTTGCAACTATTTGCCATTCGTGTAACACCGATCTTGCGCCCCGATGCCTCGCTTTACATTAAGGTAGGATGGAGGTAGTGCAAGATGGGGCATCTGCCGCCGTTGCAACGCCCCCTGAGGTTGGAGTCCATGCCGATCCGACTCGAGCAATATTAACAGGATAATAGGACGAGGCACGAAAACCGCTCCGGGATAAGCTGCCTGCTGCCCAGCGAGGGAGGGAGGGAGGCGCGGCTTCATGTGGCCCAGGCCGAGAACCGGTCCCTTTTTGCCGCGCCTGCTCGGATGCTCCGACGATCCCTCCGCTGTCGTTCGGTCTCGCCGGGAATATAGGAAACAGGGGGGGGGGTTTCCTCCTCGACACAAAGCCCGAGCTTAATGGTATGGGGTCCTTTCCGCTGAGCAGGGAAACAGAGCTTGTCGTTGTATGGATGCGATTTGGTGCTCCTTGCAGGGAAACCGCACAATGCGACTCTCGTGCTCTTCTTTCTGATTGTGAGATGAGAGCCGTTATAGGGCTGGATATTACCTTTCTGCTCGACAAGATCTCTAAACCGATTCGTCAGGAAGGATGGACACGAAAATACGTTCTCAGCATAGCTATTCTCAGGCTCTTCTTCTTCCTCGGATCCCGTAATACAGGCCGCCATCAGGCCATCAACAACGAGACCATCATTTAAGTTGGCCGACGGCCCGACTGGCTCCAGATGTGTGTATTTGAGGCAATTCAGCCGTGCCGCGGCTCATAATGGGACTCAACCGCTCCTCCCTGGTGCTACCGTTGTCTCCACGCCCCGTTGGCCCTCGCATGAGAGATCGAACAAGGCTCGCAGAGAGGCAGAGGACCTTTATGGAATGAAGCCCATCGGCCAAGAGTATTTAAACCACTCACATGTTTCCAGCCTCGCAAAGCGCGAAAGGATCGGCACATCATCCGTTGATACGATTCGCGGGTTGACTTCTCGACTCCCTCATCACGGTTGAGACATTGCCGTGCATATATGCACATTGCCAGTTGCAAGTACGGCACCGTCTTCCGAGTATGTATACAAACACAGGTTACTTATTCAAGCCGCTTCTTCACTCCCAATGGGTTCAATTGGCCGAGTGGCACATGAAGCCAGTTTCTCGGGTGCTATCTACAAAACCGCCCAGTATCGTACGCGCTGCCTGCGGTAGCGAATCTCCTCAAGAACCAAGCTATTGAATCCTTGGCCTTGCCTGGCCGTGCCCAAACGCCAAATATCGTCCCAAAGAATGTCGTCCAATATATGCAAAGAAGTATGTGTGAAAATTCACCTCGTCGTCAGGCCAGGAGGTGCCGTAGTCATCATCTACAAATCCATGGTCAAGAGCTCTAACCTCGACACAACCGACTCCATGTTGGCGCTCATGCGCTGGACACGGGCCATGGCCAGCGTGGCTGTCGCGTTTTCTTTGTCGGCATCCACCAGCTCATACCTGGAGAGCATCTTCTCTGTTTCGAAGCCGCCAAAGATGTCGGGGCTGCCGAGGCTCTCAGCGTCAAAAGCATCGTACTCCTGGCGGACTGAAGCGGGCTCGGAGTGGAACAAAGCGAATTCTGGATCGCACTCGAACTCCTCGTCAACAGGTGACTCGACGACGGGTTCCGAAGCCTCAGCACTCTCAGCGGGCCGCTCAAGAGCGGGAACCTCAATCTTGCTGTCCTCGCCAGACAGGAAGGTCTCCTCAACAAAGTCTCGGGCCTTGCCAGACAGGACTGAGACGTCGACGGCGCTAGGCATCTCCGGCGTGTCGACAACAAACACTTGAGGCTGGAAATTGTACGCGGCGCCATTGTCGAGGCTGAGCATGGAAAAGTCCATGCTCTGCTCGGGAACCATGGCCATGCCAATCTGCTGCTGCTGCGAGTGCTGGCCGGCATGAGGGTTGACATCTTTGCGGATGTGGCTCATTTCTTGGGCCTGTTGCTGGGGCTCAAGCTTGACCTGAGCGGCCTGAGGCGCAGCAGCTGGGTTGGTGCTGAGGTGTTCGAGGAGTGTGGAAAAGGACGGGGATCCGAGAAGCATGCGGGTCAGGTCGGAGAGCTGCCTATTCTCCTCCTCGAGAGCACGGTTGCGCGCCCGCAAATCGCCGTTCTCATTGACCTTGCAGGCGATTTCCGACTCTAGTTGAGTGATGTATTCTGCGTCCAGTTAGCGATGAGTCATTTGATGTTGGGATGCGAACAAACTGACCCTTCCTCCGCGAACGGAATGCGCGGGCAGACACCTTGTTGCGAAGTTGCCTCCGCTCCTTGCTGCTCAGCTTCTTGCCCTCCTCGCTAGCCAGGAGCCGCTCATCCTCGTCCATGTCCTCTTCATCCTTCCTGATACGAGGCAGATTGGTAACGGCAGCCTGGCCCTGGGCGTCATGCGTAGACGACTTGGCCCGCATCGAGTTGAGAAGCTGCGTAATCTTTTGTTCGACAATGGGGTCTGTAGGATGCGGGGCCTTGGCGCGCGACCTCTGCTGCTGGGCACCCGCACGTTGGGCCTGTTGCTGCTGAATGGTGTGCTGCTGCCTCTGTTGGGCCTGGGCCTTGGCGAGGGCTGCTTGCGAGTGAGCGCCGGGCCAAAGGCGGCCAACGCTGCCTGACGTCGAAGGGACGGGAGGTGAGCGCTTGCTGGGTGCGTCCTGCTCAATGTTGCTGGGATTGACCGTGTTGAAAAGCTGGTGAGATTCGGCGGGCGACTCGAAGTCGATTTCCATGTTGCTCTGTGCCGGCGATGTGTTGAAATCGAACATGTCGTTCTCGGGAGTCAGGTTGGACATATACTCGAGGCTGCCAAAGTCCTGATAGCCAGTGTTGTTGGTTTGGTTGACGGCCATGGTGTTGGCGATGGCACCGGGGACAAAACCCGTCTGCTGGCGGTACATGTCATAGTTGTGACTGGGGCCGCTGAGCGTTTGTGGCGTTGTCGAAGGGATGCTGGGAGTCGTCACGACGGCGGAGACAGGGCTGGCAAAGGTGGGCTTGGATGATGAGGGGGAGAGCGAGGGAGAGTTGTAGTTGTTATCATATTCGGAGAGGTCGAGCAAGGCGTCGAGATCGACGTTACTTTGATTTGGCGCAGACATGGTGATGGCAAGCCCGTGGCCGGGGGGGCTGCGGGGGACACGAAGAGGCTTGAGGTTGACTATGAAGGCGCTTCGTCCCGAATGGTGATGGCAGAGACGTGGCCGTTTGGTGACGTGAGCCTTTGAATGGATACGTTCGCACTCTGCAGTCTGGGGTGTATGGGGGCGTTGGTTGCGAAGCGAGTTGATGCCGTCCTCGCCTGAGCAGAACGGTTGGATTCGGTAGACAAAGTTGCGAAGTTGAATGCGCGGCGATGGAAGAGGAGGAGGAAAGGGTCAAGATGATGTAGTGAGGGGAAAGAGTCAGGTTCAAAACCAAAACAAAAGGTGGAGAGGCCAAGGTCGAGGGGGGCCCCAGAGGGGCTATGAAGGGAATGGATGCCTTGGCTTCAGAAGGGGTGCATGGACCTTCCGGGGAGCGGCAGGGGGGGAGGGGCGTGCTGGCGAGCCAAACGCGAGGCGCTGGCGGGGGGCGTGCAGGGGACAGGCCGTGGAGGGGGCAGTGGACGCGTCAGCTCTCTCCATCCAGGGTTCCCGAATAGGTTACTCGGCGACAGACCATCACATAATCAATCCCACTCGCTGCCGACCCGCCCACCGAGCAGCATGTGTATCGAGGAGTGATGCTGCTAGTTCTGTATCCGCTCTGGCCTGGGCACAAAGGCACAGCCTGTTAAGCCGCCACCCGCCGCCACTTACGGCCCCCACGCCCTGGACAAGCCGAACTGCTGATACCGCGGACCGCTGGCCTTCTCCCCCAGGTTTCCTGCGCATCCCGCTGACACGATACGGCACGGCTCACCGCGGCGAGTTGATTTGCATGCCAAACAGCAACGCCCAAGATGACGACCCACGAAAAGCTCCATGCCTCCCCATAACAGCCATTCTTGCCTGCCCCATTCTCCCTCTCCGACCTTCTCGCGGCTGAGGGCTATGACGGGTGAATCAAAGGCTCGGCAAAGCCCGTGCTCTCGCGGAGAGCCGGCCAACCGTCTTCTATTCGCCCCAGCGCCAGGTCAATGGCCGCTCCTGTTGATGCCGATTCGGCCCCGCGGGGAGGCGGGCTTCGGTCTACCGACAGGTCCGAGATGGTTTGGCTCGGCGCCATTGGCCTTTGGAGTCTCAGCGCTAGCGTCCAACGGACCGTGGCTGTGTGTATGCTTCGTACAGGGGCCCGACTCGCATTGTGCGACGGCAACCTCTCGCCGGGACGGGCGCTAGAGGAGTCGCTCTCGCGCCATTTCCGAAAGTTGGGTGCGTCCGTGGTTTCGTACTTTTGCAAGCTGAGACTGCTTGTCGCGACATGATCATCGACTGCGCAGGCCAAAGAAGAATGCCATCCACGACAGGCCGGTAGGAGGACGAGGAAAAATCGGTTATCTACGGCTTGGGGTACTGCGTAGCACTGTGCGAGGATTGATGGGACATTGAGTGGCAGTGCCTCGCAGTTGCAGCGATGCAGTGATGCAGCCAGCGACCGTGGAGTAGGATTGTACCGTGTGCACTGTAAAACGGACTGTACGAGACAGTATCTGTATCTGTTGGACTCTGGGATATGTGGGATGATATCGGATTGCCGGCAAACTCAGTTGGTGAACAAGTGCGAAGTTGCCCTGTGATTACCTTTACAGGCCATTATGTTCTCAGTACGGCTCTCTCCCACATTCCGAGCAGATAGCAGCTCGCCTGATGGACGAACTAGAGCTTCCGCAAAGACAGGCCATTTTTGCTATGTTTGTTTCATGCTGAAACAAACGCAGGTCTGATCCACGGTGCCCAAGCCCGGCGTGCGGATTGTCGGCATCGTGTCCGTCGGGCCGACGCTTTTAGAGCCGCTTCGTTCTTTCTTTACGGGCAGCATCATCAGGTATTGCAAGCTTGCAAGGCAGTCTGTGTGTTCAGTCTCTCTAATTGCCACCAAGGCAACTGCTCCGTAGGACAGGCTTTTCCCATGGCATAGGCGAAACGGGCCTCCAGCGAGAAACCAAACCGGGGTCGTGTTTCTCAGTCTCTCCCAGCACTGGCTAGGGTAGTAGGTATGGCGAAATAGGGTCTTCCAAGTCGAGTAAATGCTGCAGGTCCTTGTTCCTTACAACCATGAACGTATTGGAGCAAACTGGCACAGCCTGGCACAGCCAGCCTGCACCGGCATGATGGTGGAGCACAACAGGCCGAAAGGGTGCTGGGTCTCGTGTTTCCAACAGACGGGGGGCATGGAATCAGTAGCTATTGCCCATTTCCTATTCCTGGCCAGTCTTGGCCACCACAGCGAACGGCTTGGAATCTGCTCAGCATCACCTGGCAAGCTGGACTGAGTCTGGAAGCATTTGCCAAGCCGCAAAAATTGTCTGTTGATGCTGCTGGAAAATTGGGCGTCTTTTTGCGTCTGCTCGACCACGGAAGCATAAAGGGGCCTGCCAAGGTCGGATTTGGGACCATGGGTATTGGGAGTTCGCCGCGGCGGTCAAAATGATGCTCAAAAGATGAGATTGATGGCCAGGTCTTTGTCGGCACCATGAGCGTGCAGTATTCGTAGAAGGCGTTGAACACCACTCGATGGTGGCGGTGCCGTCGCTCGGCTGCAGCGGGCTTTGTGGGCCGTATGATAGGACCGGACTAAAATTAGAAACTCACCCGGCCTAGAAAGGAAAACATCTGACGGATAGGATGCATTCTTCGTCAGCTTCAACTAGTCAACCTGCCAAGACGGCCGAGGCGTACTTTCGCGGGCGGTTCATGACCCGTCCTCTCGCGCCTCACCTGTTGCCAAGCGGAGATTGGTGAGCACCCTTCAGCAGGCCTGTTCGAACTTGACTGCATCGGTATCCCGTATTGATTGGGCGTCTAATTACGGAGTACTGTACGTACTTGTTGTTCGGTCAATTTTTGGTTGGCTGTCAGCCGCATAACACCTGTTCGGCACTCGTTAACGTTTCACCGCCCGGGGCTTAACCAGGGCTTAGGTAAGAATGTCGCGACGAGCACAACACTTTGCTGCCCAAATGCAACCAGAGCTTTGGACGGCTGCTTTCATTGTTCGCGCCGGCCGTCAAGCACTACTTTGCCCAGACTGAGCTGCTTGCTCGTCGCCAACTCTTCTCCTCTCTTTTCACGCACCTCCGCAGACGTTAGTTCCTCCCGTGAACTCGCCGCCTCTCAAAAACCTGTACGCCGCCACGGAGGAAGCTTGTGAGGGGTGACGACTCGCATCTCCTTCCCTCGTCGCGCCCACGAACACGCACAAGTCCCTCCCTTCTGCAATCGCTTTGCTTGTGTCACCACTCTCTGACCTTATTTGAGCATTCTCTGCGTCGCCGCCTTTGACCCTGATTTACCCCCGCCGCGACTTGGAGCTTCCAGCATGCCACGCTCGTCCGAGTAGCTGCATCAGTCGACAAAAATGGGCACGACCAAGCGGAAGCTGCCCGCAGCCGCCAAGGGCGTCGCGAGAGAGAAACGGAAGCGAGCTCGCTGGCCTCTGAAAGGTCATTTGGACCCTGGGAGCCTCGTGGCAAAGCCGCTCATCCCCAGACCCCAGTCCAAGCATCACAGCTACTTTGAGTTCGTCGAGAACAAGGACAAGAAAAAGAAGCTCCATTTTCAGGTGAGGATGCCTCCCCATGTTTCGAAGTGTTCCTCCCGCTAACTTGGCGCAGAACACTCACGACAGACGTCCCCCGCTGGAATGCGAGTTCCTTCCAATCGGCAACCCGGAATTGACCACTGCCTGTAAAGAATTGTCCCGCCAGAGGGGCATTCAAATTTACATTGTCTCGGTAAGCTGCTCGACGCCCCTCGGCTGTATGTGGAGCAAGACTGACCAGCTTTAGGACTCCCACTTCAACGGCATCACACACAGTTACGCCAACCAGATGAACAGAGTAGGCTACCATTTCCACAAAGCTATCGTGCAGGAAGCCAGAGCCGCTATTGGTGGACTCTCTCAGCAAGTAGCAAGCGTCCCGGATGGAGAATCCGAGCCCATTCCCGAGTCCCAGGCGCTCTATCACTCGCAAGTTGATGCCGCGCTGCGGGATCTATTCCCCCGCATCCCCCACAATGACCGCCAGACGATTATTCAACACGCCTTCACAAGGGTAAACCCCTCCCCTCAATCTGATGAAAAGGGCGATATCAAGACTAAGCGCGCCCCTCAGGACACACGGTCCAAGGGCGAAGAGCGTGAGCGCGTCGGCCTCCAACCCGATGTACCTCTTGCCCGCAGGGTTCAGCTAGCAGTCCTGGCCCATATCAGGCATAATCATACTAGGTATGATGAATTGCTCAAGGAGAGCGGGTGGCATGTGGCCCGGAAAGCCGTCGAGGCGCTGTGTCTCGATGTCCTCGTCAAGTGGCGAGGAGATGAGGAGACCGGACGGGATCAGCTCGACGAGATTCTGCGTGAAATCGTCGTCATTTCCGACTCGGAGGACGACGAACTCGAGCAAGACTCGACCGATGACGACTCCGTCGTGGAACTGGACCCGCCAAACGATGCGACTATGCCTCACCGATCCTCGCGCCAACCCTCGCGGCCCGCAGATCCGAACCTTCTGCCTCGTAGGGCGGGACCTCAGACTCCTGCACCGTTGGTGCCACCCGGGCCAAGTGTCGCCGCCGACGCCACTAACCAGGGATACAGCACGGATCGAAGAGCACGACGTGGCTTCCAGAGATACCGTCGCGCCTGGGATGAGGCCATTCGTCGTAGGGATGATGTTGACCATATCATTCCACCCCGCGACGACGGAGGAGCCCGGGAACAGCGTGTCGAGAATGGATTTTCCAACTCCCACGGCTCACAGCCACACTTGACTTCTCCAGCCCGCAACGGATACCTTGCCCAGGGCCTGCCAACGTACCCGCGGCGGCCAGGCAATGCCCCTGCTGCCCCAGTCAGCGCCGTCTATGGTGAGATAGTTTCTGTCGCCCGTGAGCAGCCGTTCAGGGAGGCCGGACTGCGCTGGCAGAGACCGTCGAATGGCCTTCAATTCCGGGACATGTTGGTGCGTTCCGTTGAACCTGCTCTCCCAGAGCCTGGGCATTCGTCCTTTGCTTCAGGCATACCTTTCGGGACTGATGATCGGCTGGAGAACCTTTCGATCCACCCGGGTATGCATCATCGCCAAAGTCGAGCCCCGTCTCCAGCGCATCGGCCTCAGCGTGGCGAGTACAGTCCCTCTGGACGGCGAGTGATTAGCGATCACTGGCCACATGGACGTGTACTCCCAGGCGGCCTTCGGGCTGAAGGCTCAGTCCAATCGTTTGGAAGTCGTGATCTGAACTTTTGCCATTCCGACGGCCGTGGAAACCCAGAACTTGTTGCCTCGTTGCCGTATACGGCCCGAGTTCATGAAGCTCCAGTTTCATTGAATCAGCCGGCAACTGACCGCATAGTCGTGAATGCTTCTTGGCCCGGCACTCACTCCAACCCCATCCTGATGGAGGATCGCGGCGGTTTTTTTGAGAGGGTCGCAGGCCGCCCAGAGCTCGTATCGCCACCGTCCGGGACTGGCGAGTCCTTTGAGGTCCGACGACTCGGTCGTCGAATCCTGAGAGCCCCCCAAGGGCACCCCGTCGTCTCACAGATGGCTTCGAGAGGCCTGCCAGACGGTCTAGTGCCCATTAGATCCGAGGTCATCGCGACTAGTAGATCTGGCGCCATCCCATCTGCCATTGACCCCCAAAGCGCTCTTGGACCAGGTCGTGTTGGCCCATCTCCGTGGGAATACGACCAGCGCGCTGGTCTAGAGCAACATCCGCCATTTACTGGCGACGACGACCCTCATCTTCGACCAGTGTCGGGAGAGCATCGTCCGCCTTTCCCCCCACCGTACCGGGAAGAGTAAGTTGGTTCCACGTTCTGGCTGGCCTCTTTCAGCGCTGCGAGGGCTGATTACTCAATCTTGGGACTTAGACTACGAGTCGATGGTCAGCCAATTTTGGCCACCCACTCACCATATGAACCGCATTATCGACAATGTCGCAAACGGCCAGCTTCGGACTACCACTACGGGAGCTTCGGGCGAGAATACCCTCCTCGCCCTCCGTTTGCTGAGCGCGTCGATGTGGCTCAATGACCAACAAAATCCACTTGTTTTTGCCCTGCCAATGAGCAGTCGGCAGCATGTTTTCTTTGTAACGACTTCGGAGGCCTGGAGACGAAGAGCTCCGGCCACGTACCCAAGGGTTGAGCTTTTTTCCTTTTATACTGCCCGGCGTTGGGGACTCGATATTCAGATCTCGGCCGGCCTCTTGGTCTCCGTGCCGCTTGGGCATACATGACGGAATGAAACAGATACCCGTGCGCATGTGGGAGAAGCGTGTATTGCAGACGACAGAGGGAAATATTGGAAGGACGGAGCCTGAGCGTGGTCCTGTATTGGACTCGAGGAGGCGTGTTGATGATGATGACACGGACAAATCATGGAAACCAAATCAATGACAAGACATTCACGATCACCACGGTTCGCCCGACCACCTTGAGGCTTCGCGCGCCATATCCGTGAAAACATCACAAAGCATGTGTATACTATGTAGCACAAAAGCTAGGCATAAAATGACTATATGCTTGGTTTATAGACGAAACGTTCTAGGTACCGAACTGTATGACGAACAGGCCACATGCAGACTCTGCTTATGATGCATGGGGTATTTTTGGGCACATTTTTTCTTCTTTCCTCCCTCTCCTTGACGGGTTTCATCTTCCAGTCACACCCTGCCACGTCCGCTCCTCAGCCGCGGCCCCGGGTCCGCGCCTTGCCTATCCTGCCCGCCATGGACGGACCCTGACCTTTGGGCACACCCAGACCCCTCCTCCCTGCGGCAATGCCGCCCTTGCCGCTGCGCGCAACGGGTCCGCCGCGGGAGCCTCCACTCCCTCCTCCTCCTCCCCTGCCGCGGAACCTGCCGCCGCGGCCGCGGCCACCGGCGGGACCCGCCTTGCTCTTGATGACGGCGGCGGCAGCAGCAGCAGCAGCAGCAGCAGTAGCAGTAGGGGTAGCGGCTTCGCTGGCGTCGGCGTCGGCCATGTCCTCGTCGTCCTTGGACCGCTTATTGGAGAACTTGAGCTTGCCGCCGCGGCCGCGCTTGGCCGCGTCCTTGCCCTTGAGGGCGGCGACGTAGGCGCCCACGCCTGAAGCTTCGGGTTGGTCGACGTTCATAGCGTCACTGGTCGCCGCAGCCTCGGCCCCGTCCTCGTTGTCCTGGCCTAGGATGAGCTTGCCGTCGAGATCGACCTTGGCCTTGGTCTTGGTCGGCTTGCGCAGCCTGACGGGCTTGGTGGACGAAATGTTGGCGAGGGCCTTCTTGTCGAGAAGGTCGAGGGGCTCGTCGCCGTCCTCGACAATGTACGTCTTGCCGCCCTTGTGGTTCTTCTTCCTGGGCTTATCGGCCGCCTCGTCGTCCGAGTCTGCGTCTGCGTCCGAGTCGCTGCTGTAGAGAGCCTGGTCGTACTCGTTCTCAAACTGCTGCTTCTGGTCTCCGTCTTCGTCGTCGCTCGCGTCGTCACCATGGCCCGCCTTGGCAGCATCTTTCTTCTTCTTCGCCCGCTCCTTGGTCTTTCGGATGTTGGCAATCAACTTCTTGTCAGCCTCGGGGCAGTGCTTGATAACGAGGTCGAAGCCGAAGCGGCGAACCATCCTCTCCAAGATGTGCTTGACTTTGGCCTTGAAGTGGCCCTTGTGCTCATGGCTCCAGACGAGGAGATTGGGCAGGAGGGTCGCCAGGCGGGGAATCATCAACTCCACGGGGAGACTGATGACGCAGACCTTGACGAAGCCCAAGCAGCTCTTGACGATTTCTCGGTTGTTCGAGGTCAGAAACAGGTCCATGGTCTGGACAAGATCCGACATTGTCTGCTCGCTCAGACCAGACCGGAACTCGAAGAGGAGTCGGCTAATGGCCGTGATGGACGCAGAAATCATGTGTGGCGTGCTGCCTGCCAGACCTGCGCTGACCATGGTGAAGTATTCTTCGATGCTGGCCCTGCCCGGCGCGGCGTCGTTGGGCATATGCGGAACTTTGCTGTTGTCGATGAGGGCACCATCAGCCAAGGCCATCCGGTGGCCCATCTGGACCAACAGTTCGTACGCCGTTTCTCGGGCTCGCTCGTTGTTCTCCTTGCAGCAGATGACGACCTCACTGAGCACAGAAGGGACAAAGTGAAGGGCGTTGTCGGGTACAAAGGGGAGCAGCGCCGCCATGGCAGCCAGCCGCTCACGTCGCGCGGGCGCCGACACCTTCTCGGAGCTGGAAAGGAAGAGCTGCTGCAGCTCAGAGTTCTTTTCCTGTAGCGCAGCTTTGCCTAGCTCGGAGCTCGCTAGCCGAGGAATCAGCTTGTAAGCCTTCTTTTGCAGCTGCGGCTCCCCCTCCTTGAAGACAATGACTGTCGCAATCTCAAACAGGGCGGCGAAGCTTTCCCGTGGCAAATAGGCAGACATGGTGATGACAAGATCCATCAGCGTCTGGGCCGTCGACGGCATGTGGTCTTTTGATTTTTGCTGCTTCTTCTTGTCTTCTGCCGACGGGGCCGCCTGAAGCTCTGATGCTAGCATCTTGCTCACCCGGTCAAACGTGTCCATCACCTCCTGACGAGGAGCGATGCTGAGGAATGCGTTGATGGTCTGCAGAATAGGGCCTCGACTTTGAGGGAGTGTTTGCGTGTAGACGTTGAAGAGTACGGCCAGCATGTTACCTGAGAACTGACCAAGGTACTCGATGTTCTTGCTGGCAGTCTCGCGGGACACCCTGCTTTGCAGAAGAAAATCCTCCTCACCGTCTGTGATGCTGGCGAGCGCCTGGTTGGACTCAACCAATGTCCTGAGCGCCTTGCAGATGTCTAGTCTCAAGTCAACTTGCTTGTAGAGAAGGTTGGCAAGCATCTCGGCAAAGGGCCGGTCGAAAGCTTCCAGCAAGTCGAGCGGCAAGTCGCAGTAACCGGCGAGGATGGACCAAGTCTGTTGAACCAGCGTCTCGTAAATCTTGACCTCCATCGTCTTTTCTGCTTCACCATGATCCAAGACTTTCTGGAACATGAGCTCACTGAGAGGCACCAGCTCCTTTTTGAAGTGAGCAAGGTTGGTGTTGCTGGTGCAATCTCGAAGAATGGGGAACATCCAGGCTCTGCCGGATTGCCCCTTGACAGGCTTGACAATGTTGAGCGGCAGCACCGACAAAACGGCCTCGGGACCCATGGCTTGAACGGCCTGGCCGATGACGTCGTCTGCCTCCTTCTTGTTGCGGAACGACGCGTTCTCTCGAATTTCGCCAATCGTGCGCGCGATGCTGAGCATTCTTGGGTATGCTCTCCAACGTAGCGCGGTGAACATGGCCGCTAGGACGTTGAACGTCTGCAGCCAAGCGGCCTGATACTGGACCGTGAGCAGCGACTCGGCAGCCTTTGCGACCTTGTCCAGTACTTTTTCGTCGTATATTGAAGGGTCTAGGATGACCTGTTGTGGGACGCAGTTGGCCATGAAGGACATCAAGCACTCGGAGGCCGAGATGCGGATGTTCTCGGATTGCGACTCGAGGAACTGGGCGACCATGGCGAACAGCTCGGGGAGGTTTTGAAACGTCTCCTCCGGCTCCAATTGCGAGGAGACGTCGTATCCACGCGACAAAATGGCCAGCCACGACGGCACAAGCTGGGTATCGTTCGCGGCCGGCCGCAGCTCGGAAATAATTTCCATGAGGCGCGGCAGCTTGGCCGATGAAACCTCGTCCGACATGCCCTCGAATATCAGCTCAAAGATTTCAAACCCGGCCATGGTCATGTACTCGTTGCCAGTTTTGGCAATGCCCAGCAACAGCTCGCATAGGGACTCAATCTTGGTGCTTGGCCAGCCGCCGCTTGCCGCCGCCACGGACTTGACCAGCTGCAGCGCATGTATCAAGGCAGGATCATGGGCCGCGGCCATCGCCTTCTTGCCCTTGCGTGCCTGAGCCGCCATGCCGGTGAGGTCCTCGAGGTTCTTGAGCGCCGTCTGGGCGCACATGTCGGCAGCTGAATGGTCTAGCGAGGGACTGGGAGGGGGGTTCTTGAGGACCTTTTTGAGGGCATCCTGGGCGCGCTTGCGGACCTTGGGCTTCGGGTCTAGAGACAGGTTCAGCAGTCCGGCGACGGCGCGGCGAGGCCCAATCTGCGTGACGGACAGCTCCCAAGAGGGTCCGTCCTGAGCCAGCAGGAGAGACTCGAGACAGCCGATCGACGTCCTGAGGAGTATGGGCTCGGCATCCTGCATGAGAAGCACGGGGGCGAGCTGTGTGAGGATCTGCGTGAACTTGGACCGGAGCAGTGGCTGCGGAGCGTAGGGGGTGACAACGTCTAGGAGGTAGACGACGGGCGTGGCTAATTCGATGTTGACGCTGCCGTTGGTGTTGGCCTGCTGCAGGAGCGCAAGCAGGGCAGCAAAGTATCCAGTTGGCGTGGGCGCCGTGTTCTGCTCCTTCAAGGTCGATTCGACTGCCTGGAGGACGACGACGGTCTAAGGATGTTAGTTCTGCCGTTGATGGAGAGCGGGCGTGCGGCCTACCTTTTGCTGGCTTTGCAACCCAGGAGATTTAATCTTGTCCAGCTTCTCGGCCAGAGTCGGCGTCTTTGGCGTCGGCATCGTGTCGAGGGTCGCGGGGCCACGCGGAATAAATGTCTTCAATGCGCAAAGCACTCTGCCGTGATGCCGCCTTTGCTTTGCCCTGCCAAAGAGAAAAAAAACTTATCGCATGCACCCCGCTGTGCGATAAGATCTGCGACCACGATAAGGTACGTACTGAGCGGCCTGGACGATTGGGATGCTTATAGCGATATCTCAGTCTACGTATCGCTGTATCCGGACAGCCTACGTAACCCGGGCTAACTGCAGATAGAGAGAGAGAGCTCTTGGTTATACTTCGTCCACTCTGCAGCACTCCGACGACCAACTAACGGCACCGAGCGAGTCACACCGAGCTCGCGGGTCGAGGGCATCCTTCGCCGACACGCCTCCTCTCGTGTCATTCGAGAGACAGAGAGGTCCGAAAGCAACAATCCACAAAATGGCCTTTCTCATCCTCGTCATCGGGGACCTGCACATCCCCGATCGCGCGCTTGACATCCCGCCCAAGGTGCCTCTTGGCTTGACGTTGCGCGCAACCGAGACACGCACACGCTAACCCTCGCTCAGTTCAAGAAGCTGCTCGCGCCCGGCAAGATCGGCCAGACGCTCTGTCTGGGCAACCTCACCGACAAGCACACGTACGACTACCTGCGATCCATTGCGCCCGACCTCAAGATTGTCAAGGGCCGCTACGACGTCGAGGCAACCTCGCTGCCCCTGACGCAGGTCGTGACACACGGCAGCATCCGCATCGGCTTCCTCGAGGGCTTCACCCTCGTCTCCAGCGAGCCCGACCTGCTCCTCGCCGAGGCCAACAGGCTCGACGTCGATGTCTTGTGCTGGGGGGGCACCCACCGCTTCGATGCCTTTGAGTACATGGACAAGTTCTTTGTCAACCCGGGCAGTGCCACGGGCGCCTTTTTCAACGGCTGGGAAAAGGAGGGCGAGAACCCGACGCCGAGCTTTTGTCTCATGGACGTACGTTTACGCCGCGCGCGCATTGAGACGCCATGGGCTGACGCTGGCTTTAGGTCCAAGGCATATCCCTAACCCTCTACGTCTACCAATTAAGAACAGATGATAAGGGCAACGAAAACGTAGCGGTGGAAAAAGTCACATACACAAAGCCAGTCGAGCCATCCGGAGGCTCATCATGATGAACCATTGGCTGGAGTGCGACAAGGCGACGGGACAGGCTCAGGGGGAGGACGGGCATCATAGAGCGGCAGCGGAACCGGCATCAAGCCGATACCCATGCGAAGCCGAGGAGCTCATCATGGCCTTGGCTGCCTATACTGCCGTACGGCCACTGCGGCCGCGCACATCTTATCTAAGAAAGCGGTCACCGGGTGAAACGAACATTTCAATCCGAAAAGGCCGGCGCCCGACTCGAGTCGAATCCAAGAAAATTGAGGCCTAATAGGTATAAAACGTCGAAATGCATGTCCGTCGCTCGGCATCCCGAGAATCATCAGAGCCGAATCAGTCAAAACCGTCGGCAGCCCAGTCCCATCGCAGCGCCCCATGCTAGTTAAAAGAATACCACGTCTATTTGCGACGCCTTCATGAAATCGTTATACCAGCATGCTCCGTCGCCTCGCAGAGTTGCGCTCTCTCGTTCCATCACCGTTGTCGCTGTCAATGGCCGTCGAGACCCTTCGTGAGGAGACAGTCTGCCGACGACTCGTCCTCTTGCTCTCCACCGCCTCTTCCTTTTCGGTATGTGGAGACGAGCTCGTGAATTCGTAAATGTCGACGTCGCCCGCTCCGCTCGTATCCGCATTGGTACTGGCATCCACTTCGTCCCCCTTTGTGCCTTCGTCGGCGGGCTCAGGGGCCCTAGAGCTCATAGATGACGGCCGTCGGCGCCTGTCCGTCACAACAGTGTCGGGTAGTGTATGCTGAGGAGATGAACTCTTGCCGGCCAGTGGACTTTGGGGTGTGCCGTCGCCTTCGGGCGCGACCGTTTGCGCGCTGGCAGCCGGCAAGCTCCGCCACGACTCTCCGGCCGGAGATTCCCGCTTCACCTGCTGGGGATCCGGCCCAGGCGTCTCTGCTTGACTACTAGATCGCCGAGAGTACTTGCCTTCGCCCGCCACAGCATCGTAAAGCTGCTTGCTCGGCCTTCGCATCTTGTCCCGTAGATTCGGCTCGGCGTAGCTGATTGCAGCTCTGTTCCGTCTGCCGGGCCGTGTCGTCTCTCCACTAGAGGAGATATCGGCAGGAGGCGGAGTATCGCCTCGATGAGTATTGTCACCCGAGATGGGCTCAGGCGAGCTTGGCAATAGCAAAGTGGGCTCGCTCAAGCGCACTGTCGGCTCCGTCGTCGACGGCGGAGGGATTTCCAGTTCTGGAGCTGCTTCGACCTCGATTGAAGGACTAATCTTGGCCTTGGCCTTGGTCCGTGAACCCGGGGCCTTTGGCCTGTCCGGGTAAATCTTGGACATTGCTGGTCCATCGTTCACTGTGGGCTTGCCCATCTTCCAGGGTGAGCGAATACCGTCGTTTGTGCTCTTTGCAGCAAGTGGCTTCCGAGCGCCGTAGTTCACCCCTTTTCTCTCTCGAACGTCTTTCCTTATATAGGCCAGCTCCTTCAAATTCTTGCCATCAGCCTTATCCTGGACGGACGGCTTTTCCGTTATGACTTTGGGAACCTGGTTCTCGTCTGCCGTCGGCTGCATGGGAATATTTTCGATATCCTCTCTGACGCCAAATTTTCGTTTCGAGCCCGTCCTAACTGGCTGCTGGACGGCCACAGGTTCGGCCGGCGTACCGGGCTGTGAGTTGGATTGTTGAGTGACTAGGGGTGGCATCATGACTTTAGGCGACGGCGACGGAGACGGCGGGGGTGACTCGGCTGCCTTGCTGACCTGGGTCGAGTCGACGTAGGGCGAGTAAGCCTGAGGCGAGGGAAACGAAACGGGCGGCTCGATCTTGTGCCTGGGACTCGATTCTTGCGCTATATCGGGGGCAGCAGGTCTGCTGGGAGAGTCGACCTTGACAGGATCCTCGTCGATGAACTTGGACATGGGCGGGGGTCCCAGCTCGGGTGAGTGGGTGGAGTCGACCTCTGACCGCAATGCCAAGATCTGCTCTGGGCTGGGTAGACGCGTCAGCACCGCTTGCGCCTGGGGCGTCGTGGGAGGCGCATACTTCATCGACCTGCGAGGGCACGACTTGGTCTCCGAGATGTGACCCAGCTCCTCGATATCCCTCGCTACGTCGCGCAGCCTCCTCTGCGAAGGGCTCGGGCGGTTGGCACTGAAGCTCATTCTTTGTCTCGTTGATTTGCTAATTCGTGGCGAGTGTCTTTTGATGGGTGGTTCCAGGCCGAGCCCGGCGAGAAGGGTGCCCCATTCTGTAAGCTGCGACTCGAGCTTCGCCTTGATGGCCAAGGCATGGTCTGCTATTCTGCGGGCATCATTGTCCTGGACTTGTTTTTCCAGCTCCAGGATGCGGCTGCGGAGCTCGAGGTTTTCGGATAACATGCAGGCGCACTCGTTTTCCAGCTCCCTGATGCGCAGGGCTCGGACGTTGTTGGATTTTGCGAGGTCTCTGTTCTGGCGAAGCATCTTCCTACGAACTGGAAAGGAAGACAGTTAGCCCAAGACCAAAGGCCATCACACTGGAGAGCACGGGAGGAGACGCACGCGTTTCGATGCTGTCCGAAGACACGGGGGGCTCGTTGAGCCTGGCCATGGCTCATAGTATCTTGCGATGCGATGCAGGACACACAGGGCCGAGCAGGCGAATAGAGTGCGCTTTTCGAGGTGCTTGTGCAGGAGCATGAGTGAAGTTTTGCTGCCGGGAGGAAATTGGAGCCTTTGGTTGTGTCATTATTTACCTTTGGCCTAATGGGGCTTAGACCGGCTTGCGTGGTTGCTGGGGCTGCTTGGTCCCTTGAGACCCCGCAAGCACGTGAGTTGAGAGCGAGACCCCACCAAGACATGTTTTGGGGCACCGGCAGCAGCCATTTTGCCGGGGAATATTACGAAGGAATTATTTCGCCTTCAAACAAGCCTAGAGCTTGCGTCGAAGCTCAGCAGGGAATCTTGTGCCCTTTGCCAGCATGTCCTTTCCGACGCGATCGCTGTCGACGCACATGCGCGCCCCCAGCGGGTCGGCCTCGACTGCGTCTCAATCACCCGCGCTCGTCGCTCGAATCGAGGAGAAGAAGGCGGAGCTGGAAAACCTCAAGGAACTACGGGACCTGAGCGCCGCTGTAGCTGGGCAGATGGAGGCCCTGGAGCACAAGCTTCAGACCCTTTCGGGCGGGACAGAAGGTAGCGTTTGCCGGGGTTTCGTGGCGCAAGATGCTGACAGAGTCAACGCAGCTATCGCAGCCGTCATGGGCAACTGGCATAACGTGCTACGAGCCATCAACATGGCCTCTGGTACGTGTGCATCTGCTCGCCATGGCCTTAAAAGTGTGCTGACGGTGTTGAACAGTGAAACTTGCAGCACCATCGGGCGAATCGGCCAAGGAAGAAAAGGTGTCGGAGCCGCTCCCACAGACGTTGGTGCGCATCCCAACCGAGCACGCGCCGACTCTCCAGGCCCAGGCAGAGACAATGGAGGCTGCTGCACCCGAGGACGCGTCGACGACAAGCGTGTGAAGTGGGTGGATTGCCAGCTTGACCGCAAACGGACAGCCAGGAGCCCTGCAACATTTATAACGGTGCCGGAAGCAGCGCAACACATGAAGCCCCTTGGGTATTGACGCGGCCGAATCGCGTCGCCAATCTTTCCTGAGCAGTCCACGCCGAAAGATATCAGTCTCCGACGCATTCCGCCCTCGAGGCAATGGCCATTGAGCAGAGGCACGTGGTTGGCGGCAGTCTCGTCCGCTGAGGGCCGATTGAAGAATATGTCATCAACGAGAACCTCATGCATGGCCTGGGATTACGAGAGCGACAGTCACAAACGCGATGCGCGTCTTGTTAGCCGCGTGGCGGCAAGACAGCGACGGCACTACGGACACGCCATGGCGGCGCAGCGAGCGGCTGTCGCGTTGCTCGGCCCCTGCAGAGATACCGTCAGAGGTCAGCGCTAGGGGGGGATGAAGAGGGACGATGAAGAATCAGCGACGGGTTCGTTCCTGCTACCGGGTTGAGCGGAGTAAGCAGGCAGTTGGCTAAATAATTGGTTGTGCCTGCCTGCCGAGGAGGTGCTTGTGAGGCGCGACTCTCGGGCTCGCTTACCACCAGAAGCTGCCAACAACAATCAACCACCATCCATTCCCCTTCTTGGCCCCCCAACGTTGGCTTCCGTTTTCGTGTCATCCAACACTGCTTATAGACCCTGTCCCTTGATCTGGGAGAAGCATTCCAGTACCCAATCCATCGTCATCCTTGTCTGTATTTCCTCGACACCGTTACGTTCCTCGACGCCACGGGTTGGCTTGGCCTTCAAATCACGACCCCTGCCCGCGCCCCCTCATCTCCCAGAAAACGCGAAATTGGACGTGACAGGCGATTGCCGATAGGCTGGAATTGCCAGCTCGCGCCTTGGGAAACTCAAAATTGCCTTCCGGAGCCTTTCCGTGGTTGGGCATCGGCCGGGGAGAATGGGTCCAGGCGTGGCCACGGGCGGCAGCTTCGACCTTCTGCAGGACGAGGTGGCCTGCCCGCCTTCGCACTATCGTCTTCTACACACACCCTCGTTGGCGGATACCCGAGACGCGCTCAAGGAGCTGCCCGTCGGCCGAACACAGTACCAGAACGCGGTCGTCGGGATACAGTGCCAGAAAGTGGGCGCCTGTGCCCAAGATATTAAACCATCGCCGGCGACGGGCATCGCTTTTGCAACCGACAACCACCTTTCCACCGCGTCATCCGACTCCCAGCCGGCCAAGGCGAAGCTCCCTTGGCGAACATCCAGACATCGACGTCCACCCGTCGATTGGGAGACGTTTGAGCCGCTTGACGCTGTCATTGAAGAAACCAGCTTCGCCGCCGAAGCCGAAGCCCCCCTTCCTCCCGAATCGTCGTCGCCGGTTCACGAGCCGCAGAAACAAGCTGCCGCCCAAGGTCAGACAGCTCCCCTCTGTCTGGGCTTGGACCCTTCTGACCACTCTGTTTCAGACACCGCGTGGCAGCCAGACCACCGCTTGACTAGCCTGGACGCCAACTACGACGTCCAAGAGCAGATCGAAAAGCACTTGGCAGGTCAGTTCGAGTGGCTAATGACTTATCCGGCGCCGACGGCTCCAGCAGACTACCACGGCCTTTCCGGCGAGGGACACGGCGCCGCTCCCTCGTCGGAAAGCGTCGTCTACGGCTGCAACATGCTGCGCCATAGACGACAATGGGGCTCGGTCGAGCACTGCGACACTCCGGCTGACAGCTATGCTCTCCTAGCCACGCCTCTGAGGGACTTTGCAATTCTACCGAGCAACATGGACCAGTCGCGGGACCGGGTCTGCCTGGCTTCTTCTCAGCCACCTTTGTATCCGGATGAGCCCCTCAAGATTCCCGAGCTCATGACCGTCGTTGAAGAGGTGCTTTCGCCCTCGCTCTCCGTCACGAGCGACAGGAGCGGCAGCCTCGCGGCTGGTTCGGCTCGCACCAGCTCGTTTTCCGTCCCTCGCATCGAGGACTCTCTGGAGGAGCTGGATAAGCTCGAGGACGAACTCGAGGCCGTCAATGCCGCCACGCTCGGTCGAGGGCTCGCCCCTGCCGAAGACAAACAAGCACCGACAGCGCCGAAAACCCCTTCCGATCGGACGCCGTCGACTGTGCTGAAGAAGCGGACGTCGGTTGCTGGCCAGTCACTCACCGTCCGCGTCAAATCTTGCGAAAAGGCAAATCCGACCATTCGTCGAGCTGCGTCGCTGACGCTGCGCGACAAGAAATCAGAGCAGTCGGACGCAACGGCGGAAAACAAGGCAGCAGGGGTGTCGTCTCGGGACAAGGGGGCCAGTCTACGGGTGACGACGCCCAAGTCTGCAGCCAAGTCGCAGAGGCCCCTGACGGTGCCGAAATTCGAGCTTCCAGGCGATGCCGTAGCCAAGCGCCTCAGGGAGCAACGCGAAGCGCGCCAGGCGCGACAAGCCGAAGCTCATTCAGAGGCACAGGCAAACCCTCCGAAGCTGCGAGTCATCCGACCGCTGGCAAAGCCAACATTTGAGCTTCCTGGAGAGGCGATCTCCCGGCGGAAGCGCGAGGACCGGGAAGCCAAGCTGCGGGCCGAGGAGGAAGAGGAACGGAGGAAGCGCGAGTTCAAGGCCCGGCCGGTGAGGTACAGCATTGGTCCGGCCACGCTGCCCCGAGAGACGGTTACCAGCCGCGCCAGACAAAACAGGTCCTCGCAGGAAGAGACGGAGGCGAAACAGGCCAAGGCTGTGCGCACGCCTGCCGGGCTCCGCTCGAGCCCCTCTGCCACTCCCGCCTTGAACGACAAATCGCTCCCGACGCGGGGACGGAACTCGATGGTGCTCCCCCCGCAGCACTCAAGCCGGGCAAAGTCGCCGTCGTCGGGCGCAAGCGGCAAGCGCAGCACGCTGTCGGCCGAGGAGCTGGAGCAGCAGCGGCTGCGGGGCAGGGAGATATTCGCCCGGGACAGCGTCTTGGTCAAGGACAGGGAGCGAGACCGGCGCGAGAGGGAGTCGACGGCGAAGCTGGCGAGGGAGCAGGCGGCCGAGCGCTCTAGGATTGCGAGTCGGGAATGGGCCGAGAAGAAGCGCGTCAAGGAGGCGGCGGCGAGAGAGGCTGCGAAGCAGGCCAAGCCAGCTGGCGTTGCTCAAGCGCTTGTCGCCGATGCTTGATGGATGTTATTGCTGCCCGGTTTGCTGAGATTGGTGGCCTTGGTGCTTGCGCTAAAGGGCGAGGGTTGTGCTCGCGAGGTCTTGATGGCCTTTGCATGCCGCCTTGGAGGATTCGGCCGCGGAGTGCTGATGTTTTGTTTTGCAAGCCTGGCGTCTATGGAACAGGCGAGGATTGTTCGGGGTTACAGAGGGTGCTTGTCGTTTAGCCTTGACTTATGCATTTGCTATCAGGACAACGCTGCGTCAGACCATGGCGCGTCGTTCGTTTGTACGGAGTAAATGGATATCGATTTGACCATGAAGATTGGTGTTGCTGCAGCATGCACAAACCCATGGAGATCCCGATATCATGGTTCGATGCTTGAGGACGGTGACTTGGTGGTTTGAGTTGCGGGACTTTGTGTATCCCCGCTCCGAGCCGAGACGGCACACGGCGGCTCCAACGTCCGACGTCGGCTCCGTCAGCTTTCACCTTCACACCACCACCCGCATTCTTTACTCCGGCCTGTCTTTCCTCTCCTGCAGCAGGAAGACGACACTGAGAAAGGATTCTCATCGCTGTGGAACACGGGGGAACCTGATGAGGAACGGGGCGAAGGAAGGGACAGGAAAGAAGGCGACAGGAGAAGGAAAAGACAAGGACAGGAGCGAAAATGGCCGGGTCCGGGGGCCAGGCGTCGCCGTCGCCGTCGAGCACCGTCCGGGTGACCATCAACGGAGGCGGCACCATCGTGGGCAAGCACCAGCCGGCATCGGCCGACTACCCCAAGGCGCTGGACCTCTTCTACGGGATCCCCTACGGCGAGGCGCCGCGGCGGTTCCGGCCGGCGGTCGCGGTGGCTCCGCCGGGTCCAGGGCGGACTCTGCGGGCCGATGAGGAGGGGCCGACGCAGCCGTTCCCCATGGCGCCCAGGGGGGCGGCGTCGGAGAGGGAGCTGAGGCTGACGATTGTGCGGCCGGCGGGCGCGTCGCCTTCACCGCCGTCCTCGACCGGGACCAGCCAGCAGGCCGAGGGGGCGGAAGAGGAGACGCCGCGGCTCCCCGTCATCGTCTACGTCCACGGCGGGGCCTTCAACTTTGGCCACCCGCTCGAGCGCGACCTGGCCGCCTTTGTGGCGTGGGCGCCGCGCGACGTGCTGGTCGTGGGCATCGAGTACCGGCTGGGCGCGCTGGGGTTCCTCTCCGCCGGCCATGGGGAGGAGGCAGAGACGCGCCTGGGCCCCGGGAACCTGGGGCTGTGGGATCAGAGGCTGGCGCTGGCGTGGGTGGGCGCGTGGGCGGCTGCGTTTGGCGGGCGCGTGCACGACGTGACGCTCATGGGGGTGAGTGCTGGGGCGCATTCGGTGAGTTGCATTCTTTGGTGTGCTTTGGCTCTGGGCGCTACGTGGATGGGGGAGGTGCTGCTGTTGAGGTTGTGATGGTTGGACGTCATGTCCTCACCACCACCACCCCTTTCTTCAGTCATCCCGCGTTCTGGGCCTGTCTTTTACCCCCGAGAGCCTGGAAATCCTCCCACTCAACGCCCTTCTCAGAATCCCCATTCGGCCCCCCTCTCACAGTGCACGAAAAACAGAAGGGGGGAGCGAAGACTAACCCGCGCAAACCCGTCCAGGTCGGCCACCACATGCTCTCGCCCACGCCGGCGCCGCTGCCCATCCGCAAGGCCATCCTCGAGTCCGGCTCGCCGACGGCGCGCTCCGTGCTGGCGGCCGCGCACCCGCGACCCCTGGCGCAGCTGGCGTCGCTGCGGGCCCTCGCGCGCGGCCGCCCGCTGTCGCGCCTCCCGCTCGCCGAGCTGCTCGACGCCGCCGTGCTGGTCTGGGCCGAGGACGCGGCGTCGGCGTGCTGGCCGTTCCAGCCCGTCGTCGACGGCGCCGGCGGCTTCATCCCCGAGGCGCCGGCGAGGCTGTGGAGGCGGCTGCTTGCGCCCGACGAGGGCGAGGAGGGTGGTGGTGGGAAGGCGTCTCCGCGCAGACGTCCGCCGGCCGTCATCACCGGCTTCTGCTCGCACGAGGGAACCCAGTTCGTGCCCCAGCACGCCGCCACAAACGCCGACTTCCTCGCCTTCTTCCGCACCCTCATCCCCGCCCTCTCCGCCGCCGACCTCGCCGCCCTCGAGGCCCTGTACCCGGACCCGGCATCCTCGCCGCAGCTGCGCAACCCGCCCGCCTGGCCGCCGCGCCGCTTCGGCGCCCAGTACCGGCGCCTGCACGAGGCCTACGCCCACTACGCCTACATCGCGCCGGTGCTGCACACGGCCCACACCCTGGCCCGCGCCGGCGCCCGCGTCCACCTGTACGAGTACGCCGCCGTCGCCAGCACCGGGGCCGCGGGCGACCACGTCGCCGCCGCCGCCCACGGCGACCACGCCCCCGTCGTCGCGCACGACATGGCCCACCTCGCCGGCCGCCCGGGGCTCGAGGCCGTCGCCCGCGCCGTCAACGCCCGCTGGGCCGCCTTTGCCGCCCATCCAGAGGGGGAGCTTGATCCCGACTCGTGGCCTGCCTTTGTCAGCCCCTTTGACGACGACGGGGGGGAGCACCGTGGCAGCAATGTGGGCAGGCTGCTCGTCTTTGGCCGCGGCAACGACGAGGCCGCGGGTGGCTCCGACCCCGGCGTGCCCGTCCAGACGCGGACGCTGACGCGGCGCGAGATGGACCAGTGCCGCTTCTGGTGGGACCGCATGGAGCTGAGCCAGGGCAGGGGCGTCAGGCCAGTCCAGTGATGCCAAGCACCCAGGCCGCGTGGGAAGGAAAAGAAAGAAAAGAGGCCGCCAAGGGGGGCCCAAAGTAAGCTTACTCCAAGAAAGATAGAATCAAAGTGTCCAAGGGAGGCTCCGCCCCTGGATGCTCTCTGCTCAGGCACTGCCGAACAGACAAAGGACTTGCAAAGAACTTGCCACGCAGTCTGTTCATCATCTGCTTCTCAATAAGACTACCAAGCTCGCATTCAATTCAGTATCTACCACAGATACAAGCATGCCTGGCTTCCCGATTGCCGCCGGCGTCAGTCGCCGTCACCGCGGTGCCCGTCAAGCAGCGCCAATTTTTCCTTCTATATGGTTCCAATCGGCAAATCGTGACACTGCGCTTTTCATCCACATTTGGCTTCGTCCCAGGCCCGACCGGTACGCAGTCGGCCCTGCACGGCGGAGAACACCCACAGTAGTAAACCACGGCTCAAACCAGCCCCAAATGCGGTGAGCCAGTGAAGACTGGGAAATGGACAACGTCGCTGAGCCAGTGCTTTCGTATGTACAACTCCCCATCACCATGTCGCACGCGCGCCGAGGACCAAGGGGCAGCTAAGCTGGCTGTATCATCCGGCTCACGCCGAGGTAGCGTCGTTGGACCTCCGTGTCGTGAAATGGGGCATGGTCGGTGACGGCCGGTGAGGCACGCCACAAGTGATTAATTAGTTTAAACAGCAAGCTATGCTGGGAAAGGAGAATGAATGAGAAGTAATATGCAATGTGATCTGCATAATATATATGTCAAATCCCGAAACGCCCCCAAAGCACCTCTCATATGATTCGCGGCCCTGCTCTTTTTTTTTTGTAATTCCGGGCGCAGCGGATTCTCGCGAGCAGGTCGGAGGGGTATCTTTATGAACAAGGCCGGGCCCGGTGCTGGCACGTTGAAGATCAGAAATTCTGGGCAATGCCGGCGCTCTGCTGAGGGTAATGTGACGAGTTCTCGATGCGTGTATTGCGCCGCGCCGGGTTATCACGGATCACGGCCTGGCTGGCGGGATCCTGGGGTCGCTGGTCACCGTACGGGTTCTGGCCGTACTGCTCGTAGTAGTTGGATGGGTTCCCGTACATGCCGCCGTCAGAGCCTTCCGATCGAGCGCCCACGCTGTAAGATGAAGAGGCATTCGATGGTCCTCGACGCATGTCGCCGCCGCGGTTGTTTGCCGCCGACGGCCCCATGGCGCCGAGAATCTCGCCTTCGGGCGAGCCCGAGCCGTCCAGGAGAGGCTCCCCAGATCTAGCCTCGGACGGGTTGCCACGAGTGGGTGACGCTGGGTCCGAGTAGGCGCCCACCATGCCGCCGCCGGACATGGTGGTCGATGTCTTGCGACCCATGGAACCGGGAGCCGCGGTAGAGCCCCAGCCGCGGTAACCCGATCCACTGTCCTCTCTCATCTCGTACGAGTTGTCGGCAGAGTGTCCCGCAGAGGGCAGCGTAGGGTCGGCATTGGGGTTGTACGCATAATCCTCCACCTCCTTTCGACGTTCCTCCTCGGCTTCCTGACGGGCTCTTCGCTTCCTCCACCAAAACAAACCGAGAATGGCCAGTATGGCAATGGCGGCGATGGGGACGACAACTCCAATGGCTACTTTGGACGGCTGGCTCAGACCAGGTGCTCCGCCACTGGAAGGATCGATCGGCGTGGGAGTCGAGGTCGCAGAAGAGGTAGAAGACGCTGGGAGGCCATCTGGTGTTTGGGTGGTGGTGGACGTGACCACTTCGACGCTCGTCGAGGTATCGCCGGGTCTGACGGTGACGACGGAAGACGGGTTAGCTGCGTCAGAGGGAGTGGCGGCAGGCGGCGGCGCTGCAGCCGAGGACGTTGCTGCGGCAGGCGGTTTCGCATCAGCCGTGGGCGCGGCATTTCGAGGTGGCGCGGACGTGGCGGGGGCAGACGGAGGTTTTTGGTCGGAAGGCGACTGAGTCGGAGCCGCGGCGGCGGGGGCAGAGGCAGGGGCCTGTGACGCGGGCTGGTTCGAGGCCGGCTGCTGCGGCGGAGGGGAGTTCGGGCGCGCGACCGCTGCCGGAGATGCTGCCGGAGATGCAGCCGGGGCAGCTGCCGCAGGAGCGGACGCGGGCTGCTGTGCGGCACCACCGGCGGCTTGGGTTGGGCTCGCAGGGCTTTCGGACGTGGCCGCCCGGCCCTGGCCGGTCGCGTTGGACATTCTGCTAAAAGGGGCGAAGCGAGAAAGCCCACGCTTCAGGGCTGCGGCTTCTGCGATGGGGCGAAAGTCTATGTCAGCGTGAGGAATATTCTGATTCCGAGGCCGAGGAGTAAAGACGGGCGTGGAGCTGCATCGCGAGTCGGATCGGCGAGGGAGCCGCCAGAGTCTCTGACCAGGCAGGGCCTCGACATCATGGCAAGTCGACGCCATGGGGAAGACGAGCGATTGCCTGACGTCGGAGGGGGAGAGGCAGGGAGGGAGAGGAGGTGACGATGGCTCGAGCGAGCGGTGCGAGTAATCATAGAGGAAGTGGCCCAACGAGGCTTCAAAGAATAAGACATGGCCAACATACCTCTGAAAGCGCCTACCGGCCCCGGAGGTGAAGGGTCGGATCAAATGAGGTCAACAAGTGCTGGAACAGCACGTCGCGGCGACGATGTGCCTCGCGACGGCGGAGAAGAGAAGTGAGGAATGAAAATAATTAATAAAGGAGTGAATAAAGGAATTAATGAGGAGAAGACGAGAAGCAAGAATGCTCAGCGGTGGCTAGACAATAGACACGCTGGCAGTTGGGGGGGCCAAGCAGCTCGTGCTGGTGGCTGTGCGTCAAGCAGCGGCAAGCAAGGCAATGAATGCCCTGGCGCGCGCTTTGGTTGCCGGGGTGGCAGGGAAGAGAAGGGGGGAGGACGGCCGGTGGTGGTGACACGGTGGAATGAGAAAATGGGACGCTGAGACGGAGACGGAACGACGACTGGTTGATCGACAGGCGAGACGACCGATTGGCTGTGCAGTCGCAGCAGATGGCGTAGTCGGCGGTATCGTATGAGTTCGAATTATTAAGGGAAGGGCTGAAAGCGAGCGAGGATGCTGGACAAACAATGGCGAAGCAGGGGGGGAGGAGAGAGAGAGAGAGAGAGAGAGAGAGAGGCGTTGGCCGTGGGCTTGACGCAGGGAAAAAGAAAAGAAGCGACGAGGAACATGGAGAAAGGATTTCGATACGTGTGTACTGTGTGTATCCGCAGGTGAGTAAAATACAGCGGGAAAATAATAAGAAAAATAACAATACCAGGACCTGATGGATACGAGGTGGTTGAGGCGAGGGCCGTGTACCCCGAGTCGAGGTACCTGATTCCTGTTGAGTACCTCGCCAAGAGTCGCTTGACACACGGCGACAACGCAGTGAGGGCCGGCTACCGGTGTACCGAAAGAGCAGGAGTACTCGCCCCCAGAGTGCCGACTACCTTGCAAGCTCTCACAGCACCCCTCACGTAACACCCCTCACGTAGCACCCCTCACGTAGCACCCCTCACGCAGCATCTTTCTTCCTGACCTCGTACCATCAACAAAGCCAGACACAACAAGGCCCACGAGAGAGCGCGTACCGATACTTGCTACCGCCGGGCCAGGACCAGGGCTCGCAAGTCTAACTCGCGCCCGGCCTAGGGGGTCGACAAAGGCCGAGCCAATAGCGAGCGTGCCAGCCAGCCATTGTCGGCGCTCGCTCATGGCCTGCCTGACAATGGCACCCGCCCCCAGACGGGCACTCTGTTTGGCGGCGCCCCCTAGGTGTCGCATGAGCCTTTCCAAGCCCGTGGGTTTTTTCTGCTGAGATCTGGTTGCAGCTGTCGGTGATGCACCGCGACTCTTTCATGCCTCTATCTCCGGGGCTCGGCGGGCGGGACCGGGGACCCCGTTGCGGCAAGGCACCGGTTCCACCGTCAGCGGCGACCCACGCGAGCATGAGGGCCTACAGATTGCCTTCATTTCCTTTGACCTGGAGATAACTCTTTTTCCATTGCTTGTTTTCTTTTCCTCCAGCTCTCGCTACTGTACTCCGTAGCTCTCGTTGCACCATGCTCCTTGTTTCTTGCCTTGCCTTGTTGTATACTCCATCTGCCTGCCGTTATCCAGTGCGCCCACTGCACAACCGGCACCGTGTCCTGCCTGGGTAAATACTGTACGTTACCCCTTTCTGTCGTGACACCTGCGCCTGAAGCCAAGCAAGCCATCTACGTGAATGGATTGGCGAACCTACTGTGCATATATGGCGTATGGCGTATGCGGGCTCTTTGCCTCGGCTTTGCTATTTCCGTGCCGGAAAGGCTGCCTCCCGAACCCCAAACTCTGTCCGTCGCTCTGTCGCTCTGTCGCTCTCCCGTGCAGTACGAGTGCATTAAGGCTCCGCACAAAAGAACGCAATGTTTCTCGGCCCACGTTCTTCTTTACAACCCAAAGCTGGGCCCATGACTCGCTAGCCCGGACATGTGTTGTCAACTACCCGGGCCATGGTGGCCAAGGCATGCATTCTGGGTACTTCGTATTATTATACCCAAAAGCTCCTACATACACGTACTGTACTCTGTACCTTGCTTGCCCTTCCGCTGTTGTCAACTGAGCCACAGTGGCCAAGGCATGCATTCTACCTAGTACTTCATATTATTATACCCAAGCTCCTACATACGGTACACGTACATACCGCCGCCGCCGGCCGCACGCACATGATCTGCATTCAATCCCCACCCCTCCTCCATCTTATTAACTTATTAATGCAACTCAATAAATAAAACCACTCACTCATCGACGACGCATGCATTTGCACACCACGTCCACTCAGTCAGCCCACCGCCTACGAGCGCTGTCTCGCTCTCTCAACTCGTTATGCTGTACGAATCACAGTCATCATGTGCGCCCCCAAGTCATCGTCGAGTACCGTAATAGCGCCGCAAAAGAGGCCGTCCATGCAATGTACGCCTCACCCTCCTCACCCTCCTCACCTCTCGGCCCAACGCTCCAGATCCCTACCGCCACGCAACTCCATGTCGTGCGTCTCTCGCGAAGCCACGGCGTGCAACGTCACACCGCGCTCAGCTCCTACCTTATCCTCTCCGTCCACCCGCATACACATACACATGACTGTCGTGCCGTCACTATGCAAACATATATGCATTCGCCCATATGCACAAGCACACAAGCATCCATGTACGGAGCTACTGTCGGTCCAAGATCCAGACGCACATCAGCCACTCACATGCTTCATCTCGTCAACCATGGCTCTCTACAATTCATCCACGGTTCACTCTTCCCGTCATCAAGCTGAGGGGGAAATAAACTCTCTTCTCCGGCACACACGTCCGTCATTGTCGTTCCGGCGCGTCTCGCCGCTCCCTCTATGTGCAGCCTCCAAAATATCCCCCCAAATCAATTATAAGATGAAGGGAAAGTTATAGTCTCCATGCATGCCCCCATTACTCCAGCAATGGAAAACCCAAGCCGCTTCATGGCTTGACAGCCGGCAGATAGCACCATGCAATGCCTTAAATGTAGATACAGTACAGGGGGGAGGGATTGCGTCAGGGTCGCATCGTCCATGAGGGCTTCAGCTGATCTGTCATGGCGGCCGTCGTGAACACCGTGTCGCCGGGTAAGCGACTAACTCGCCCCGCGCCGCTACGGATTGCGCCCAGCTGCACCGCCGAGATGCCGCTTCTGTTGCTCCTGATGCTGCCCGCGTCACTCGTCGTGTCCGAGTCCTTGAACTTCTTAGGGGGTGCAAAGTCCAGATTGGTAAATGTCGTCGATTTTCGCAGCGAGTGACTACATCACTGTTAGCTTCCAGCAGGTCCGCTCTCGCACTTATGTTCCGGCTACTCACGGGCTCGGCAGGACGGCCAGCTCATCAAAGGCCGTGACGAGGGGAGACGCGACCGGCTTCTTAGGCTGATACGCACGTCGCTCCCCGAGCGGACTTTGACTGCGGCCAGCCGCCCGATCCTGGTACGAATCAGGGGGAGCAAAGTCTACGGCGTTCATAATGGAAAACGAGTCGTCGCGGAGTTTGGATGGCGTCGGCAGCGTCCTCAGAGCAGTGGGCGGCGGGAGGCGCTTCTTAGGCGTTCCGCGCATCCCGGTCGACGCAGACGAGCCCGGCCTCGGCGTGACGGCAGAACCGGCCCGGGGACGGTAACCCATGCCGCCCATCGATCCGTGAGGGCCGTGTGGGCCGCGAGGACCTCGGCCGCCAGGTCCTCCTCCCGGTCCTCCGCGGATGCGGTTTGTGGGAGGTGGTGTCATTGCACGCCGCGTCACAGGCTGTGCGTACGGCATAACGAAGGCGTTCGTTTCCACGTCAAAGTAGGCCGCGTCTCCGAGGAAATTCTCGTCATAGTCTTCTTCGTATTTGGGGCCGCCGCGCTGGGTGGGCATGGGCGGAGGGGGTTCTTTGGCGCTGTCCTCGAAGTATTCCTTGTAGAAGGATCGGATGCGGTTTGCCCGATACTCCGGGTCCTCGGATTCCGTCACCTCGTTCGGAGGCAGAGGGCGGAACCCAACCGACAGCCTCTTGGACTGCTGTTGCGGAACACCCAGCCCTTGCGGCTGCTCGCGACCGTCGTATGCCACAGGAGCCTGGCGCTCGAGGCCTCGGCCGCGAATGTCATCGTCGTACTGATCAAAGGATTGCGACATGGTAATCTCGGGATGGTCTCCTTGCCTCGTGAAGTCATCGTGAGAGTGCGCGAGGCCAGGGGCGCTGTCGAGCATATGGGGCTCAAAAGCGACGGCATGAGATCCTGGCGACAAGGCCATAGGGACATCAGTGTATAGCCTCGTGTCCGCGGGCTCTGTTTCGTGAGGATGCGAAAAGTCGAACCCATCATCGACGTGAGCGATGCTAACATTGGCGTCCATCCTCGCGTGGGACAGTTCGGACTGTGCATGATCTGGAGCAGCGGACCGCCCATGGTGGGCATCAGAGGACAAGGCCACAGCTTGAAGCTGACCGCCTGGATTGTCAAAGCCACGGCCATCGACGTGGTCGTCAGGGTAGGCTACGGTGCCAATCTCGGGGACGATGGGCTGTATGGGCCGGATCGGTTCCTGGGTGCCCGATGCGGCTAGTGTCCTCTGACTTGGCTCGGGCGCCATAGGTGTGGCAAACGGATTGATCGGGACGTCGGGAGACACGGGGGATCGCGGCCCTGTGTTGGTTCGCGGAGGGTGCATCGACCCACCCAATGATTTGCTGGTTAAGGCAGAGTTGCGCTTGCTGCTGCCATGGACTGACGGGGCCTTGGGGTTGAAGGATCGAATGGAACCGGATTCGCTGTGGGTGAAGTCCTTGATGGTGCGGTAGGGGTCCTGCTCGTTGGGAAAGGTGCGCGCCAGCGAGTGGATAGAGTCGTGAGACTGCTGTATACCGGGCGGGAGCAGGTAGGGCGACGACAGGTTCATGTCCATGGACAGCTGCCCCGGCTTGTGCACCGTCTTCTCTCCTCCTCCGAACAAGCTCTTGCGCTTGGCACCCTTGGCACCCTTGGGCGAAGTCTCGTCGAGGCCGAAATCGAGGCCTGTGTTGGGGTCCTTTGCATCCTCCATCCTTAGGCGACGGACATTACGACGGTGAAGAAAGAGAAGAACGATGGCGCCGACGAGGACGGGAATCCTGATTGCTACGTGTTAGAGGCGAGAGACGGGCGTGAGTCGACTCGACATACCCGATTCCCATGATTATGGCAATGTTTGTGACGTTTGTGCTGACGTTCCTCTCGCATGAGCCCCCGGAGCACTCGCGCTTGGCCAGGCCAGCAGCGGCGTGTGGAGCGGTCAGGGAAGCGAGACCGAGGGATCGACGCGATTTGACGTGAGGCGGCATGGCGAATGCATTGTCGTGTGGCGTCGTCGAGTGGCCGTCGTAATAGTGCGCAGGGAGCTTCATGATGCCGCTCCGACTCCCAGACACTGCAGTCCCAAAGCGACGACGTTGCTGGATCAAAGGGCGAGGCAACTCTTCATGGCCTGTCAATTATCGGCATCGGACGCGCAATCAGTTGCTTTTGCCGGCAAGGCAGGGCATGAAACGCGAGGAAAGCAAAGGTTGCTGTGTGACGATGCGGCGCTGCAGGCGGTGGGAAACAAGGGGCACAGAAACCGAGCAAACAAAAAAGGGCGCCTCCAGGGGGTTCGCTGGCCGTGAAGCGTCGAAACGAATTGCAGAAGGACACCAGCTGAAAAGTAGGGGAAAGGAAGGACGAAGGGCTGGAGAATGGGGGGAAAACCAAAAGAGTGACGAGCCCGTGGGCAGCCAACTTGGCGCGATAATGCCGTCGGTCGACTGGAGAAAAGGCAGACTGACGATTAGGGGGAGGGAGAGGGAGAAGAGAAGGAGACGGGACGGGGGGTAGGGGAGAGAGAGTGGAAGAGAGGGAAGAGATACGGAGCAGTAACAATTTTGGGTTGCCCGCAACACTAAAAGGAGTACCTAGACGGGACGAAAGATTGCACAAGCGCGATACTTGCAAGTACCTTGGGGGGGTAAATGTTTGGTGCCTGTGCCGTCCGAATAGTGGTGGAGGCTACATGGCGCAGGGACATCAGCCACGTCAGGAGAGGTAGCTACAAGTACCGCCCATTGTCTTGGGTACAAGGCTGCACCCCGCAGGGGCCAGGACATGGCGGGTGGAGGCAATGACAGGCACTCTAACCCGCTACCGCAAGGTACCCGGGCGATACACGGGCAGCAGCAGGGAGCCGCTCTCCGGGCCAGGGAAAAGGAGATTGACGGGATTTACGGAGTACGGGCGCGGGAGGATGGAAATGAAAGGGAGCCAAGTTGATTGAAATTGACGCCGTCCAACCGACAGAGATATCTCAGGTACGAAGGATCCACTCGTTGGTAACGGATGGCATGAGGCGAGGTCCTGAAGATGCGACTGGCCACCCATTCACTCTCGCAGACTCTTTGAATCTGCCGGCGAGATTGAAGCGAGGCGTCTTCCCGAGGCAGTGTCTTTCAGCACACCACTTTTCCAGAGAGGAGGAGCCATGTATCCGTATTCGTACGTACAGTATTAATTACTTCCATCGCCAGTGCCAGGCTGATGGCTACCTGCACGGCGGGACAGGGCTCAGGGGGCGTGATGCAGGTTGGGCGCCAGTGCAGTGCCTTTTGTGTACTTCCGAGGTATCAGGTCATCAAGGCTGCTGCGGTCGAGCGCGTCCAATGCACGGCGCGGGTATCTATATACCGCCGGGGTACCTGGGCCTTTACAGTGGATGAACATCCACGTGGAGCACAATGGGAGCGATAGCAGGCGCCGCTGCCCCTGACGCTAGCCCCGAAGCAGCCTGGGCCGGGCGCGAGGCAGCCAGCCACCAACTCTCACCTTTTCCGACTCTCGGAAGTAATACCTACTGTGCAGTAGGCACAGTAGGCACCTAGTACTCCGTAGCTACTGTACAAGTAGGCGGACGACTTATCGCGGTGCCTGCGGCCAGACCTGACGTCAAAACACACGGCACTGCCGCTGTGCCGAGATGAGCAAGAGAAGAGCCCGTTTCCAGCGCAAGGGAGGGAAAGGGGGGGGCAGAGAGAGGGTCGGTCTTTGGAGAATATTGCCACGAGCACGCGCAATATTCAATTCCCCTACTTGGCATTGACTGCTTGTTGGCTTGCACGTGTGTGCACCAAATGGCAAGCATGCCCAGATTCTTTGGCCAATCCATCCATGCCTCTGCTCGTGCCGATGGCCGGCATTGGCGATCGATGCATCTCTCCCCATCAAAAGCCATCAAAAGCCATCAAAAGCCATCGCCACAGCTGGCAAACATGTTTATTTGTTGACTTTTGATGCTTTTTCCCTCTCATGCATATGCCCACATTCCTCGCTCCGGGCAAATTAAAGCCCATGTCTTGCCCGGCTCTAAAACGTCATGAAACATGTTATTGTGTCCAGGCTCTATTATCCTTGCGTCCAAGAAAGGGGGGAACGCACCCCTAATCATTGGGGCCTCGCCGCGCTCTCTCTCGTTGGAGGAGATTCAGCCAACGGCCGACGCCACCATCAACGCCACCATCAACATCAATGCTGGTCTGTAGCTGACCAAGTGGGATGGATATGAAATACGTGCTGCTGTACATGACGATGATGAGCAGGCTGCCTCGTGCGGCTCTGCGAGCGTTATGCCATCTGCATGCACGACAGTCAGTCACCCTTACTAACAGAGCTCTACTGTACAGTACCTACCTTAGGCGTGGCCGCATGGCTGTCGAATCACGTCCACCACGATAACTTACAGTACCAACAACCACTGCACACGTCTCAACGTCAGACTCGCAGCTGTGCCCAAAGCAAAGACAGACAGGCACCTCAGACTCGCAGAATGCCCGCAGTTTCCAGGGGACCGTGTCCGAGGCGCCAATCCGGGCGTCCGTCCGATCCCCGGCCCCATCGTCGGGTTGGCCGCCCGACGGCTCGATAAATGCACGTAGATGCTACGGGACTGCACCGTCGACGACGACGGCAAACAAAAATGCACGCTAGAGAGCAACAGAGTCAACGCCGCCTGCTGGAGAATCTCTCGGGGCTCCGTCAAGCTTCGTAACGCCTGGTCCATCGTGAGGCAGAAGGTCCACGGGAATGCCATCCCTGACGCCGCCAACGCGTACTATTTACGAGTGATCGGCGGCAGAGACACGCGATCGACGAACTATGGGCCATGGCTCCGCACTGCTTGACTGCCTCCCGCCAAGTACACATGCCTCCATGGCCATACGCAACCGAGTCTACGGCCTGGCTGGCGAAGCCCATCGTCCTGTCAAAGACAGCGAGGGCCCTGCCTGGCGGCGTCTGCTGCACGGATCGAGAACCGAAGACCACGGTACCTTAAGACCTCTGGGAGCAACGCGTCTCCCCTGATACCCGGAGCCATGGCACGAACCGGGGGGGCTCCATTTTGCGGTCCCGCCGGCCAAAGATGGGGTGAGACCTTGAGCTACCAGGGGAGTAAGATGATTCCTCGTCCGTTCCCTCAATAGTTGTTCCTCGGTGTACCGGATATTTATAGAATACAACCTGAAACCCTGACCGAGAGAACGGTGTAATTAGGGGACGACCGAAGAAAGGCGAGTGGGCCTTGCACCTTGCATGGCCTTAGCATTCATGACGAGATGAAAAGCTTCAGTTCCCGCATGCCGGTGGCACCGTCAGCCAGCCTCATTACCTTGGCTAACCATCTCTCGACCTCATATTCTGCCACGTCGCCTCGTTCAGCTGAGAATCTTGCTGTAAAGTAATCTCATCCAGTCCCGTCCGGAACCTCATCTCGCCATCTCTCGGCGCAGGTCCACCAACGACTTTCTCTCTTGCCCCCGCTCGCCCAGGATTACAACATCTCCGTCAGCCTCTTTTCCTGGTCAGCTTGTAATACTCGGGCGCATATTCCGTGAGCCATTCCTTGTCGACTTTTGTAATGTCCCTGATAAACGTCTTGTCCCCCGTCTCCATGACCTCGTGAAAAACGACCCAGTCGGCCTTGCGGTTGAACATGAGCGAGCTCGGATGTGCGTGGAGCACCGTCCCGCCCTCGACGTTGCGAAATGTCCCGTCGGGCTGCATTCGCGCCGCGTGGGCAAAGTATCCCGCCGTCAGACAGCGCCGGATCTGCTCTGCCTTCTTGGACTTATCTGCGCCGACCTGTGGCGGGTGGGGGTCAGCGGCCGACATGTTGAACCGCTCGAGGTAGCGCTTTAGTTGAGCGCGGATGCTGACGGCGCGGGTCAGGGCCTTGTAGTTGAGGTGGTTCTCGTGGCAGAACCGGGACTCCTTTTTGCCCCGTGTCACAAAGGCAGTGTAGACATTGAGAAGGGTCAGGTGGTCGCCTTCTTCGACGGCAAACTTGCGCCTCGAGCTCTCCATCCTCTTCTGCTCGCCCTCGTGATGGAACCACACGCTGCCGCCCAGGCTCGTCATGGCGGCAATGGTGAGAATCTCATCGAGGCAATCAAACGACGGCGCCGACAGCAATGTTTTGGCCATCATGGGCTCGACAGCCAGCTCCGCCATGCGAAACCCGAGCGGCCGCGTCAGCTTGGCATACTCGTCCAAGGCGCCGAGTGCGTAGAGAAGCTCAAGCGCCTTGGACATGAGCTCGGATGGCGGCGGGGACAGAAACTCGAAGCGGACGACGTTGTCGATCCCCAGCGCTTTCAGCTGCAGCACAACGGGTGCAAGGTTGGACCGCTGCAGCTCTGGCGCGTTGGACTCCGGGAGTCCCGCGTGGGCCTGCTCCGTATAGAGCCGAAAGCATTTTCCTGGCTTGGTCCGGCCCGCTCGGCCGGCGCGCTGCGACGCCGACGCCTTGGAGACGGGCGTTGCCGTGAGCGACTCGATGCCCGTCTCCGGGTTGTAGGCACGGAGCTTCACGAAGCCACAGTCGACAACATAGGCGATGCCGTCAATGGTGACGGACGCCTCGGCAATGTTTGTGGAGAAGACCACTTTCCGCGTGCCGTCGGGGGGCTTGTCGAAGACGTACATTTGCTGCTCCGTCGACAGACCTGCGTAGAGCGGCAGTGGTTGTATGGCCTTGTATCGACTGCCGGCCTGGGCTGCCCTCTCCGAGACTGCTTGGACGGCATAGTCAATCTCCTCGCGGCCCGTCAGAAACACCAGGACATGGCCATCGTCCTCTTGCATGTGGATGTCAAAGACTGTCTCTATGGCCTTTTCAACGTAGTTTTCCGCGGGCGATTCCAAGTACAAGACATCGATGGGATAGGTCCTCCCCTCGAGGCTGACTATGGCACCGACTTGGCCATGGTCATTGTCAGACGCTTGCTCCTCGCCCGTCTGCGAGAAGAAGCCGAGAAACTTCTCGGCCTGTAGCGTGGCGCTGCTAATGATGATGCGGAGCTCGGGGCGCTTGCGGCGGATCTTCTTGAGCAGGCCCAGCAGGATGTCGGTGCTGACGGAGCGCTCGTGGGCCTCGTCCACCATGATGATGGAGTAGCGGCTAAGTAGGGGGTCGACGAGGGCCTCTCGGATGAGGAGGCCGTCGGTGAGAAACTTGATGCGCGTGGCCGAAGACGTGACATCCTCGAAGCGAATCGAGTATCCGACCTCCTTGCCAATCTCGCATCCCGCTTCTTCGGCGACGCGAACGGCCACCGTCGTGGCTGCAACGCGTCGAGGCTATTGGACGTCGGTCGTCAACATGCGAGTCTTGGTCGCCGACGGCGCAGGACTCACCTGCGTTATCCCAATGATCTTGCCATCGGCGCACCAGCCTGCGCGCTCCAGGAACTGGGGTATTTGCGTCGTCTTTCCGGAGCCTGTTTGGCCGATGACGATGGTGACGGGATTTTCCTCGACCACATAGAGGAGACTCTGGCGGTGCCTTGCTATGGGCAGCAGTGCCGCTGGCTTGTGAAGGGCTGGGATAAAGGACGAGTCGAGGTCGAAATCTGCCATCTTGGGCGAGCCTGGACCTAGGGGTCAACGACAACCCGTTGGCGACCACATGAGAGTCCTTTTGCACCTTCCAGAGCCTAAAGAGCGGCGTATCCCTCAGTACTCTGTCTCATGTCGTTTGTTCGCTCCCCTCCAGCTCGGGGTGTCATTGCTTGTCCGCCTGTGAGGCTCAAACTCATTTTCACTGCCATGGTGCAGGGTAGCAGGTGTGGCTTGGTTGAGGCTGACGTGTGTGGCAAGCCCAGGGGGGGGGTCACGGCCTGTGGGTCACGTCATCACTGGCGCGTCCCCTTTCAAGCAACCCCTCGTGCCAGAAGCATCAATGCGGACGAACAGTAAATGCATTGCCATTCACGTCAAAGAGTCAGCCAGCCAATCTCCAGGCCGCCCCGGCGTGCTGTTTGCCATCCTCTTGACCTCCTCACCTCCCTTGCAAAGCTCCCACGCACATTTCATACCTCCCGGCGCGGCGATTAGCGTCGCAGATACTCGCAGACAATGTCGGCCCAGGCGGAAACTGTTCGTGCAGCTCCTCCTGCTTCATGCATCGCGCCCTCTCCCCTGAACCCCCCGCTGACGGCGTCGACGGTGCGCAGCACAAGGCAACAGTGACAGAAGCTGGTCCCGAGTCGCCTACCACAGCTCGACCCTTCGAGATGGATGATGATGATGTCCTGGAACCGGGTATCGCCGGCGAGCCCGGGACGCCGAAACCAGCCGCTGTATCGACCCCTCCGGTCTCACCCGTCGAACCTGCGCCGCCCAAGCCCCCCCGCCCCCAGAGCGAGACACAGACGAACGTCATGATACTCAAGGAAGCGTTTCCGAGCGTCGAGGAACCAGTCATCAAGGCCATCTTGCGAGCTAGCGGCGGCCGTGTAGAGACAGCCTTCAATGCGCTGCTGGGTACGTGATATAATAAGCGAAATCCACACACGCAAAGACATGCCGTTATTGACGACGCCGCAGAAATGAGCGACCCCGACGCCGCCAAGAACGAGCAGGAGGAAGTGCCACCGCCCCAGCCCCCGCGGCCTCAAGGACGGAACGACATGACGCAGGTCGAGGCCGACGAGCTCTACGCACGGAAGCTTGCGGAACACTATGACAATGTTGGCGCCTACGAAGCTCGGACGTCCAATCGCCCGCGCGGGTCCCGGCTGCCGCAGGAACTGGACGAGGAGGATCGCGAGCACAGCTTCATCGACGACGACCTGCCCGTTATTCGCGAGAATCTGCGCAAGGGCTTCCTCGAGACCCAGAAGCAAGTGAATGGATGGATCACAAACTTGAGGAAGAAGATCGAGGACAACTTTGACGAATCTGAGGAGGCCGCGCAAAGACCGGGCCAACCCCCTCGACGGCAAGGCGAGGCCAGTCGCAGAAGCGGCGACTATGAAAGATACGACGCCGACCCTCAGGTTCTCAGTGACGACTTTGCAGGCATGAAGTTTTCAACCGACGGAAGTGAGTACCACAGCCAGCCACGGTGGCACCCAGAGTCCCTGACATGTTGATAGCCCCCGCCAACCAAGGCGTGCACAAGCCCCCCCCCTCTACGTCTTCCCCGATGCCAAGTGACGGGCGACGGGTGGCATTCAAGGGTGACACAGAGGAGATCAACATGTACGACGCATCTCCCCAGATGCCGCCCAGGGATACGGCTGCGACGTCGAGTGCGAAAGCGAGCAAATGGCAGCCCCTCTCGGCGATGGACCCGAACCCGATTGCGGATAACGACCCGTTCAGCTTGGGGGACAGCGAGGACGAGAAGGACGCCAAGGACAAGGACAAGCCCAAAGACAGCAAAGCCGACGAGGGCGAGAGGCTGAAACAGGCGGCAGCAGAGGCCATGGCGGACGAGCTGGTGAAGCCGACCAAGGAGGGAGATGCGGTTGAGAAGAAGAGCTGAGGGGAGAAGCAATCAGACCCAAGGATAGTTGGTCTTTGGCAGTGCTGACGTGACGGCCGAGCGATGTCTGGAGTAGGCGGGGAGCAAGTTGGTTTCGGGCCGCGTGGTGATTGCAAGTGTCCGGTAGCGCCAACTGGCCTCTCACTTCTTTATATGTGCGTTTCCACGAGCCAAAGGATCAGACGATGAATTGAGAAATTTACGATGCTGCATTGCACCGTGGACGACTGTCACATGCTCGTCTTGGTGACGGCGACCCACAGCGCGGCCGAAGAAGTTGTTCTGGCTTTTAAGCGACGGTAGAAGGAGAAACACGTGGGAGCAAGAGGGAGAAAGCCGTCGTCTTGCAGCGAATCCTGTTGTGGAGCTGGCCATGAGGCCTTGCCTTATCGTTGGAGCACGGGGTCCAGCTCTTTACTGCCATTGGACGCTGGGGTGAGGAGGCCCAGGGCTTGCTCTGCTGGTGGTTACTGCCCTAGCAGACCACTGCCGCTCACTGCGGGTGAAAACATTTAGCGGCTAAGCTTCGGTCAGTCAAGATCCCTCTTGGCGCGTGGATTCCTGCGGTGCTGCGACGTGACTGCATCCTGGTCCGGTGCATATACAGTACTGTACAACTGCAGCCCCAGGTACTTGGAAGCTCGTACCTCTCTCTTGTACCGGAATGAACGTTGCTCGTCTACAGACACGACGACTATCCACGGCACGCAACGGCTGTAGGCCATGATGGTTCGCACTGCGGATGGGGTAGCAGAAGTCACTCGCCCCCGCTGAGACTTGTTGAAGCAGCCAAGCCCTTGTTGGTGGCGGCCGAGCCACAGGCCTGCCGCCCGTCTCACGGCCAAGCCAAGCCTCCGTCCTCTTCACCATCCCTCCTCACCGGCCAACCGTCGACAGAGAGCCAACATCCTACTGGGCGATACGGACCAACTCGCAGCAAGGCACAGCGCCCAATCCATCTGGTTGGCCCTGTTTCAGAAGCAGCAGCAGCAGCAGCAGCAGCAGCAGAACCGGTAACAGCAGCAGCCGCTGTTAGCCTACCGAGTGCCCGGTAAGCTCTGCGCGCGACCACATCCGACTCGCTCAGCCTGAGCAGTGCCTTATCTGCTCCCACCCAGCCCGGCTGGCCCTCGTGTACCCGAGACACCCAACGAGGCTGTGTGCTGTACTCGCTGCCCGCATCTGTCAAGGCACGGCTAACCCTCGTCCAGGCTCCCCTTGACCAGCGGCAACCTTGGGCATCGTATCATGCCTTGAGTCTGCTCAAACCACCCTGCGTCATTTGCACTACCGCGAATAGACGACCTGCCTTCTCCCAAGCCGCCGCCTCTCGCTCTGTCAAGTGTCTTCTAACCCCCGACCCTGTCTCATTCGTCTGCAAGCTTCTTCAGCAGCTCTCCAACTTGTGGCCATCCGGGCCCCGAGAGCCGCATCATGTAAGTCGTCTCCCTCCTTTGACGTCATCTTCGCACTCGACTCATCACGTCCCTCCCTGGGCAGGAAATTCGGCAAGCAGATCCAGAAGCGCCAGCTCGAGATTCCCGAGTATTGGGCCAGCTTTGTCAACTACAAGGCTCTCAAAAAGGTATTGCATCAATCCAAGCACCATCGGCCTTTTCACATTCTTTCATTTTGCCAAATAAACCTGTCCGTCAAAAGGAGTAGTAGCCCATCCTACTCCCTTAGTTGGAGATGCTGCCACTCGTTATCATCAACACCCGGGGCCATTGCCGACTGCGACGCTAGCTAACGCTGTGCCATACAGCTCATCAAGAAGCTGTCTGCAACGCCGACGTTGCCCCCTCAAAATGAAACCCACCGCTCCGTCACGCCTGTGGACTCCCAGGCGGCCCTCCAGGCCAACAAGGCCACCTTCTTCTTCCAGTTGGTGAGTGGCTTTTTCGACTCAGCCATTGCATGTGTTCTGAACGGAACGCTCACTCGGTCGTAGGAACGAGAGCTCGACAAAGTAAATGCCTGCTATTTGCAAAAAGAAGCCGAGGTTCGTCAAGCCCCTGCTTAAACCCCTCCCATGCAACATGCCGACTCACCCTCGGCGCAGCTCAAGATCCGACTCAAAACCCTGCTCGACAAGAAAAAGGTGCTGCAAACGCGACATGGCATCTCAAGGCGCTCGTCCAAGTTCACCACCTTGCAAGAGGGCTTTCAACAGTTTGCCACAGACCTCAACAAGCTGCAACAGTTTGTCGAGGTCAATGGCACCGCCTTTTCTAAGATTCTCAAGAAATGGGACAAGACCTCCAAGTCCAAGACCAAGGAGCTTTACCTGTCCCGGGCTGTCGAGGTGCAGCCGTTCTTCAATGCCACCGTCATCAGCGAACTCTCGGACCAGGCCACCACGAGCCTACAGGAGCTTGGCGCCTGGTCGGACGGCATTCAGGTCAACTTTCAGACGTCTGGCCACGTCGTTACGAGCCAACATTTCGTGGGAACGGACGAGGGTGACGCTGACACGCTACTGCTGGATACTGTTGTCGCTGGCAACCTCGAATCATTGCGGGACCTCCTCATCAGGATGCAGTCGGCAAGTGTGGCCGACGATGGCGAGAGCTCGTTGATGGACCGCGTCACCCGGACCTTTTTGACAGCCATTCACGACGCTCCTCGAGAATCACTGCAGGTGTTGCTCGACACTGGCCTCGTCGACCTTCACTCGTACGATGATATCAACGAGCGCAATTGTCTGCACCAGGCAACCATCTACGGCAAACAACATGTCCTTGAATGGGGCTTGAATGCGGGCGTCGCGGCGGATCGAACCGACGTCTATGGTCGAGTGCCATTGCATTATGCCTGCTTGCACGGCCGACTCGAAATGCTCGAGGTGCTACTGAGATGTGAGTAGCACTAAATCAGACGAGCCGGCGCAGCTGACACGCACAAGCAAACCCTCGGACGATTGACCTGATCGACCACGACAATTTCACTCCACTGATACACACCATACGAAACGGGCATCTTGATTGCGTCCAACGTCTCTTGTCCAAGTCGGCGCGGATCGACCCCGTCTCAGTCTCAGACCACGCACCTCTGAATCTTGCCTGCGAGCACGGATCGGAACCGGTTGTGGAGCTCCTGCTGAAGCACGGGGCCAAGATGCTGCCAGATGCCGAGGGCCTGTTTCCTCAGCACCTAGTGGCGCGAGCCGGCAAGACTTCGCATCTGCTGTTGCTCCTGAAGCAGTATGGAGCAGACCTCGACCTAATCGACAAGCTGTACGGGTGGACTCCTCTCGTGCACGCCGCGAGCGAGGGCAACGTTGACTGCCTCCAGGCGCTACTTAAAGTCGGCGTGGATGCTCACATTGTGGACGAGAAAGGCTTACCCGCTATGTACTACGCAGCTTGGGAAGGCCATCTCGAATGCATGAAGCTGCTTTTCCCCTTCAACGTCCGATTCACGGCCAGCCCGTTGGTCACGCAGGTGTCGCTTGAGCCGATGGACGGCAGCAGTGCCCCTGGTCCCATGTCCTTGGATCCCGATGCGATTCCCGTTCTCGAACTGCCGCCCCCCATCATCCCTCTTCGCAGATACGGCCATAACTTCCTCGACACCAAGACTGTGGTGCAGATCAACTTTGAGGAGACCAAGGAACAGCCGCTGATCTTCTTCCAAGACGGCAAATATCCTGCCGCTCGCCTCACGATCTCCTCCAAGGTGTCGGACCTCATCCCCAAGAATATCATCCTACCCTTTCAAGAAGATACCCGCATCGTTTCCTTTCAAGTCGACAACATTGACACGTTTTCGCTCGACTTTGACGTCTTCCCCACGTACGGCGCAAAGGTCATCGCAAAGACGGTGGTGCTACCCAGCGCCTTCAAGTTGCAGCAGGGCAGTTCGAGCTGCTGCCTGCCCCTGTTTGATCCCCGTCTACGCGCCATCGGGCAAATCAGTTTCACCACCCAGGTCATCAAGCCGTTTCAGGGGCAACCGTTGGAGATTACCGACTTTGAGACGTATTGGAAAGCGACGAGCCAGTTCAACCAGCCCACAAGCGCCATCGTCACGGGATCAAGCCTCAGCGGGGACTACGTGCGTCTGTTTATACAGTACACGAGCGACGGCGCGCCTGTCGTCTGGCCACAGTGGACCGTGGCTTGCGGCGGGCTCGATATACCCGTGTGCCGGCTGTCGTTGGAACAGTTCCTGGTAATCACGGCGCCAAACCCGAGCCGCGCTGAGCTGCCGGGAATTCCGTCCATGACGGCGGAAAACGTGGGCGACATCTACCGCATCTTGGCAACGGCCGGTGTGACGCTCACCGAGGCGTTGTCCGTCCTGCCGCTCGGCGTGCATGTCAACCTGCAGATTCTGTATCCGTCGCCCGAAGAAGAGAAGGCGCTGGCGCTGGGCCCGGCCCTCGACGTCAACGTATTTGCAGATTCCATCCTGACGGCCGTCTTCGACCATGCGCGTGCCCAGAGAGCCCAGTACCAGTCGCCCGACGTGGCCCGATCGATGGTGTTTAGCAGCTACAGCCCCCGCCTGTGCACGGCTCTTAACTGGAAGCAGCCCAACTTTCCCGTGTTCCTATGCAACGACCTAGGCAGGGAGCAGACGATCGGGCGGCAGGGCAATGCGAGGAGGAGCATGTCGGTCAAGGAGGCGGTGCGAATCGCGCAAAGCAATAACTTTATGGGGCTCATGTGCCACTCTCAGCTCTTGGTAAGCCCTCTTTCTCCGTTGCGTTTCTCGCATCGTATAGCTAACGGCAACAAGGAAATGGTGCCCGCACTGGTCGATGCAATCAAGTCGCATGGCTTGGCGCTCGTCATGGACAGGTCGACGGACATGTCGGACGCGAACTTATCCTCCATGTCGATTTCTCATCCGCCCACGGGTGTGGATGGCGTCCTCAAAGATCATGGCATCTTACGGTTTAATGATTCTATAGATATGTAGAGAAGACGCCGGCGAATCGCGGACGAGGGAGGCACTGGGGATGGAATGGTGGGACAGGTCCCTATGTACGCATTGGGGGATAATGGGCAGAGTAAATCGAGGGCGCAAAGACAAATGTGAACCACAATACGAGCTTCAAAGTCTCAAGCACCCTTGTAGTCGTATTTGAGAGCTGACAGTTCCCTCTCCGGGTCGACGCTGGCCATGACAATCTTTGCCGCCAGGACTACAGAGTATACGATGGCGGGCAAGTTGCCCACGCCCACCCAGCCAAAGCTTCCTGTTCCGCGGCCCGTCAGCATGCCCATGAGGACCAGCACGGCGGCGAGCCCGGCGTTCAAGTAGGGCAGATATGTCTCGAGCGGCGAACCATGCGCAGTGGGCAGCGGCGGGCGAGGCCGCAGCGCAGCGCGGGCATCTCTGCTGGGGGCGACGCGGGTCCAGGCGTCGAGGGGCGCGATGCCGGTGAGGTGCGGGGGCAGGCGATGGAGGAGGTAGGCGGTGGCGGAGAGCGAGGTGAGTGCGAGCAGGGCGAGCAGCGAGACTCTCGGGCGGACGAGGAGCGGGAGGTAGGGCAGGGCGGCGAGCAGGGGCAGGGCGACGAGGAGGCGGCGGAAGCGGGCGTTGCGGGCCGTGTTTTCGGCGGCGAGGCGGGCGATGACGTCTTCCTGCTCTGAGACGGGGGGTCAGACGGAAACTATCCAACGATGCAACGAGAGAGAGCGCGTGTGTATGCTTACCCTGCTCGTCTATGGCGTCGGGTTGCGAGTCCGAGTCCGAGTCGTCGGGGTAGTGGAACGTGCGGCGCAGACGGGCGGTTGTGGGCCCGACTTGGGGCATTTTTTCCCTTTCTGACGAGAAGAGGTGTTTGCCTAAGTCGTGGACGGTTGAGAGTGAAGCATAAAGCGCATTGCTGAGGGGTGGGTGCTTGACGCGGTGGAGGAGAAATTGAAGATGGTGGTGGTGGTGGTGGTGGTGGTGAAGGGCTCGCGAAAGGTACCGGGATCAGCGCCTGGGCTATGACGCCACTCCTTGGACCCTGTCACAGTGCAGTACAGTGCTATAAACACCGTCGTCAAATGGTAGACAGCCGACACTAACGGTGGAAAAAAAGCGCGGCACAGCATAGCACCATTCATCATCACCAGCTTCCACCCAACAACCGCCGTTCTCCCGCCACCACCGTGCGTGCGCCTGTTCTAGACGCCATCGGTATCTCGTGCGCACCTACAGAGAAAACGGGTTCGCGATCAACGAACGCGACTGCCTTCAATTCCTCCGTCTCTCTCTCTCCTCTTACCCGCCCCCCCGGGGGGGCCACAGGGAAGCGTAGCATGCTGTCATCATCATCGACGGTCCGGGGCGGGATGCTGCTGCGGGGGTGTGGCAGGCTTTTGAACTGTGCGTGCCGCGGCCTGAATCATGGGGGCGCCGCCGTGGTGCCGGGGCATGGAGGACGAGGAGGAAGTGCGTCGCAGCGGCGATGGGTGACGCCCGCGCCGGGGCCTGGTGATGGACCGCTCATGTCGCGGCGGGCAGATCGCCAGCTCCCAGGTACAGTCTCTCTTTTCCATGCAGAAGCACCATTCTCTCCGAGCAAGACAGACGACACAGCCGCCTGCTAACCGCAAGACGCACCACCCCAGACGTCAAGCAAGTCCGCTTCCGCTGGGGCCGCACGCTGCCTCTCTTTCTCGCCGTCGTCACCCTCTCATCGCTCGCCATCTTCAACTACCAGAAAACGTCGTCGCCCATTGTCGCCTCGACGCTCTACGCGCTGCGAGTCTCACCCCGCGCCCGCGCCCTGCTCGGCAACGACATCTACTTCAAGCACCCGATCCCCTGGATCCGCGGTGAGATGAACCAGGTGCGCGGCCGCGTCGACATTGCCTTTTCCGTCCGCGGGAGCCGCGGCTCCGCGACGATGCGCTTTGCCAGCCGCAGGCCCTCGAGCCGCGCCCTGTTCGAGACGTCCGAGTGGAGCCTGACCATGGACGACGGCGGCGAGTGGGTCGACCTGCTCGAGGGCGCGGGCGATCCGTTTCGGGCGCTGCTTGCTGATGAGCCTCTGGTGGACGACGTCGGCGATGTTGAGGACGACAAGGCTCTTGCTACGAGGGGGTTTAGACAGCAGGGCGCTTCGTGGAACAAGTGACGCGGCGACAAGGCAGGGGTGTCGACAAGGCAAGTTGAGGCCCTAGACCATCCTCGACGTGGTTTGTGCATGCACGACAGACGATGCAACCAATGGCTCCAGATGTACGTGTGTGCGTGTGTAAAGCGGGCAGACCCCTGACAGTCTGTGCATCTCCCTCCCTCTATCATACAATTCAGCGCCCAACCCCCTCGTCTCTCTTGTATTCTTTTTCCTTCATGTGAGCCCATGCACTGCCAGGGCCAGCTAGCCAAGCCGTCTTGTTGCCCTCTAAGCCGTCGCTGTCTCCTCCTTGCTCTCTTGCACAGCCGGCCCCCGCGTCAGCTCACCGTCGACGTGCTGCCGCCTCCGCTGCTTCATCTCGAGATGGCGCTCCCTGGCCATCTGGAGCGCCTCGGCAGCGCCGGGATGCCTATCGAGCAGCTGCTGAAAGACCTTTTGGCGGTACGGCAGGGCGGGGGCCTTGCGCTTCTTGGAGTCCTGCAGCTTGACGGTGCAATCGGTGGGCCCCGGGACGGCGCCGCTGACGAGGACGATGCCGAGCTCGTTGTCGACGCGGAGGACCTTGAGGTTCTGGACCGTGGCCCACACGCCGCCCATGCGGCCGGGCATCTTCTTGCCGGGCATGACGCGGCTGCCACTGCCCTGCGAGGGACCCGTGGTGCCGATGGTGCGGTGGTTCTTCGAGTTTCCGTGCGACGCCTCCTGGCCCGCGAAGCCGTGGCGCTTCATGCCGCCGGCAAAGCCCATGCCGCGCGACCGGGCGCGTACGTCGACGTACTGGCCCTGCTGGAACCAGTCGGGCAGCAGCTGGACGCCGACGGGCAGCAGGCCCTCGTGGGAGCGGACGTAGAACTCGGCCAGCTCGCTCTTGGGGGCGACGCCCTTGGCCTCGTAGTAGCCGAGCAGGGGGCTGGTGACGTTGCGCGCGGGCCGGGTGCCGGCGCCGACCTGGACCGCCCAGTAGCCGTGCTTGTCGCGCGTCTTGTTGGCCACGACCTGGACCTGGTCGAGCTGCAGCACGGTGCAGGGCACGCGCGTCTTGCCGACGAAGACGCTCGTCATGCCCTTCTTGACGGCCAGCACGCCGGTGCGCAGGGGCGTCGTGTTCTCGCGCCGCTCCAGGGCCGCCGCGGGGCCCGTCGTCAGCGCCGGCAGGCCGGCGTTGGGCTGGTTGAAGCGCCGGTGCTTGGAGCGCGGCGGCGCCGTCGACCAGCCCTTGACGCTGGTGGTGGCGGCGCGGCGCTGCGGCTGCAGGAGGGACGACGTCGTCGGCAGCTGCGGCCGCCGTCGGGCGTGAGGAGGCTGAGGGTGCGCGCCGAAGAAGAGCAGTGTCGGGGGCCGGCGGAGGGCGGCCCCCCGTATGGGGAGGCGGGAGGACATGACCCCCTCTCCTCGAGGGTTTTGAGACTGGCCCGTTTTCTGTCACGGATGGTGGAATGCAGACGATGGGGGGAGGGGGTTCGAATGCTGTTGTGCGGTGCGTCGGGTGTGGGAAGCTGCTTGAGGTGCCTGGAAATTTTGGCGAGGTTGAAGCGGATAGTGTCTGGGGTTCGGTTATTCTACGGCGTCCTCGCGGGTTTCCTGGGACCTGAGAGGTGTCTAGGGTAGGCCGGTTAGACTTGGTCGCGGTCGTCTCGACAGGACCGGCATGTCTCGCATGAAGCTGCATTGGCCTGGCAAGTCTTTCGCTCATCATATACCATGGCCGTCTACGGTCTTTTGCCCGTCCCCGAGCCCTTCCAGAAGAGATACGTGTAAAAAAGAAAGAGCGAGGCCGCCGCCTCACATGCCATGCCCTCCCCCACCGCCAATACCGCTGCCCATCTGATTAACGCTGGCGCCCTTGACACGATGGTCGCCCGGCTGCGGCGCCGCCTCGTACAAGATGGACTCGGGCGCACGGCCCAGGCGCGTCCACTCGCCCCGGAAGCCGACGTAGCAGACGCGCGACTCCTCCTCGGCGCCGCCGCCAAAGTTGTCGACAAAGAAGAGGCCCAGCCGCTGCACCTTGCCAAACAGCGCCCGCTTGACGGGCACCTCCTGCACCTCGGACGTCTGCGACAGCTCCAGCCGCTGCACGGGCTCGAGCTCCTCGGCGCCGGCAAAGTCGAGGTCGTCGCGGTTGACGTACAGGTGCAGCGTGCGCGGCGCCGAGGCGGATGCCGAGGTGCGCAGGAGGATGGAGTGTAGCTTGACCTGTGCTGTGAAGCTTTTCCCCCCTCTTCATGTTAGAGACTGCACACATAGACTCACAGACACACACACGCACGCACATACGGGTGGGTACATGCAGGGACAAGACATCGGAAGAGTGGCGGGTGGAGGGAGGCTCCCACTTACGGCACCGTCATGAGGAGCTGCTCGTCGGCGTCGCTGACCAGCTCGGGCTCGGCGTCCAGCCGCTCGGCCCACGTCTTCTTGACCACGGCCTTGCCCGCGTCTCTGCGCGACTCGTTGAGCGTCGTGATGTCGTCGAAGCTGATTTGCTCGTACAGCGACGACTGCAGCGCCGGCGTGATGTCGTCCGAGTGGTCGTGCTCGTGCTCGTGGCCGTGGCCGGCGTGCTCGTCGTGGCAGTGCGACATGATGCTGGCTGTTTGTCGCAGGTGGTTTACAAAGCGATTCTTTCTTGTCAAGGCTCAGCGCGGACCAAGAGTCACGTCTAGGTGATGGCGGTGGAGACTTGGAGACTGAAGCATGAAAGCTGCTCTGCCCCGCTTACATGTACGTCCAACGTCACTTACAAGTTGAAACCAACACCATCCGTCACCGAATCATTATATCGTCGCTGCTTCAGATACAGGCCTCAATGCTATCTGATTGATTCGGGCGCAAGTAGAGAGACGCCACTCGCTGAGCATGGAAATGTCCAGCACGCAACCAGGCACCCAGACGGTTGCCCTCGACTCTTCCCATTCATCTGAAGCCGCTCTTCCGCTTCCCCTTCTTCCCTTTCTTCCTGTCTCCAAACGCACCCGCCACGGGCTGACTCATCGTCACCCATGGCCCCTGCGTCTGCGACGACTCGGGCGCCGCCTGCTGGCTCGACATGATCTGCATCGGAGGCGGCCTCAGCGGGAGACTGGCTGCGTCCTGCCCCGGCCCGTCGCTCATAGGGAAGCCCTGCCGCATGAAAGCTGGTCGCTTATATCGCTCTGCCAGAGCCTTGCGCTTGGCTTCCCTCCTCTGCAGCCGGTCCTTGGCGTCTTGGAACTTTTCCTCGGTCGATATTGCGACGCTCGAAACGTAGTCACGAGTATCGACCCCACGCTCCGTTGGCCAGTATGAAAAAAACTTGGGGCATTTGGCGTTCCCGAGCTTCGCCGGCTCAAGAGACGTGGTAAGGAGCTTCAGTCGCTGCATGGCGGAATCCGCAGACGTCGATGGGAGAGAGGCACTTGAAGAGGGCTCAAGCTGAGACGACGGGGTGATGCGCGGGCTGCGACTCGACAACTGGCTGGGATATGCCGTCGACTTGTCTTCGTCTCCAGCCTTAGGGCTACCAGCCCCCAGCAAAGGCACGTCCTGAACCATCGCTCCATAGCTGGACAGGAAAACATCTCTGACAACCTCGGACACCCAAATATTCCAGACCTGCTCAAGCTCCTCGCTCAAGTTGCCCGCTGTAGACTCTAGCCAGAGCTCAGACAGCTGACGCTTTAGAGACGATAGGACAAGTAGTGGATTCGACGGCTCCCATGGTTCATGCCCTCGTAGTTGTGTCACGATGGTTCGGTCGTCGCTCATACTAAGCAAGCTATCTGCACCCCCCATGGCGTCGTCGTCCGCCTGGTATGCCGTTGGCTGTTCGAGGTCGTCGGCTATTTCCGCCCTACTCGTGACTTAGCACTCGTTTAGCCATCATCGAGGGACAGAATACTTACCATGTCGTTAGAGGCAGGCTGCCATTGAGTAGCCCATCCTCCAGCACGGCATAGACAGCATCGAAAACCGTGGCCGGCACCAGGGGTTCCCTTTGTGCTGCGGCTAGAACGAGTCCTTCGCGGATAGCTTGGGAGATCCGAACAAGCTTCAAAAGAACAGGTCGTGGCTCCCAGGACGAGTCATCTCCAGAATCCTGTGCCCCCACCTCGTCCGTCTCCACGAGAGCAGACTCCATGTCGGCTTCGCCCATGCTGTCCGGGAGAACAAATGCGTCCTCCAGGCGACGCAGAAATCGTTTGCGCTTCTTTTTCCAGCGCCGCCGCTGCTCGCTTCTCGACCACCCGATTCGCGTCGTAGGCAGGGAAACATCAAACGTTGGGTCGGTAGATGTTGTACAGACGCAATAGCGCACGCAGAGATCTTCTCCTAGAATGCTGACTTGATAAAAGTTGGGGCCGCGCTGCAGGTGGCTAGAGTCTGGCTCATCAGGGGAGCGATACGGGTCTCGTTCGAGCCTGGCTGGATGAATTCGAAGCTGCTGAATGCCGCTGCGAGAAGCCATCTCCCTGCCCCCCGGCAAGTGCGTCACATGGCGATGCCACTGAGGCATGCCGGTGACCCTGGATAAGCCAAACCAGTAGACACATAGCTGTTCTGCCTTTGAAGAGTAGGTGAAAACGAGCGAGGTGTTGGCGTCATCAGCAGAGGCTCGGGTAACCGACATTCTTATTTCTTGGTGATTGATGCCAACGTGCGAACAAGCATGCACAATTGCTGGCTTTAGAACACCCTCTGACGATGTGTCTCGACAATGCAGATCCAGCCATATCAATCTTCGAGCGGTAAGCACAAACACATGGTCCTCGTTCAGGAGGCTGCATTGAATGTCGAGAATCTCATCCGTTGTCGTCCTTGTGTGCGAAAAGAGCTCTGGCATGGGTAGCGCGCTGTTTGATTCGACGTCCAGCACCTCACATAGCTCAGGGTTCCACATGAGCATGAAACGTGATGGCCTTGTTGTCCCAGCCTGCCAAGCAGCAGCTTGGCCACCCCCCTCTGGCTCTGACTTGCCGACATGAAGCAGTCCATACCTCACAGCCGGGTAAGCGGGGTATGCTGGGATTGTTTTAAGGAAGCCCTCACAAATGTGGCCACATTTGTACTGGGATAGACGCAGCGTTTTCTTGTCGATTTTCCAGGTCCCCGACACGTTCCAGATTGTCCAGTAGCCACATTCGTCCAGGACGGCCAGTTGCGGCGGGCGTTTGAGCGCTGGTGGATTGAAGCTCACATCGGAATGCGCGTTACCACCCGTCTGGTGGTGATGCAGGGTCAGCAGCGGGTTTGGGTTGATGTATGACGCCCGCTGATGAGTCGGATCGCCCGCCGCGTCATCGTCCGGTACATGATACGGATGGTATTCGGGCTGAAGAATAGCCGTCCAAGTTGGTTTCTGCACCAAGAGCCATCGGACAGAGTTGCTCGGGGAAGAGTACGTCGCAGCTTTGACTTGCGAGATGGGCACCGCGTCCGTGGCCCACAGGGCCTCCTCCTCCTTGTAATCAGAGTCGATGACGGACAGATGCAGGACGGCTTCTGTCTCCGCTCCCCACTGCCACTGCGTCTCATCCATGCGTGTGAGCCGCAGCTGCTCGCCAGACTCTCCAGCCGCGACAGCGAGCAGCGACATTGCTTTGGGGGCTCGTGCATCTCTCAGGTCAGACATGAGACCGACTGCGAGCAACGGCCGGCGCCTAATCGTCTCCTCTGCTCTTCTGAAGCGCTCCATGTCTTCCTTGAGGTAGCCCTGGAAGGACTGGTTGCCCATGAAGGCCTCGGGGTGGGTGTTGAGCAGCCATCGCCGCTGAAGTTGGCGCTCTCTCCAGAGCTGGGATGAAACACAGGGATTCGCGGTTCTGGATGGCGGATAGAGCTCAGCGGACGAGCCGACAATGTCAAAGCGTAGGGCTGCAAGAAGCGTAAGCTCAAGACCCGGGTCGTTGGAGACAGGTCATCCAACTTACTGCCGGTTGTGAGTCTGGTCGTATGCAGCAAGCCAGGACCAAGCTCGGGATTCTCGGCGGGAATGTAGCTCAGAAGGCCAGGATGACCAAGTTCGAGGTCGGCAAGCCGGCGGTTCTTAATCATTTGGCTTGAGTGAAGAGGTCCCACGCGTCAGAATCGCAACGACGGTTTTTCTTTTCATTTCGGACTCGTTTGTTCGTGGCGAGATTGGCAAAGCAACGGACGTGTAGCCAGAGTGTTATATGGGAGTGGCCAATGGCAAACATTCGATGGAAACGCGACAATAACCATGTTTGTGGCGCTTTTCGGAAGCAGACTCTCACCGTCAAGCCTGGAGCAAAGCTTCATGATCACAGGCACGTGACTGGCGCGCGATGAGTCTGCGCCACACCCCTGCCTGTCGACCCAGCAACCAGCCACGCCTGAGGTAAACATGGTCAGCTCTAGGTTCTTGGCATTCGTCCAAGTGACAACTCCATCTCTTCGAAAACCTTTTTGCACGAGCGCAACCAAGCCACGCACCGGCAATGGCGACCGCTTTCGAACCATCGCTCTCGACGAGCCTCAGCCGCCAGTCCTTGGCGCCCGTTGGCCCGTCGGCCGCCGACTCGCTGCCCAGCATCAACTTTGGCTTCGACGACTTGCGCGATCGCATGACAAAGTTTAGCGCGAGGTTCGATGCTTTCATCGAGCAAGGCCGCAAGCGCGTCTTGGAGGAGCGCAACCAGTTCCGCATGAACGTGGCCGAGCTTCAAGGTACGGACGGACAACCAAGAGACGATGGCGCACAGGCGAGATTCACTGACACACCACAACGCAGAGGACCAGCGCATGAAGAAAAAGGACATTGAGATTGTCCAGGTCAAGGCGGCGACGCATCAGCAGACGATGGAAAAGGAAGCGGCCGAGACGCGCGAGATGGAGGCCGCCATCGCCTCGCTCGCCTCGCAGCGCGACAACCACTCGACCAAGCGCGACAGCCTCAAGCAGCAAATCGCGCAGACGCAGGCCGAGATTGAGTCGCGGCTGGCGGCGCAGCGGGCCTTTGCGGCGCAGCAGGAAGCGCAGTCGCGGTACAACGTGCCGGAGCTTGACTTTTGGATCACCAATCTGTGCCTCAAGATTGAGGGCGCCGGGCAGGACGACCGGCTCAAGTTCGTCTACACGCACGTCGACGAGCGCAACTGGGAACGCGAGGCGTGGTTTGAGCTGGTGACGAGCTCGAGGGACTACGATGTCAAGCATTGCCGGCCGAAGCTGGACCGGGACAAGGTGGAGAGGGTGCTGGAGAAGGTAAACGAGTCGAGGGAGCTGCTGGTTCTGCTCAAGGGGATGCGGGAGCTGTTTGTGGAAGCAATGAAGGCTTGAATCTAGGAGTCTAGGCTGGAATCGTGATTCTCTCTGCCATTGCCAGATGGGTCCGGCTCGACTTTTGGTATTCCTGTCTTGACGATATTCCCCCTCTGCACCAGAATGAAATGCTCTATACCAATGTATGAATGAATTATCCTCGAATAATACCACTTTTCGTGAGAAAGAAATAGCTGCACATGCCGTGGTGATGGTTTGTGTGCCCGTGGTGGATGCAGGGACTCGCCCCTCTGCGACGGACAAGCAATTAAACGTCGATTCCACACCAGCGCGCCCAACGCGTCCACTCTCAACCACCACCACGACGCAAACTCTCCCCGCAAAGCCTCCTCCCGTCAGCGCCATCATGCCCGACACAGAGAAGCACGCAGCCGCGCAGCAAGCCGTCGACATTCTCCACGAAATTTCCATCCTCCTGGTCTGTTCGTCCGCCCGCCGCCCGCCCGCACCCTCTCCTCGCTGACCCGAGACCTACCAAACTCTAGAACAGCCACCTGGACCGCCGCACCTTGTCCATCTGCATATCCATGATTGAGCGTGGCGTCAATCCCGAGGCCCTCGCTGTGAGTCGCCCCCGGTGCCCCCTCGTCCTGCCACGGCTGATGACGTTTGCGCCGCCTCTAGCAAGTAATCAAGGAGCTGCGGCACGAGGCACAAGTCGTTGAGCAGAGTGCTTCGGGCAGACGGCCATGATGAATGCGACCCAACGGCCGATAGAAAAATCCGTCATGTTGAATTGTTAAGCGTCGCTTGCTGGAGTTGGTGCAACGGAACTGGCGTTACGGAAATGGGAGTCTACGGTGCAAGGCAGATGAATAAACTTTGCTGCGAAATCGACACCTCCAGATGCGCTTCAAAATCATATGACTACATTAATCCAAACAAAATGCATTCTCAACCGCCGGCTCCCAGACCATGTCCGTTGATATGCTCATCACCTGTATCCCATCAACGCCGCTTCCTTGACCTGTTTCCCCCGAAAAATCCAGCTAGACCATGCAAACGCCGCCATGATGCCCTTCCCGCGTACAATACTTCATCAAACATCCTGCCCTTGCTCGCCACAGCCCGTTACCTGTGTCCAATGAGAATGATCTCGTCGTCGTCGTCGTCCTCATCGTCATCGACGTCTGGCGCACTGGCGCTGCCATCCTGGTCCGAGTCCGACTCGCACTGGTCATCTGAATCCTCATCGCCGTCTTCTTCGTTGCCTCGCCAAAACCCGAGAATGTCGTCTTCCGAGTCCATATACACGGCCATGTGCGGTAGGTGCGAATCCATGCCAAGGGCAAGCGGAGACAATGACCGTGCGATCCTGTCCGGGGCGCGGTACTGAAGCTCTACCCCATGTGACGAGTGGCGCCGTCTGTTGAAGAGTAGGGCACTACCGGCAGCACGTGAGCTCGTCGAGAACGCTGTCGGCCGAGACGGGTCTTGACTGGACTGCGGAGTCGCTTCGACCGAAGGCTCCGGCCTCTCGGCGGCGGCTCGGACTTGCTCGCCCTCCTCGCTGTGTATTTGAAGCTCAACCGTGTTGTATGACCGGCATATGGAGCACTTCAGACCCAGCCAGTGATAGGGGACGGTACATTTCCCCGAACAGTCATTGCAGAGAACGGTGGCCTTGGTGTCTCGAAATTCCGGAGGCATAGGCTGGCTCTGGATGGCCACGTCCATGTTGCGAAACTGCGTCTCCATGTTGGCGAGACTCTTGTTGCAAATCGGGCACTTGTACGAGACCTTCATGTGCTGGTCATAACATTTCTTATGGATGCTGTGGCCGCAGTTCATGAAGACAACAGGCTTGGGCGAGGTAAACATGTACTCGCCGCAGATCGGACAGTTGCAGTCCGTCGACCGTTCGATGCATTTATGCGAGCTCTGGATAGAGGTCGTGATGCACGCACGGCAGGTCTAGGTGGTTATTAGCAAAGCCACTCAGGAGGCCCTCACGACCGGCAGCCTACCTTGCAGTGGAAAAAGTCTTTGCCGAGACCCAGCCCGCGCCGACAGATTCCGCAGTCGCTGCAATGATATATGGGCTTGCTTTGCCGGTTCTCCCATAGCTTGCAGATGTTGCAGTAGTATTGCGCCGCCACTTCTCCGCAACTGATGCAGACATCGGATGCCTTCTGGGGCGTCCCGCACAGCATGCAGAGCATATGCCTCGTGTCCTTGCGAACCAAGCCGTGGTCCTCTTGGGCGTCGTGACAAAAGCGACAGGTATACCACTTGTAACATGTGGAACACTCCAGTTTGACGTTGCGTTCGTAGTGTTGACATCCAAGCGGGGGACTCAGGCCTGGCGGCGTGGTCGGCGACTTAGTCGGAGTTGCGCTGCCGGGGCTTTTGGACTGACGGATGGGCGCATAGGTCGGTGCAATATCGTTCTCGGACAGGACAAATTTTTCGGCAGACGGCGAATCGCCAAACTGACTGTGCCAAAACTTGAGAGAATCCAGGGGTCGCGCCGAGTTTGTATGTTCCCAGGTCGGGCCGGCCGGCTCGGCATTAAGGGGGCTCGCTCCGTCGCGTGAAGCGGTTTGGGAAGCACGGTATCCCTCGAGCAGTGCCTCATGAATGAGCCTGGCTTTCTCCGAGGACGGTATCTCTAGGTCGTTGATGGCATGAATGCGCCTCCGCAGCTCGCGCATACCGTCGTCTTCGGGAATGCCTCGACCTTTTCTGGGGGTTGGAGGGAAGCCGAGATGGTCTCGAGAAATTTCGTCAAGGATGGCGGGGCTCGTCGTGGCCTCTTCGAATTCTTCGACGCTTGTCTCTTGCGTCGAGGTGCTGAGAGGCCGGGGTCCGGGCGTTTGCGAAGGCGCACCCGCCTGTTCCGGAGCCGCATCTTCGGCGTGGCCAGGATCGCTCACGGCATCTGGCGCAGGTGTTGGGTTTGCTTGGTCGTCATCGCCGGCAAAAGTCGAGCGGGATATCTCCGAGAATCGGCGAGCCTGTCGCAAAACGGGGTTGATGAGGAACTCGGATACGAGGGAGGACATTGGGTCGCCACGGACGGCGGGCAGGCACGGGAGCCGCCCCGATGACACCGTCGGGCGGGCGAGGACCGTAGGTTGGCGGTGGGACGAGCGGCGGCCTGTCAAGAAGCGAGAGAAGCGAGCTGAGAGGCGGGCTCAGCAGCGAGGAACGATGCGGCGCAGAGAGAGGAAGATAGGTAGGTTGCTGGGTGTCGTCGTGATCCGAGGGAATGACGGGGATGACATAAGACCAAGAACGGACTGGTCCTGACTAAGAAGGATGTCGACGACGGACATGTGATTGAGCAAGGACTTAGGAGACTGGGGCGCAGTTTTCAAACCGTGGCTGGTGCGGCTCTTTCCCCCGCCATGTCCAACAATGGATGCGCCACACAGAGCTTCTTCACACCTCCACAAGCGTCGCGCCAAGGCATAGGTGGCATTTTATTGTCGTCTTCGGCTCGAGCTTTAGGGGTAGGCTTTTGTATTCCTAGCCGCCCACCGCACCCTTTCACCGGCCTTTCTTGTCCCCTGAGCAGCGTTCACGCGCCCTCGGGTTTCTTGACCTCTTAATTCCTCCCCTTTTTCCCCATTGCCAGCGTCAATGCTCGAGCGTCTTTGAATTTTTACCGCTCGTCCGGCCGTTAATCCACACCAGCTCCCTCGGACGAAGCGATTGGGCGGAGCAGGCCGACGCCTTTCTTTTCCCACTCGCAGCACGTCAACATCACCCCTCATTCTCGGAGAGTCTCCCGCATCTCGTCGTCCTCCAATCCGCCTCGATGGCCGCCGAAAAGGCCACTGTTGCCTCCGGAGCTGACCTCGGCAGCGGGCTCCGGAAGCGTGTCGCCGAATCGCCAGCTGCCATCTCGCACCAGGCAAACCGCGTCGATGACAAGAAGAAGCTTGCTAAGAAGGTAAGGAGATTGAAGCTGGAGCGGGAACTCTCGTCTGACATTGCGCCAGGAACCAAGCCTTGTCAACACGCTCGAGCAGTGGGAGCCAATCTTTGCCCCTCTCCTTTTCACGGCCCTCGCCTTCGTCACGCGCCTCTGGAAGATTGGCATCAGTGACATTGTTACATGGGACGAGGCTCAGTAAGCTGCTGACCGCACCTCCGTTTGTCTCTCCGCATTCACTGACCCTGCGCCCTGCAGCTTTGGCAAGTTCGGCAGCTACTACATCAAACATGAATACTACTTCGATGTCCACCCGCCCCTGGGCAAGATGCTTGTCGGGCTTTCTGGCGTCCTCGCCGGCTACAACGGTTCCTTCGAGTTCAAGTCTGGCGAGAAATACCCCGAGGATGTCAACTTTGCCTTTATGCGCGCCTTCAACGCCTTCTTCGGCATTGTCTGCATCCCCATGGCCTACTACACCGCTCGAGAGCTCCATCTGCGCCGACCTGCCGTCTGGCTCGTCACGCTCATGGTGCTCTGTGAGAACTCGTACACCACCATCAGCCGATTCATCCTCCTCGACTCCATGCTGCTTTGCGGCACCGTCGCCACCGTCTTTTGCTGGGCCAAGTTCCACAACCAACGACACTCTAGCTTTGAGCCCGAGTGGTTCTTCTGGCTTTTCATGACTGGCCTGAGCATTGGATGCGTCTGCAGCGTCAAGCTCGTCGGCCTCTTTGTCACTGCGCTGGTTGGACTGTATACGGTTGAGGATCTCTGGCGCAAATTTGGCGATACAAAGATGCCTATAGTGAGTGACCCGCGCACCCCCATTTCGCTCGCCGCAAACCGTGTCTTGGCTCTAATCCGCTCCTGCAGACTACCCTTGGCGCTCACGTCGTCACCCGTGTCGTCGGTCTGATTGTTGTCCCCTTTCTCATTTATTTGTTGTCCTTCGCCCTGCACTTTGCCATTCTCGACAAGACTGGCCCAGGAGATGCTCAGATGAGCTCGCTGTTCCAGGCCAACCTCAAGGGCACCGAGGTCGGAAAGGACAGCCCCCTTGAGGTTGCCCTTGGGTCGCGGGCAACGATCAAGAACATGGGCTACGGCGGCGGCTTGCTCCATTCACACGTCCAGACGTACCCCGAGGGCTCCCAGCAGCAGCAGGTTACGTGCTACCACCACAAGGATGCCAACAATGACTGGTTCATCTATCCGAACCGTGCTGAACTCGACTATGATCACGAGTCTCAGGACATTCGATTCATCGGCGACAACTCGGTTATCCGTCTAATCCATGCCCAGACGGGGCGCAACCTGCACTCTCACGACATCGCGGCCCCGATCACCAAGTCGGACAAGGAGGTTTCGAGCTACGGCAACCTGACTATCGGTGACAACAAGGACCATTGGAAGATTGAGGTTGTCCGTGACCCTGCATCTCGGGACCGAAGCAGGATTCGGACTCTCACAACCGCGTTCCGTCTTAAGCATGAAGCCCTGGGCTGCTACCTCCGAGCCGGCAACAAGAACCTGCCTCAGTGGGGCTTTAGACAAATCGAGGTTACCTGCACCAAGGACAACAACCCTCGGGACACCTACACGCACTGGAATGTCGAAGCCCACTGGAACGAAAAGCGTAAGCATGCAGACATCCCGTGCGCAAGATGCTTGCCGCCGTCGCTAACTTGCCCTTAGTGCCCCCTGGCGACCCTGGTGTCTATAAGTCGCCCTTCTTCCATGACTTTGTCCATCTCAACGTGGCCATGATGACGTCCAACAACGCTCTGGTGCCGGACCCCGACAAGCAGGATGACCTAGCTTCCCAGTGGTGGCAGTGGCCTATCCTGCACGTCGGTCTTCGCATGTGCGGCTGGGACGACAGCATCGTCAAGTACTTCCTCTTGGGTAACCCCTTCGTTTACTGGGGCACGACGGCCGGCCTGGTGGTCGCCGGCCTGGTTGTGACGTGGTACCTGCTGCGATGGCAGCGTGGGATGAAGGACCTGAACCAGCAGGAGATTGACCAGGTTCACTACTCTGGCATCTATCCGGCCGCCGGGTGGTTCTTGCATTACCTGCCGTTCGTCGTCATGGCCCGAGTCACATACGTGCATCATTACTATCCGGCGCTCTACTTTGCCATCCTCACATTCGGCTTCCTGGTCGACTGGCTTGTGAGAAACCGCAACCAGGTGGTGCAGAGCGCCGTGTACGGCAGCCTTTACGCCGTCACCATCGGCCTTTACATCCTCTTTATCCCGATCTGCTGGGGAATGACCGGGTCCAACAAGCAGTACAGCTACCTGAAGTGGTTCGAGAACTGGCGAATTTCTGATTGAGGAGCTTCGGGCATGTTTGGAGTCATCTACGCTCTCTGCATCAAGAGATGTTGGAGGAAGGTGAACGTTCTCGGGACCAAGAGCCACAAGGATCTAGGTGCGGGACGTGATGAGATTTTCACCAGCCTGGGACTGGGAATGCGTCAAACGGCCAGGAGGAAAACCACAAAAGGAGCACGTCTAGGTACGGGAGAGGAGACTCGGTCTGTCTCATGCAATGCTGTATTTCCTCCGTAATTTGAAAGGCGTGGCGACGGTGCCAGCCACAAGTGTACATTATGCAATATCGCTACATGACTGTAGCAGGCCTTGTTTCTTGAGTCGACCCGACGAGCATCCGCGGGCAGAATGCTTTGGGGGGGTATCATGCGCCGTATGTACGCAGCCGTGCTCTCCAATGTCAGCAGCACCCGCCTCCAGCGGCCTTGCTGGCGTCGCCCGTCAATCTCACTTGCCGGCCTCCCCCGGCACTCGGCCCCTTGACACCGGATCGCCGATCGTTGAGGTCATACTTGCCAGCCTGAATGTTCTGGAATATCCTCTCGGCAACCCTCATAAAGGCCCTTTCCACGTTCTCGCCGCTCTTGGCACTCGTCTCGACGTACTCCATGACGCCGTTGCGCTTGGCCCAGGACTCGGCGTCTTCCCTCGTGACCTCTCTCTTGTTCTCCTCCTGCTGCGTCAGATCGGCCTTGTTGCCGACCAGTATAACGACGATGTCGGGCTCGGCGATGGCTCGCAGGTCATTGAGCCAGTCGGTGACGTGTTGAAAGGTCTGCTTGCGCGACAGGTCGAAGACGAGCAGGGCACCACTGGCGCCGCGAAAGTAGGACCTGGTGACGGACTTGTACGTCTCCTGGCCGGCCGTGTCCCAGAGGCTGAGCTTCATGTGCTTCTGGGGTGTGTTGCTGGTGTCGCGGGGCGGATCGGGCAGGCCGTCGGGGGCGGAGAAGGGTGAGGGGGACTTGGTGTGAGGCGGGCCGACGGGGACGATGCGGGAGCCGAACTCAACGCCAATGGTGACGTCGTGATGGGGAGAGAAGCGGCCCTCGCAGAGGCGGATGGTGAGGCTCGACTTGCCGCATCCCGAGTCGCCGATGCAGACCAACTTGGCGATGAAGTCCCACGGCGACGATGCCATGAGCAGGACGGGGCAGCTGCTGCGGGGGAGGAGGAGCAGAAGGAGGACGACGAGGAGGACGACGGCGGGGTTCGAGCTGAGCGGATAGTTGGGTTGTAGTGTCGTATGGTTATTGTCGATCGCAGATCAGATATCGACGGGGATGAAGTCGAAGAGGTCCGATGACGGGGAGTGGCCAGCTAGCCAGCCAGCCAGTGGCTGGGAGACTTATGCCAAAGGAAGAAGCGAATGGATGTAGCAAATGTAGCCAAAAGAAGAAACGTATGCGATTTTCGAATCGAGATGCCTGCACCGGGGAAGAGCTTCGGAGAAACGGGCACTTGTTCAAGACGGAGAGCTGCTGGTGGCGGTTGAGAAGCCTTGGTTCGCCATGGGAGCAGTTTCGTGGGCCTGACGTGGGCCAAGTACCTTGCAGCCGCTTCCGCTATTGGGAGGTACCTGGTATAGACGGTGGGTGTCTTGATCAGAGGTGGCTAAGGGAAAGGACGCTGTCACGTTAGGTAAGCTTAGTCAGTCCGCCTTGACGCTGGAGCGAAATCGGTCGAGGCCGATCTCTTTAGGCTCTGACTAATTAACGAGCATACACCTGGCTAATCGACATATTCCTTGGCAACCTTGCCTATTGAAGGCATTCATGCGGCCGTGGCGGGCCCCCTGCTAGCTCGATATGTTGTTATAAACAGAGGTGGACTTGTAAATACGAGAGGAGCAGCTTTAAAGTTATTTATCTACGCTGAGGATTTATCCTAATCGGGGTATAGTGGTGCACTATTGGCACGTGCATCTTATTAACCGGACGGAAGATCTGCCTTGATTTTTTCAAGGCGTTATAGATCAGGTCATTAACTTAAAGATAAGTTATAGACTAAACCGCGTCGTATTTATAAAAATTAGGTTCTAAATGGCTTATATACTTATTTCTCTGCTTCCATCTATACTCTTGCTTGTTTTCTATAATGCTAGACCCTCTTCCTTGTCTCTAGACATGAGCTCTACTAGCTAAGGAGTGCCGTAGAAACTCTTTAAATTGGAGCCGTCTTGCAGCGAGGATAAGTAGGCTTTGGCGCAGCCCCCACGCCGATGTCGATCGCCAAGACTGGTCTAATTTGGTGTTGGTTTTAGTTAATTTATAGAAAGCAGGCATATAAAACTCACCGCCCTCTCTGCCTACACGTAGAAACTCATAAATCCAAACAGGCTTGGCAGGTTGGCAATATGGGGATATAGAGGTCCTACCGGTAATACGAGTTGGTATAGAAAAGGTACCGATCTGCATCCGCCCTAGCCATCCTCGCCCGCTGAGTCAATAGACAATGGCCGAGGCAAATATAGACAGATACTTTCTCTATATAAATAATATGGCATCTGCTCTCGTATAGCCCCTACTGTCTTAGACAGCCAAGCCAGTTTGAATTCGTAAGTTTATCTAATATCGAGCTAGTAGAGGGGCTATAGAGGTTGCTTTAATCCTTATATCTTATCTTTTTCGCCTGGAAAAGTAAGATGGCGTAGATTAGGCCTTAAAATAGGCTGATCGCATAAGTACGTATCTCAAGAAAGTTAGTTTATAGAATCCTTGGTAATACGGGCATTGATACCTTAATACCGGTGGTTATTGCAGCTGGCGGCTTCTAGTTGGCTTTGCGCTCCTTAAAAAGTACCAAAGCCACGGTACCTTTTCCTGAGTCTTGAATTACTATAAAGTTTCAGCAAGTACAAGAAATGCAAAGCAGCTGCTCCCGAGTTAGCACCCCAAAGCGCACCGTCACAGCCACTTTCCATTGGGCATCCTTTTTTATCTTTCTTAGAGTTTCCCTCAAAAAGTAGTATCAATGATACTTTGCAGGGCCCTGATTGCCGCTGTTGGCGCGGCTCATCTGGTGGCTGCACTGAATGTTCCTTTAGAGCAAGCAGCGCACCCACTTCCTACGCTTCTCGATGCCACGCTCGACGAACTGCGGCAGGGGCTTGATAGCGGCATCTTTACCAGCTCTGATCTTGTTAAGGCATACCTTGCTCGTATCGACGAAACAAACTTGGAGTTGCATGCCGTTACGGAGGTCAACCCAGATGCCCTTGCTATCGCTGAGGCGTTGGACAAGGCAAGAGGGGGGCGACTTATGACAGATCAACCTTTGTATGGAATCCCCATTCTGCTAAAAGATAACATCGCTACCAACGACAAAATGAACAATACTGCTGGATGCGAGGCTTTGCTTGGGGCCAAGGTCCCAGAAGATAGTACAGTTGCTGCTCGACTGCGAGCGGCTGGAGCAATTATCCTTGGCAAGGCAAATATGGATCAATGGGCTGGCTTTGAACAATCCGGACCGGACTACGGTGGTAAGGTGGTGGGCGCATATTCACCTCGACAGTACCCTATGGGATCGTCTTCCGGGAGCGCCGTAGCGGCATCTATTGGCCTTGCTTGGGCAACCGTTGGGACCGACACGACAGGCTCAATTACTGGTCCTGCTGGAGCAAATAATATTGTCGGCCTCAGACCAACATTAGGACTGGTTCCTCGACATCTGGTTATCCCATACTCCGAACATTTCGATACAGTTGGCCCAATGGCCAGGACGGTCAAAGATGCTGCGTATCTTCTCTCGGCAATAGCAGGTCCCGATGAACGCGATAACTATACATCCGCATTTCCATTCAGTCAGGTGCCTAATTACGTCGGCGCGTGCAACACTTCCGGTCTCAAGGGAAAGCGTATCGGTCACGCTCGTTATCTCCACACGAATGTGTCGTGTGCGGTTGACGAGAGTGCACTAAAGGTTCTTCGAAATGCAGGTGCCGAAATAGTTGATATAGCCTTCGACGGTCGAGACGATGGTCGAACCATGGATAGACTTCAAAATGTGTTGTCGGATCACTACTTGAATATAGCCCAGATCGACTTCAAGGCGAATCTTGCGGAATATTTTTCGAAATTGATCACAAATCCAAACAACATCACCTCTACCGTTGATCTCGTACGATATACTCAGGACAAATATCCAAATTATTGGAACGACCCAGCGAATAGTGGGCACTTACCATACCTCGAGACGCCGCCGTTGAACAACTCTGAGGCATCTCGCTTAGTCTGGGGAAACTTTTCACGAATGAAGTCTGCTGCTAGTCAATATGGGTTTTCGGCCGCATTCAACAAGGGCGAAGTCGATGCATTCGTCATACCATTCTGCGACACATACAATCGTCAAATTTATGCCAACGGTCAACCGTTCATCACAGTACCTTTTGAAAGGCTCAAAGACGATCGTTATGCGACAGACAAAAATGGTCTGATGGTGTACGGCACTAACTATCCTATGGGAATCACTTTCTTGGGGCCTCAGTGGAGCGAAGAACAACTATTGGGCATCGCGTATGCGTTCGAGCAAGAAACTATGTTCAGAAAAAACATGACGCCTTATATCAAGCCTACGTCCGAATTAGAAGCGAGGGTAAGGCGACGAGCTTTGCGCTCTTAGGTAATTCCGATCGTTGAAGCAGTAAGCGCAGGGGATGGCAGCACTCTCACGTGTATGCTAAGTGGGCAGAGTTTATTTCTTTAACTGCCTTTCATCATATACCCTTGAGACGGAAATTCGTATTGTAATATTACGTATAAGGGATTTTCCGGTGATCTGCCGGATCTGGCGATTCGCCGGATTTTGGGCTCATTGCATTCCAGCAAAGAACTGAGAATAACTTCACGAATACTATTTGAATTGTTCTAAAATTTTATAAGAGCAGTTAATAATGCTCAAAGATGTCACTCAATTTTTTTTGAAGTCATCCAGCCATCGAGGTCGTCTTCTGTTACTCTCCGATCGCGCAAGTCCCCGAAATGCACCCATTGCCTCCCGATCACTATCAACAGCTAAAGAGGGCCTTTGAGGACAGGATATGTCGTTTGAAGTTATCATTGCCTTGTTATTTGCGTTATTATATAGTCTGTTTGGTACCTGCAATGCTATGGCCCGCTCTGGTGTGAACGGAAGAGTGACAATTTTTGCAGCGTGAACATCCTGACTCTCTCGCGACCCTCAGAAGCCACCCGTCGGTCATTCTGCATTTTCTGTGGCTTTTCCACTTTCAAAATCTTCAGCTCTTGTTAATAATGCCAATTTATCTCCTTATTTTGCTTCACGGCCTCCGTCATCCGTCGTTTTCTCCCAATTTCCGCCTCTCATTGCTTCCTCTTCTCTAGAGCGAGAGCTTTTGCTCCGCTGCCTTCTGCTGTCGCTGAAGCTTTCGGGCCTCCTTCTTCAGAGCCTCCTCTTTCTTTTGGAGTCCTTTCACTGTCATTTTTTGGCGAGCTTGAGCCACATTTTTAAAGCTAAACACCTCGTCTGCACTAGAATCTGTACAGCAGAAGAGATCATCTTTTGAAGCCTTACCGGTCTGCCTGCGCTGGTTCTTGTGACTACTTGTTCTCTGCATACTTTAACTCTCATATCAAGCACTTAAAACTCATATTGAGGGCTCCCGAGGGTGCTGCTCAGCCTTCGGCTGTTGCGGCCAGCATCAACAGAGGACTTCTCGACTACTTCCTGGAAAGCGTTCCAAAACACAGTCTAGATCTTCGATTTCAGCAATCCAATGAAACTTTTTGATTTGTCTGTGTACTGGATAAGATCATGCGTATACGCTGTTGAGAGAGGCTGAATAACGATACATCAAGGGTTGCAGCCGATGAATGGATTGAGGGGGAAACACCACAACGATCAGTCGGTGCCGGTCACACCACTCCATAAATTCGATACTAAAATGGTTAAGTGGCCATCGGGAACCAAAAGGCGATAAGCACAACCGTTTCGAGCTTTCGCCCTGGTAAACCGGTCGAACGTACCGGTGAGCTGCTCATTTCCAATATTGTGATTCGTCCACCTCGTTTTTGACGTGTTAAAAATATTTATTGACGACTTGATTCACGTTTCACGAACCAAAAGTCCAGAGTTTGTGCTGGCTTGTCTTGGTGGATGAGAAATGGGGGCAGCGATGCCATCTCTGACTGACGCACATCTTGAACGTAATGGAGGATGGGTTGCCATTTTTAATACGCCGAGCAATTTTGCCTTGTTTTTATAATAAGAGGAATACCCTGTTCGTTCAAATGCTCATAAGGAATAGAAAGCCCATTTCATCCATGTTATACGTGTTTTAGGGTAGGGTGTCGAATTTCTCAATTTTCGTGCACGTCTTTCCTTGTCAGGTGTGAAAGCGGAGCCTCGCGCACTGAATTTCAAGCTAAAAATAAACCTTACATTCAGATGCATAGATAGGTTCTTTTCAGAAGATGCTTGTACCGTCGAATCACGTTCAATCTGGCTCATTACGGGTGCGTAGAATGAAGTTATCCAGCTCGCCCTTCCAACCCCCATTTTTGGCAGTATCCTGAGCCAAGTTCTGCACTATGGATAGAATGGGGATAATCCCACATGATTAAAGCCTACGATGAAAGCCAATAATGTTCTGTTTTTGCTGTGTTGGCTGAAATGACTTACACAATCTGTCGGCATCCTATTTTGGCCGTTGCTTGGTTTGATGTCAGCACCGCAGCGCATCGCCGCCTAGATAAAAGTTCTAAATATATGCCAGACTTTCACTGCTTCTCATGATTCAGGAAATCAAAGGATACGTCAATTGGCACCGTTGTTGTTGAGCTATTGTCGATTGATGTTGAGCGTGCGAAGTCGCCGCAATCCGGCAGATCACCAGATCCGGCAGATCATCGGAAAATCCCTTATGCGAATAGCTTCACTTTGCAAGGTACGTATAGGAGAGGGGCGCGTAGTCAAGGCGGGGAATGTGCGCACCTAATTATGCGATATCGGCGCTGCGCCTTAACCAGCCATATCAGCCCACTTTTCGTCTACCCGATAAGTAAACGCGCCTACCAATTAAAAGGGCCTTAGCTTTTGAACGGGCCGGAATCGGTTCAAGTGAAAGTGATGGGTTTTGCTGGCTTTCAAACACAGGTTCGAGAGCACAGTGGAAGGCAAGGACGGCTGCACATAGGTGAAAGTAGCAATATAGGTTCTCTTCTGGCTATAAATCACAAGAACAAGGATGTAAAAGAAGAAAGAAGTGGCCCGATACGAGCCAAGGGCTGCCGACCCAGTGAACATGTTCTATAACTTACCGTTCCATCAGGCAGGGCGGGGGCATGTGTACTACCAAGAAATGGGATATTTCCACACTCCTTCGAAGTCCTTTACTATCGAAGAGGGACCGGAGCTCTGTCTGGTACCTTTCTTCGTCGTTAACTTTGGCTTGCACAACCAACCCAACCTCCTCCAGCCAAAACGTCGATAGCTGCTTCAGGTCGACCACCAATCCTCTATCAGCGGCGAACTTTGGAATAATGCGGTCCTCAAATACGAAAAGCTAAGCATTTATAGAAATCAGGCATGCCCAAAACCACACTCCTTTAGACTCCCAGCCCTATCTCATGGTGCTTATGATCCAAATATCATGTTCTATGGGTATGCTTCTACCCTCCTGGTCTATGATTGCTAGAAAGCCCTATCGCACCTCGTCGAAGACACTAAGCTCCTCGTCTACAATAGTATCGATGCTGCAGTTCGTAAGCCAGTACGGCACTAATAATATTTCCACCGGAAGCGCGTAGATCCACTTAAGATCGATTAAATAAGTGATATTCCGGTCGTCGTCCACAAAAAGATTGCTCTAATAAAAGTCGGTTAGTTGCAGGGGGAAAGGGCCGTTCCGTCGATCTAACACGATAAAGTAGTGCATAACTGCCCGAAGCAACGTCTTGATTATTATTCGTTCTCGGGCATAGTCCTCATCTCTAACAACGTGAGGGTCGTAAAGGAGGTGGTTATCATGCAGCGTAAGCATATCGGAGGCGAAACTGTCGGTCCTCTGATATACCTGGCAAGGCTGGATAGTTCGCGGTGTCCCGCTATTCTCGGAAATCATCATGGTATATGTTAAGGGTCGATTAGAAAGGGTAATTATGCCGTCGCTTATATTGAATCGGAAAGAGTCAATACATGGTTATGGAAGCCGAGCGAGCGATAGCATAATACGCGCTATGCCCTAAAATAAGCGAGTACGACGACCTATATCGCGCATATATTGAGTCCAGGTATATAGAAGCATTTTCCCAGTCTCGGGACCAATATGCTCCAGCAGCATGTAGGCGGTGCCAACGGCCGGTGTGGATGCGTTGCGAGTGTAGTTGGAGAGCAAGGGGTAGTTAAGGGGACGATAGATCCACCGCCTGAATTCGTGGAAGATTCCGACGTAAAGGGGTCGCTGCTTGACGTGGGTGAATTAAGTCGAAGCAAAATCGTCAGGATCAGCACCGTTCAGGCGAGCGAAGAACTGAGAACACGAACTTGACTGCCGTCTCTGGAGCCGAAAGCGTAAAGGCTTGGGATCCGAATATCGGCGCAATACTCTTGCATCCACACATATGTGGCCACCTCGGATCCGACTTTTTCATCAATCGTGCCGGGATATCGGTCTTCAGCAAGCTTATGAGGCATGGAGCACCGGAAAACCAGCCTTCTGACGAAGCCGCCGGAATCCACCTCGACGAGAACGCAAAGATTAAAGCCTTGAATCTACGATTCCGGAGGTAGAGCCGTGCAGACGTCATCGCGGCGTAGGCGAAGATGGTGTCTAACCACGGCTTTGATGGACTCTCTCTGATCCCCACAACAGATGCCTCAAGCTCTCGGCAGCACATTGATGTCGGACAGAGAGAAGAAAACTGAATTCTTCCTCGGCGGCTGATTCGAATGAGCGGGGATTGTTGTGTATTAGAATCTTCCGAGCCATAGCAAATGGTGGATTCGCGACAGCCCGCAAGATGCCGAACAGAGGGTGGGTGAGGATCCATCCAAGTTCGCTTCAGGAACAAGGGATTTTGAGTCACGTGGAATGTTCGGCGCAGTCATTGATGCATTGATGGACATCAGGCCAGAAGAAATTATACACAAGGGACCCCTACCGCCGTACGAGTTATGGTTACATGCCGTACAACAAAGAGCCATTGCCTAATTAAGAAAGTGAAGCTATTCAGACTCGTAATTGCCCTCAATTAGAGTAAGACATATATAAATATATAGTTCCACTGAGTCGGCGTGTCTCTATTCTAAAATTCTAATGCTATTAAACGTACGGTAACTAGAAACTACTACCCCATGTAGGCAGGCGGCCGAGACAACCTGAGAGAGAGCGACGCAAGACTCTTGGGATGGCCTTTCCTCGGCTGTTGACGGGATTTTCATCTCAGGATGCCAGCCCGACTGCCAGCTTTGCAGCGCATGGCCCGAAGCAGACCGCTATCTTCGGGGTGACGATACAAGGTGAGAGGAAAGAAGCAGGCAACAAAAGAAAGCATCGGCTTTCCTCACGGGGAGGGCGGTCTTCCCACGCCGCCGGGGGTGCGAACGCAGCCGTTGTACCAAGCTACGTCGAAACGTTTAGAGGGGCTTCCAGGACAGATGGAAGAGCTCGGCGGATCAAGGGATCCGGCATATCACCAGTAAATCCCTTGAAAACGTTATGAGTAGCGAAAGTCGTAGGCGTTGATGGTAACAATCTAACAAGTGACACATATTCCTTCCGGCACTACTCGTGCTGCATAACAGGGGTCATTGGAGAACGAGACCTCTCCCTTGTTTTCTGCCGGCCCTCAAGTTTGCACATGTCAAGAGAGCTCTGATACACCACAAACCAGTCGTCTCTATGACAGCATGATTGATGCAAACGCAATCTAGTAGTCTGGCTTCTTGAGTTTAAATTGAAAGTGCGAAACTTCGGTCTTTGCCCAAGTCATTAGGGGAGCGCCATCTGCATCTTGTCCCCCTCTAACTGCCAGCCATTTGTCTGGATTCAATACGCTTGCGAAACTGTTGCAGAAGGGTATTAGAAGGAGTCCTAGAATTTGACTTGGCAGAATAGCCTTACTAGTAGTAGCCGTTCTTAGCAGGAATCATCTTCCAACGGCAAGAACCGTGCCTGACAGGCCGCGTGGAAATTGTACACTCGGAATCGGAACCGTTCTCTGCTTTATTTTTAGCATACAGCAACGTTCAGCTGCAACTTACTTACCCGCAGCGCAAAGCATCAGTCCGGATTGAACACCAACGATGTGGTATTGGCGATCTCCCACTTCCGGGTCGCCCTTGTCCCCTCCGGCGGCAACGATTTCCCACGCCAGATTCTCAGTCTTTCCAGCAGCACTATAACAGAATGGATAGAATGTAGACCACATTTGTTAGGATGGAGGCTTCTTACTAGAGCTTAACTGCTGTTCCAACCGTTGCTCCCCCGCCCCACACGCTCATACGTCTGCCTAGGGCATTCGCAGGGTAGAACTCGTATACGCCTGGACCTGTGTAATCAGACATGATCGACGTATATATATATGCAGCTGTCTGAGGGTTTGCGAAGAAGTGTTTGTGAAGTGGCTTCCACAAATTACATAGGATTGCTTGGGTGGTCGCGTTTCCTTATATACCTTGCGTTCTGCTGACTTGCCGTGTAGACAGCATAACACATACATTCAGGCTCTTTTTTAGGCCTCGACACTTAGATGGGCGTCCATGACTAGTTCCAATACTTCTTTTTGCACATACGGGTGGCGTGACTGTTTATCACGCTACATCTAGCGAATAGACCGGACTCAACTGCGTGCAATGTACTTGTGCATGCAGCTTATACAGTTTGGAATCCCCTCCGCTGTCGCCGCTCCTAATTGGTCTCGTCGCTCCCCTCAACTGTTCGAGCCCTTTTAGACCCAGGACTTGTTAATGACACCAATATGACTTGTGGGAGTCGTTCTACAGTCGTGTACAAAACGTCCTGCCTAGTCACTTTCTCACTTGTTGGAGACTGTCGCCGCCTTCGCTTGTAGAGGTGTAGTGGTAAAATGCCTGGTCTAGGAGTGCTGAGTCTCTCCTGAAGCGCCATATTGAGAGCTGCCCCGTCATGGATCAAAGCATGTTACAGTACGCTCGTCGGCTCGTTGGCTGCCTCTATGCCGAGACACCTCCGCAAAAATGTACTCTTGCCGGGTCCCGAACGAAAGCACAGTTAGAGGGGTTGAACCAAAGTCTCCAAATTAGGAGGCCATCCCTTGCGAAGCGCGCTCCCTCTGGAACGGTTATGCGTTATAGCGGAGACAAGGACTTCAATTTCCAAATTTCTTCTATCCTTTCTTAAAATCGACGTCTATAGTGGTCCTCCGGTCGACTTGATGTCGAGTTTGGAAGAAAACGATAAGGCAGATACAGCAAGCTTCTGTCACGGGCTGTGCCCGGCTGGTGGACCCGGTTGTACCGGGTCCGGTGGGTCGTGCTCCGGTGGCAACACCGGCCCCGCTCCGCGGACCCAGAAGCTGCGAGAACATTCCGAGAAGGGCAATATAAGCTCGCACTCGAGGCTACGCCTCGAGTTCAGCTTCTTTTCCTCCTTAGCTCTAGATAGACAACACCTAGGCACCTGCTTGTTGAATAAACTCCGGGCCAGCCTTTCACATATCTAGAGCTGTTGGTCTTGCGAAAGACCCTGAAAGACCTGCTGGACAGAGGATTCATCCGAGCGAGTAGCTCAGCGGCTGCCGCGCCGGTGCTGTTCGTGCGGAAGCCGAATGGAGGGCTGCGATTTTGTTGCGACTACCGAGCGCTGAATGCAATCACCAAGCGCGACCGATACCCACTGCCCTCATCGCGGAGACCCTGCAGAATCTGGCCAAGGCTAAGTGGTTCACCAAGTTGGACGTGGTGGCCGCTTTCCATAAGATCCGCATGGCTCCGGGACATGAGGGAAAGACTGCATTTCGCACGAGGTTTGGGCTCTACGAGTGGCTCGTGTGCCCTTTCGGCCTGAGCGGCGCCCGGCATCATTCCAACGATACATGAACAGTGTATTGCGCGAATGGCTGGACGACTTTGTCACAGCGTACCTGGATGATGTACTGATCTACTCGAGCGGTTCGAAGGCGGATCATGAGGCTAAGGTGCGACGAGTTCTCCAAGCACTCGCCGACGCTGGGCTGCACCTAGACCCAGCGAAGTGCGAGTTTTCGGTACAAGAGGTCAAATACCTTGGGTTCATCGTCAACGCAGGGAAAGGAATCGCCTGCGACCCCGAAAAGCAGCGCGCCATCCGCGAATGGGAGGCCCCGACCACGGTGAAGGGTGTCAGAAGCTTTCTGGGCTTCGCCAACTATTACCGGATCTTCATCCCCGACTATGCCAAGATCACGCAGTCTCTGGATGCCCTGCTTAAGAAAGGAACTGCCTTTCATTGGGGACGAGCGGAGAACGAGGCGTTTCAGGAGCTGAAGCGACGATTTTGCGAGTCACCGGTGCTCAAGCAGTGGGACCCGAGCCTCCCGACCTTTTTGGAGACGGATTGCTCAGGCTACGCATTGGGAGGCGTCCTGTCGCAGGAAGGCCCAGATGGACGTCGACACGCATGCGCCTTCTTCTCGAAGCGACTTTCGCCAGCGGAGTACAACTATCCCATTCACGACAAGGAGATGCTTGCCATCATGAGATGTCTCGACAACTGGAACGCCGAACTTAGGAGCTGCGGCCCATTTACAATCCTTACCGATCACCGCAACCTGGGTATTTCATGACACGCCAGAAGCTCACGGAACGGCAGAGCCGTTGGGCAGCCGAATTGTCCCAGTTCGACTTCAAGCTCGAGTATCGACCGGGAAGCGAGGCTGTCGTGCCTGATGCGTTGTCCCGCCGTGAACAAGACAAGCCACAGGGCATTGACGACGAGCGGGAACAAGGAAGAATGATACAGTTGATACCGGATAGTGCCATTCCATCATCGACAAGAGCATGTATCAACGCGATGAGTTCTGACTGTTCAGAGGCATCCACCCTGCCGAAGATGAAGGTCTTCGAGGTAGCGGACCTGCAGCAACTCTGGGACGAAACGGTGGCGAAGGACTCGATATTCCGGGCAGCCTATAAGGCAGTCCGCGATCGCGAGCGTGCCTTCCCGCCCTCGCTGGGCCTGAAGATCCAGATTTCAGAATGTGCGATCGACGCAGGCAAAAGGCTGACATTCAGAGACCGTATTTGGGTGCCGGGTGGATCCGGAGAGGAGGGTAACCAGGAGGAAGCTGAGAAAGACCAGTTGAGAACCCGCATTGTGCAGCAGTCGCATGACTCTGTTGCGACCGGTCATCCCGGCAGGGAAGGTACGCTGGCTATTGTGGCTCGGCGATTCTACTGGCCTGGGCAGTCCCAGCTGGTTTGCCGGGACGTAGCCAATTGCGACACCCGCGGCAGAGCACACATCTGGCGCCAGTCGAAAGGGAATTTTCAAGCCTCTGCCGATTCCAGATCGACCCGAAGCCATTTGTCCATGGACTTCATCACAGATCTGCCGCCTACTGGACCGAGCAAGGCAAGGTACCTGTGGGTGATTGTGGACAGACTGACAAAGGCTGTGACCCTCGAGGTGATGGACAACATGGAAGCTGAGCCGTGTGCAAACCGTTTTCTCCAGTGTCATTACCGATTTCACGGAATGCCACGGTCCATCGTCAGCGACCGCGGGAGCAACTGGCTAAGTAGGTTCTGGAAGAGGTTCTGCCGTCTTGCAGGTGTCACGCAGAAATTGAGCACGGCCTATCATCCTCAGACGGACGGAGGGCCAGAGAGAATGAACCAGGAGATCGAGGCCTACCTGAGAGCCTACGTGTCGTACGTGCAGGACGACTGGGGAGAACTGCTCCCTGCCGCGCAGCTGGCACTCAACAATCGTGAATCCGCAGCGACCAAGATCAGCCCCTTTTCGCTGAGCATGGTTACCACGTCGATCCCATCAGCGTCGAGGAATCGGAAGAGCCACCGAGGCATAGAGAGGAAAGCAGAGCTGATAGCCTACTCAGTCGCCTGCAGGAGGTCAATGAGTACATGCAAGCAGTGATGGCCTCCTCACAGCAACAACAAGAAGAGGCTGCCAACGCAAAGCGACAGCCTGCGGAGCGATTTGAAGTTGGTGACAAGGTGTGGCTCTCGATGGCAAACTACAGATCGCCACGACCGTGCAAGAAGCTCGACTGGCTGCATCACAAGTACACAGTCACGAAGGTAATTAGTTCGCACGTTGTTGAGCTCGATGTTCGTGGCTCAATTTACCCGCGATTTCATGTTGACCTTTTGCGGCGGGCGCATCAAGATCCGGCTCCTGGCCAAAAGGTAGATGACGCACAGCCACCACCGGTACAAGATGAGTCCGGCACGGATCTGTGGGATGTCGACGAGATCCTCTGCGCGAGATGGAAGAAGCGCGGACGAGGAATTCAGGCAAGCACTAGTGCGATGGACGGGCTACGCAGAGCCGACTTGGGAGCCAGTTGAGTGGTTGCAAGGAACAATTGCGATGAAGGCATTCGAGGACAAGTACGGGCCAATCAAGACCAATGATGGCCCTAGGAGAGGTACGAGACGCTGGCAGGAACGCAAGAACCCCGCAGACGCCGACCTGGTCGGAGGGGACAAGGGGTAATGTCACGGGCTGTGCCCGGCTGGTGGACCCGGTTGTACCGGGTCCGGTGGGTCGTGCTCCGGTGGCAACACCGGCCCGCCCGCGGACCCAGAAGCTGCGAGAACATTCCGAGAAGGGCAATATAAGCTCGCACTCGAGGCTACGCCTCGAGTTCAGCTTCTTTTCCTCCTTAGCTCTAGATAGACAACACCTAGGCACCTGCTTGTTGAATAAACTCCGGGCCAGCCTTTCACAGCTTCTCCGACCTTGGACAGCAGAAAACCCGCTTTGTACAGATCATATCACAAACTGGTACAGTAAGCTGTAAAGGTTTAAAATGCCGCAACCCTCGTCAATGACAGGGAGACAAGAGAAATTTCCCGCGTTATTTCGGCTTTTGCCGGTTTGCGCTCTTGTCCTTGCCGCAGTAACAGCAAAGATACGCTTCTTCACGCTACCAGATGCATGCAGGGACCTGCGACCTTCCAACCAAATAGAAACACGGTAGGGAGTCTCATATTTTCCCCTTCTTTTTTTCTTCATCGAGACACTCTATCGTGCCTGTCTCAGACCCCGCTTCTTGACGTGATATGCAACGGCGGGCAGCGTGGTGGATTCTAAAGGTAGTGATCGACGGAGACGGGAGAGCTGACCCGAGCTTGGCATATTACATGTCATCCGGTGGTGGAAGAGCTCACACACGTAACCGGGACCATGTCCATGTTCTGACTCCCACTGTCTCAGTGAGCGTTCGGCCACTCTTGTTACTTGTGCATGTAGCCGGCCAGAGTACCTAGGTGGGATCGGCGTAGGTACAGTGACGGGATATAGCCGCTGCTGGCCGTGTATTCTTGTTTCTCGAGGCTGCTATGAGGAGCAATGAACGAGCTCCTGTCTTCTTCCGGCTCAGCAGGGGGGGGGCCTCGTCATTCCGCTCCATAGTACCGACGCGTTTGAATCTTGGGACACACCTGTCCCAGAAACGCGCGGCTATCCTCGGTCCCGGGATAGAGGTGCTGCTGGTTTAGACAGGAAAGAGCGGCAGGGGGCCTATCCCGAGACCAATCCTCGCCATGGATAATATTACCTTGGGCCGCGTTCCACGTAGAGGAGTTGCCAAATCAGCTAGATCTGCAGGTAATGGGTGTCAGCGGAGCCACGTCACAGCAGGTCGTAGAAGATGTACTTCATCATGCGGGGAACTCGGTCGCCCGACATATGACGGCCACTTGCAGTTGTGGTGTGCATTGCACTTTTTGCCTGCATAGCGCATTGCACTTTTGCCTGCATAGTACAATTATCGGCAAGCGGAAGATATATACCGCACCAATAGATGCTCTATTGGAGCGTTCTACTTCGGCCTGGCCAAGCGGTTTATTGCCTTTCCACAGCAATAGTTATGGGAGGACATCTTGATCGATGTTTCCGGGCCTGCTGAAAGGCCAATTTCTCTTAGTCCTCCCGGCCCTATACGTGCCCTCTACTATTCGGATCTGTCAAGAGAGTTAGCTCCGAGGGCCAAGGTTATACAGCCCTCTCCGACTCCCATATAAACTCCCACTTCGTTCCCTGGCCCTCCTTCCTCTCGCTCAATCGAACTCTAATATTGTCCACGGCCGTCCGAAGCGCAGCTCCCCGGTGATGTGTGAGCTGGCTGGCCCTCCTTTTAGTTGACGAAGCGCTCCGGATCGAATTAGGACACAGTTAGGCCCCAAGCCGACTCGCTGCTATGCACCTCGGCCGACGGAATAAGTAGGACCAAGTTCTTTTTAGCAGGATCCTATTTCTAGGAGTATATCCTCGAGAACGACACGCCTAGAAGCGTTCGTGCTCTATACGCGAAGGACCTTACAAACGAGCGAATTTAGGAATAGGCGGTCGGCAATTACCTTGCGAATATTGACACGATGTATTCTATCTCCCCTCGCTAAACCTGATAGCTTATATATCTCTTTCCGCACTCTTGCGAGAAGCGACGTATCGGAGTAGATATAAAGGACTGCCTAGGCCGAGGCAAAACGGCTAGGTTAAACTATATAATATTCTCCTATAAGATGCTATATTTATGGTTAACGTATAGGCGCGATTGGATAAATGCCGAGGCCGTCTTATTCTTATGCCTATCCATAGTATAATTCCTACTTTTAGCGTTAAAGAAAAGCTTCTATCTACGGCCAGCGTTTAGTGCTAGAAGACTAAGGAATAAGCTTAGACCTGGTTTACCCCGGTCACGCCGAGTGTGAACATTTAGACATTGTGCTGCCTTCTGATGGGCTGTTGGCTATCGTGGCGGCAAAGCAGCAACAAGGCTATTTACAGTGACTCTCCCGACCACTGGTGCCACACACGCAAATGCCAATGGCTTCTCCTGCGGCACTTGTCCTTGAAGGATCTAGAGGGTGTAGGCAACACCTCTCATAAAGCACACAAGAAGAACAATCGCTGTATGTTGAGCATTTGTCATATTTCTCCTCCGCCTGAGCAACGGCCCTGCTCCCATCTTGATCTGAGCCTGCCGCTGCCGCGACCACAGCCGTGCGACCGCCTCCCCGTCGTCGAGTCAAGACAGCTGCTGCAGCCTGCGCATTTTCGGGAAAAGCGCTTTGAGAAAGGGACTCGTCTTTTTCAGCGTGAAACTGGTCAACGGCTATACAGGATGCATTAGTATGGTGTTGATCTTGATGTCCCCGAATACAAACCTGTTCCAGCCAAACCTTGCCCGCAAACTGCGACTGAAATAAGGACGAGTGTGGTCAATGTGGCGCGCATAATGGGAGACTGCCGAAAGAAGCGCGGAAATGTTTGGAGGCCGGGTAATGGAGGATATGTTCAGGAGAACTATAGTGGATGATATACCAGGCTGATGAAGAGTTACTTACTGGAGAGGGTGCGAATCCCAAGACATTAAATAGGTTGAGGACCGAAGCCTCGGAGGAGAGCTTTTTGCATGAGCATTGTATGATTTCTTGGCAGAAGATGGTTTGCCGTATAATGGAGCTTATTATGTAGTTAGTCCATCGTTAGGTCGGACCAAGCCAATTTATGAGCAGCTATCGACAGGGTAAAGGCAAATCGCTCAATCACCTTGAACTGGTAACGTGATGGAATAGTTACAAAGTTACGATATAACAGTATATGAAATAATACGCCAAGGGGTGCTTAAAGTTACTTTGATAAAGAAAGCCCACAAGGGAAACCCTGTTTCTCACCTTATGCGACAGTATTGTGATTTTGACGCCCACTGTCGTGTTTCTTCTTTATGAACGGCAAGTCTAACAACTGGCGATGGACATAAGAGTCTTGCATCACCTTTAACACGGACTAGGGCGTCGAGACGCGCCGACCAAGTATGGACAACACATCTAATGCTCACTGTGCCCTTGAAGTGACCCGGGCAGTCCGTCTCTCCGACATGTCATGATGCATGCTAGCATGTTGATAAATAGTGATGGGAGGTTGGCGCAGAAGATCAACGTTACCGGGAAATCCGTAGAGAGGTCGTGTAGCAGTCTTGTCGAGGAACGGCCCTAAGCTGAAAGAGAAAGCGATATTTGTAGTCGAGATTGAGTAAGACAAGGCCTCAAACGATATGGTTGCTCTCCTGATGGTGAACCACAAGTCCCCAAGATCAGAACCGTTTTTGAGAAGGGTATGAACTGGAGCGATCAAGGATTGGACAACCCAAACTTATGTTGGCTGTCACTGATCACGTGTGATCTGCAAATAGAAATCTGTCCAATCTACACGAGGTTGATCTCACTGATGCAAAAGGGGCCAGGAGTGAAGGTCAGTGGGGGATGAAGAAGTCCTGCAGTGATGCTCGAGTAGCCTGCAACGATAGGCAGCCGAGTCAGTAATCTGTCTCCGGGGTAAGGCCGCCTTGGTGTCATGACCGCAAAAATGTACAGGATGCCAATGTCTTGGCTGCTTTAGCGGTATTATCAGAGCACAAAAGGACTCAAAATACGCGTTAATAACACATCTAATAGGGGTGCCCCTAATTTGCTCGGTGTAGCGGTATTTTACCAGCTTCACAGGAGTTCTCTACGATGTAACGATATAGAAATGTACTGAAGAACATGTTTGCGCATACAGTAGTTGGTGGGCATAATGATTGGATTGCGCCAAATCAACATCATTTCACTTATTGCGGCATTATATCGCGTCTTTTTGTGCTGCTCGACGGAAGGCAGTATGTAACCTTGGTGGTAGACTGCAAAGACATGATGGGTGGATGCTATGCACTTGGCAGCGCTGACCTTCAAGGTCCGTTTGATTGGTCTCGCCTTGCGCCATTGCTTGAAGTTTAAGCCAATCCCGCAGGCGCGTATTCTGCTCATTCACCCCTGGTGCCAAGCTATGTGTTTGCGAGCTCACCATCGGTTTCGTGACTACCCAGAATCCGCAGGCGTGGCCGGGGTTGCTAGAATGTTAAGAACAAACTTGCTTCGACTCCGATATCGCCCTTGAAGGTGTTTCCAAAGAGAACAGAGTGCACTATGTTGTCCCACCGGAGCCGCCTTTACCTTTGGTACACTCGAAATTATTAACCATGGTTCATTACGAAGCGGCTCACCCTCCAAGCTCCTGGCCGAGTGAGTGCAGTACCAGATTGCTTGACTTGCCAATCGTCTGGACAATATGCCCATATGTGTATAAATACTATAAATAACTAGCTAAAAAGGGGTATTAAGATATTCCTATATATAAGTTACAACCTTTATACGTCTTTCTAGTAGGAGCGTTATCTTAGCCTGGCAGACGCCTTTGCCGGCTCTCGGGCCCCTTTAAGTTTGCATAGCCTAGACCTCTAGGTTTTACTCTCGATATTAGTTACCAATTAAAAGGGGTCAAGACCAGCCGTAGAAATATATAGCTATAACATCTCTATAATCTAAAAGAGCCTTACTTATCGGCTTATATAGTAGTAGTAGTAGTAGTAGTAGTAGTAATAGTAGTAGTAGAGTAGGGGCGTCAGCAGTCATGTAGAATCAATCAAGAGTTCATGCCTTGGCTTGCGGGCAGTGCCCACTTCACCATCCACTCAGACGCGAGTATCTTCTGCATCGTCCAACGTTTCTTGGGCGAGAACTCGAGCATGCCTCGCATCATATCAAGAACCATCCTCGTTTCCTACTCTCCAAAGACCCCGGCGGCCTGTAGTTTCCTCCTCCACTGTTGCACCCTTTCCTCAAATGCTTCTTCAAGGGGAGGAAGTGTCTCACGATCGTGTATGGGCTGGCGAGGGATATTTCCATATAAGTCCTCCCCTTCGGTCTGTGGTCTTTCCCAAAGCTTCCGCCACCTCGCAGGAAAGTGTTGGAAGCCTAAAACGTCGATCTGCTCAGCCACGATTTCGTCTTGCGGCTCCATTTCGCAGAGAGTGGACTGCATGCCTAGGATGTCCCAAATCGCATGTCCGAGGCTCCATATGTCCGACGGGAACGATAAAGGTATGTCGGGCTCGAAGAGAGCTTCTGGTGGTCTCTTGGTAAGAGGTATGTGGCTTTCCTTGCCTAGACGTTGCTCTATTGCTGGAGCAAATGCCTCGCCAAAATCGCTCAGAATAAGGGATCGTGCGTCGTCCAAGGTGAAGTCTTGTGCTTTTTTACCCAGCATCAAAGGCACCGCAGCCTGGGGCGGGACGTTGGGTGGGAGCGGGCGTCCATCGGCCCGTCTGACGGGCAGCAGTTCGGGCTCTTCGTACTTGTCCCTGAATTGATCGACCGAGAGCCGATCCAATGTCGACGGGAGCTTGATCAAAGACGTTACGAAGGTGGATATCTAGCCATGCTTTCAGCTTTGCTCGACTTGAACACCAAAAGCAGTGGATCAACCTCCATGGACAAAGCCTTGCGAATGGACAAAGCCGACAGCGAGGATCAATTTGGCAGCCAACGCCCGAGCGACTTGGATGGGAAAGAGTACTGAATTTCGCCTCTTGGACGCTGCCCTGCGCAGGAATAGTCACGTAGCAGGGATGGGTCCCGTTGGGGCCGTCAACCTCAAATTCATCCAGAATTGCAGGTATGGCTTCAGCCGCAATGCCAGCTGGCCCGAGGGCAGGCGCGGGAGATTTTGAGCCAGACAGACGGCATAGAATGTCGGGCTCGCGTGGAGAGCACAGCAGGGACGAGACACCGATTTTGATTGCGACATATCGATTGAGTCGGCGGTCGTGAATGGTTGAGTATCCACCGTATCCCAGCTTGGCCACCACCCGATATCGATTGTGCAGCACGTCGTTGATCATGACGGGATGGAAGCCACCGGGCTCGTACATCTCCAGCCGCTCGACTCCATCAATCCACCTATACTCGATTCGCGGACTGGCCGACATGTCCGGACTCGGTGAGCGTGAAGAACTTACCAGGGTAGTGGGCCGAGCGAGCAATGTTGGCGTCCCGCGTTGAAGCTCGACAGAACAGCCACTGCAACAAACGGAGCTGAGCGGCAGGGGCGCGAGACGTAACCGGGCATTGCTCTGACTCTTGGGAAATAGATCCGCGCGGGATGAGCCCCCGAGGAACGTATCATGGTCAGGAACGCCGCTGACGGGAAGGACTTTGGGCTGCCAGAAAAACCATGACGCGACGAGAAATGGATGGGAGGGATTTGCTAACTCATCAACATTTGTCTAACCGCCCGCTTTCGGGCCGGAGATTGCCCGTAAATGTCCAGAGACGTTTCACCACCATCAGGCTGTGCACTCGCGCGCGTCGTGATGCCTTGTTCTTGCGAGAGGCCGCATGTGCTCGATCACAGTAGGAGGGTTTCTTCGGGGGGGCCAATAACGGAGACCGGACACCACTCGGCGGAAGCCTTTGTGAAATTCCTCAGCACCTACTGTAGCAAGTATGATTGCCAGCATCGAATGCCCAAGCCTGTTCGACGATTCGAACAGTTTCCCTGCCAAAGCAGAACGGTGACATGGACCTATAAAGAGTATGCATCCGACACCGTTTCCCGTCTGTATCGAAGCAAAGTATGAGAGCCTCTTAGATTCGTTATTCCCTATCAACCCGAGACATGTCCACCCCCCGTTCCGTCGTTCCCGAAGCGATGGCCTCGGTTGCAGGGGCGAACTTTGTTCGTTTCTTCTTCTATGCTGGCAACACCATCAGTCCAGAGAGAAAACGAGCACCTGTCGCTCTGACATAGGTCCTATTATCTAAGCGATATTAATATCTCCTTCCACTCACATATATAAGAAAGAGCTGCAGCCTGTTTAATAGCGTCTTTATAGGGCGTTTACTTAATACTCCCTTTAATTAAGGGTTGCTCGGAACGGATGACATACAGTTTGCGCAACCCCGCAAGGACAAGCGACATTAGAAGTGGATTTTCCTCTACTAGAGTTTGCAGGAAGACAATATAGCGATCACGCGAGGAAAGGCAAGGCCCGTCAACAGGTGCCAAGGCGAGGTGAAGCAAATGGTGACGCGAGCGAATCGGACACGCAAAGCACCTTGGCATACTCAAGGTCCGGATCAAGTCGCAACGGGCGATGACACCCAACGTGATGTCCAAAGACGCGGATGCCAAATCCCGCTCGGTAGATGATGAATACGAAAAGGCAAACGCGAGATAGGATGGTTGTTTGCTTTATCGACGTCCCATCGGATGCCAACGTCAAGTCACTGGTCAGTTACGAATTGCGCCGGCTCAGGAGAGTGCGGGAACATCGACTGAAGCAACGTTGAAAACTTAACGACGCCATCGTCAGCGAATATGCCAAGTATAAGAAGCTGCTTATAAGAAGCTGCTTGGTGGCTTCTGGTTCCTGCCTGGGCTGCTTCAATATTCCAGAAAACTATCGTCTCTTACATTGTACTTGCTTCTTCGACAAACGCCGACTACATCATGGCCAAGCGAACGACTCTCTTCTTGATAGCCGCCATTACCGCGCCCCAAGTCGCGTCGAGGGCGTGCACACATGGCCATCGATACTGTGTAATGAACCTCTTAAAAATAGGTAAAAGACTCCGCTCGGCAGTCCTTCTTCAACTTGACCATCAATTAAATGTGCAACTAGGCGACTACCAAGCAGCAATAGACGCAGAGCTGAAAACGTGGTCGCCATGCACAGAATCAACGGACAACTATATATACTACTGTGACTGGGGCGAGATACACCTCATGGGCAATTGCGAGGCGGGCTGTGAAATCACCGGCATGGGGGCAGATGATTTCTGCCGCCCTAACTTCAGGCAAGCTGTGGAATGCAACCTTTGGTACGGTAGAGTCGCGAAGGAGTCGAGGTAGAAAGGATTACGCGGCTCTTAGACGTCTACGCAAGGCATCGAAACCCAAGTAGCCCCTCACGCCTGTATTACACTGCCTGTCTACACGTATCAGATCGACATGAATGTGACAACTGAAGCACCGAGGCGATGAAGATAGAGACGGTGACCGACCGCCGCTTCCGATCTTGATGTACAATGGAGGCTGATCAGCCAGGGCCAACGTCTAATCCGACTCCTTCTTGGCCTGGTCGACAATCTCCTGCGCTTTTTGCGACTTCTTGTCCAGAACTTGCTTCAGCTCCTCAATCGTCTCCTTGAGCAGCTTTTCTCCCTCTTGCTTGTGCTTTTCCGCAATCTGGCCAATCTGCTGCAGCTTGGGCATGATTTCGCCATCCTGCGTAATCATTTTGAGATATTTGTCGAGTCCAAAGCCGCTCGCCATGTCCGAGCCCTTGGATTTGGCCTTATCCACCGCACTGTCGACGTACTTGCTCAAGCTACCCAGATCGCCCGAGTCAACTGCAGAGCGGACCTTGTCGAAGAGTTCTTTCATGTTGCCCTGCTTCAGGGCGTCCGCATTTTTCTCGATGAGCTCCTTGGCCTTGGGGTTCTTGTCAAGAAACGGCTTTGCCTGCTCAAGACCCTTGTTCCACGCGTCGTCGCCAAGCTTCTTGACTTGCTGCAGCTTGTCCTCGGCGAGCTTGCGGGCCTTGTCAACGTTAGAGGCGGTGAACCCCCCCGCAAAGATGTCCTTGATCTGGCTCCATGTCTCGTCAACTTGCTTCTTGGCCTCGGGGCCGTAATTGCGGCCCATATCTTGGAGCTTCTCGATGCTCCCGCCAAATTGTTTCTTGACCTGAGGGTGGTTGTCAAGGATGTCGGAGATGGCGTCGGCAGAAAGGTCGGCAATCTGTTTGAACATGTCGAGCAGGGACTCGTAGGCCTTGGAGGCCGTCTCCAGGTTCAGGCCGGCTTTCGAGAGGTCCTGCAGTTTCTTGTATGCATCATTGACAATCTTGTCGGCCTCTTCTTTGTGGTTCTCACGGACGGTCTCCCAGTCCTTGAAGGCGGCATCGAGGTAGGCTCGGCCGCCAGGGATCCACGCAACGTACGAGTAGGCGAAGTGTTTGACGGCATCAACGGCTTGGTCGGCGCTGGGCGTGTTCTGCTGCAGCTTCTCCGCAGCGGCTTCGTACTTCTTGTTGGCTTCGAGAGCGGCTTTGTTGAGCTTGCTCGCCGTCCGCCCGGCGGGTGAGAAGGAGTAGATGCCATAGGCGAGAGCGGCGCCGGCCAAGCCCCCGGCTGCACCGGCTGCAAAATGAGAGTTGCCTCCGCCCGCGGCCGATGATGAGGTCGAGGTTGACTGGAAGCGAGGGAACTGTTGGCGGCGGGGCGAGCTCCATGCGCGAGTCGTGGGGCGCAATGCCGCGCGAGGCACGGCTGACCTTGTCCACTGTCGTGTAGGTATCATACTGGTCAAGGGATAAAAGGGGGCTTTGAGGGTCGAATTGTCTGTCGAGAAAGGTGAAAGAGGCCAATTGAGAGGAATGAGGAGTTGAGTTGACGTGTTTACGCGCGATGGTGGGAGTAGTTACTTGGCTACCACGGATACCTACGGGATGACGGCATCAAGAGCACAGTACAGTAACTGAGGCGGACATGACGCTCCGGGAAATGACGTCAGGACTCGAAGGCGCCTATTGATGGCAGTTGAGACTGTCATTTCTATTGCGCACTTGATCTTGCCTATTAGTGGCAAACTTGATGTTCATCATCAACAGAAGCCCAGATTTACGATTTAGTTATTTACCTAGCCGTCGTTCCAAGGCAGAGAGACGGTCAGTTGAGCACCCGTGAATTAGTGCTGGGACGTCAGATGACTAAGCACGGACATTGCGTTTGATGGAGCCGTCACAGAGGCAGGTGACCGGCCAACGATGCAGTACAACGGCGGCCAAGAGCCGTGTAGCGGTGAAGACCGAAGCTGCGGCGGTTGGCATTGTGGAGATTGTGCACTCGCATTTGGATAGGGTCACAGTTTGGGGAGTCTTGCAATGAAGTCCTCGTTGAATCATCTGGCTATCAGGCCATTTATTCCCCGCGCACGGCAGCCATATTTTCTTGTACGGTACGGTACAATGTGCCGTGATTGTCCCGTTTCCGCTCGGTGAAGGCGGCGGTGTTGGACTTGAGGTTGCGGAGGAGTTCCGCTTCGTTCCCGTACAACTGTATGGCTCGACGAAAACCCTCGAGGCTAAGGCGCGGCGGTCTGCGGCAGATCTGATCGGAGAATTGTTGGCGAAATGCCAGGTCTTTGCTGCGGTATTTATGGCCCTGGATCGCGGGAACTTCAAATGTGGGCATAGAAAAAGGCGCGGTCCTGCCTGGTGAAAAGAGCGTATAAGGTAGGGGAAATTAGGTTCCTAAAGAGAATAAACGCGGGTATAGAAATATATAACCGGGTTAAGGCGCGCTGCGGGAGGCCCGTCAACACTTATTGGCTGGTCAACCCATACCCAGACTTCCGGGGGAGCGCGCGGTGATAGCGCGTGCGGCGGCTCGTGCTATCGCACGGCGTTTGCGCGGAGTCACCGGGTGCGGGTGATACGACCTTGCAGTGCCTCTCGCTGGGAGTTGAATTCCTCACCAGCTCTTCGGCCACGATATCCTTGTCGGCCACCCACGAATTGTGGCTGCTTGGCCAGCCTTTTCAACTGACGAGGTATTCCGTGCGCGCGGCCCCCCGGCCGTATTTACGAGTCCTTGAGTCGAGGATCCTTTCGACCTCCCAGTGATCGGTGTCAGGTTCTGGGCCTGGTCGAGCGTGGTCGTCACGTGCCTCCATTTCGGGCTTTGGCAGATGGACAGAGTACGGAGATGCCGTACCTGGGTCGTCACGGGCAAGACATGGCCCCGATGATGGGCAAACCGGGCACTCAGCTGATGGCTTGTACTGTAGTGGGCTCGAGGCTGAACCGAGTCTGTTCATCATGTGTCGACGGGAGTTTTCGGACCTTGGATAGGCGGCTCATGGCAATTTTTAGAACAACAAGAGTGACAAATACTGGCGTCTTCGGGTCTGCGATTTGAGAGATACCGACAGTAGGATGCCGGGGACCCGCACCCCTAACTGTAGGTAGTAGTAGCCCCTTGTCTTGACTCTAGGATCACACTGTCCCTGTACACTGTACGAGTGTCTTACGTAAGGTCGGCTGCCCTGGGCGTTCGACAAGCGTTCTGTTCGTAGCGCCGCCCCAGGCGCTGACGGGCCTGAGACCCCAAGCGCTGTGGCCCCGGCACTGTGCACCTGCCTGACGATGGGTCATGGCTCCTCTGCGGTGAGCTTGCGCGCCTCAGTCCCCCCATGACCTCCCGACCCGCGAAGCCTCACTCCTCACTCCCGCTCCCTGCTCCGTCGTCCTCCGCCTGCGCAACTCCATCCTTTTCGCATCTCCTAGTCCGGCGCGTTCGTGACTACTATCCTCTTGTTCGCACAAGGCGACTCGCGACGGTCCGTTTGCGGACGTTGCTCTGATCCATCAGTCGGTGGCTGGGTGCCAACACTCGGCTCACCATCGACAAGCCTGCATCCACTCGACATCAGCCAGCACCCATCGATCCGAACCACAACCACCACAAGAGACGCGAGGCGGCGGTTGGCCAAGGCGTCAACATGTTCTCCGAGTGTGCGTCCGGCTCGTCGCATCGCCCAATGTCCGCTGACGCCATCGTCTAGATGCTTCACGCTTCCTAGCACAGTCCCAGTCCCGGCTCTCCAACTTTGGCCAGCCCGACCCAGACCACTCGCAACGTCAAAACGACTGGGCCTCGTCGCGCCCGGGCCGATCCCAACGAGATGCAGGCCGGGGGCCCGTTCCCGCCAGGTCGTTCCTCGCCCGGGGCTACGGCGGGAACCCGTATCAACAGAATGGCGCTGGCTCGCGCTTCGGCCCTCTGGGCTTTGCATCTCGCATATCCGCCGCACAGGACGCCCCACTCTTCTACAGCACACTCGACGAGTTCCGTGACGAAGACGACGAGGAAGAGCGGGAGAGAGAGGCGGCCGATCTGTACGCGCTGCAACGGTCGAGGCGCGTAGCCGCCGCCAGCAAGCTTGCAGAGAGCGCCGAGTCCGCCAACAGCCACGCATCAGTCGATGAGAGCGCCGACCAAACCCAAAGTCCATACCGCAGTCATGGCCTGGCACGGGGCATCAAGAGCAGCTGGAACGCCACGAGGAGCACACACCAGCCACACGTGGTGCACGACGCATTACTAGAGGAAGCGGAAGAGGTGGCACAACCCCGAGGAGACCACGCCGATCACGATACCAAGGGCAAAATGGTTGATATTGGTCTGGAATCGCAGGAGGACGGCGACGAAGAGCCGCCTGAATCGCTGCTGGGCGGAGAGGCGCCGGCCGAGTCAAGCCCTCCCCCCTTTCAGCAGTTCAACCCGCATCCAGAACGGGAGCCATTTATGCTCAAGAGGTCTGCCACCGATGACACAGAGCCGAGTAGCATACGCAGGCAGGACCCGGCAGAGTTTGAGCCCGCCGCCCAGCAAGGAAACCTCGTGGTCGAGGGCGAGCTCTTCAAACACGACCCCTTCTTCGCCTGGATCTTCCTCATCAGTCTGGCTGGCATGATGTCGACCTTTGTCCTTGTCTGGCTGCACACCTCGCCTCGGAAGAGCCCCGTTGGCGACACGATATACGCCACGCTCCAGAAATCATTTGACATGCTGGTTGTCGACACCGTCGTGGCCGTCGCTGTATCCTTCTTCTGGCTGGCCGCCCTGCGCTCCTTTGTCAGGCCGGTCGTCAACATCATCCTCGTTGCGGTGCCCGTCATCATGCTGTCCTTTTCTCTCTACACCTTCGTCTCCTCGTTCCAGGGGAGGACCAAGGGGTCCAGCGTCCAAGACAGCGTCATGCGGTGGGCGTCTCTGGTGCCGGCCGCCTCCTGCATCCTGTGGTTGTGGCTCGTCGCCAAGGGGCGGAGGGCGATTCAGCAGGCCATTGAGATGCTGCAGTTCTCGTGCAAGATCCTGGCGCAGAACCCGGCCCTGCTCCTCGTGGGATTTGGCTGCCTCGGCCTGATTGTCTTCTGGACATGGGCCTGGCTGGCCATGTTCACACGCGTCTTCATGGGCGGCTACTTCTCCACGTCTCTGGTCCGCTTCGTGATTCGCCTGTCGAGCTGGTGGCTGGGCGCGGCCTTTATCCTCATGTACCTGTGGACACTGGCTGTCATCAACGCCGTCCACCGCGCAACTACGGCGGCAACCGTTTCGCAGTGGTATTTTCATCGCAACGCGGGCCCGGCGACGCCCTCGAGCGAGATTGTGCTCGCGGCTCTGAGCCATGCCACGACGACCATCTTTGGCAGCATCTGCGAGTCGACGCTCCTGTCGCTGCTGCTGCGCGCGCCACTACTCTTTCTGCCGAGGAGAATAGGGTCCGCCATCACCAACCTGGCAGCATTTTGGATACCGACACCGATGGTGGCACTGACCAACCCGCTGTCGGTTACCTACGCGGCCATCCACTCGCAGAGCCTGGCTACCTCGGCAAGGGGGCTGGACCAGATGGAGGTGGTGTCGCCGGCCATTCCGACGACGACGCTCACTCCACGGGCTCTGCGGCTCCGCGGACAGGCCAACGGACTGCTCCCGTACCGGTTGGCGAAGCTGCTCCTGGTGGCGACACGGTTCATCATGGCGACGGGGCTGGGGTTTGCGGGGTGGGTCATCACGGCCAAGCAGCTACAGATCCAGCTTCCGGACGGCATGGGGATGCGCGGATCGGCATACGCCTACGTCGTGGGCATCATGGCGAGCTTCATCGGCTACTCGGTGATGGGAGCGATGGAGGGCATTTTGAGCGGCATCGTGGACGCGGTACTCATCTGCTACGGAAGCGAGAGGCGCATGGAGAGGGGCCACGGGCGGTTCTGTCTCGAGGCGGCGCATCTGTTTGGCGAGAGGCGGATTGGCGAGGAGGGATATGCGTAAGCCAGCATCGCACGGCGTCGATTGCAAGCACTTTTGAATGGGTTTGCTTCCTTTTTATTGACTTGCTCTTGAAGTCGCTGGAGCCTTTGAGAGTAGACTGCAGCGCGATTGAATTCGAAAGAGGGCGACGGTTTGGATGGGAGGTAGGCACTGGCCTCTGATGGGCCTTTTGCGGGTGGCGAGCGAGGGCTTGACTGTGAGAGTCGCACGACGCAGGAATCCAACACTCCGGTGCTTGTGCTTTGGAAGCTTCTAGCGAGGGGTGGAGGCTGCGGCAGAGACGCGTGCGTGTTGGGCCTGAGTGGTGCTTCTAGAATACCGAGGTCCTGGTACGGATAATCTGTACAGGCATCCAGGGTCTTGTGATGGCGGCTCCAGGCTGAAGCTGCGCTAGCCCGGCCTCCCGGGACTTGATTACCCGGGGCACGAATGGGGCTTGGCCGGGCACGGGAGGCATTGCTCGATTGCCACTGCGGACAGGTACCTCGTCGGACCGGCGGTCCCGCCTTTTTCGCTGCCACATGCTTGTACCAAGCACATACGTAATGGCTGCCATCTCTTTGACCTTGGACGACGCGTCCATTTAACTTTGCCACTTCACCTCTTTTCCCACTTCATCCTTAAGTTCTATTCTGCCTCTCTCCCCTCGTCCCCAGTCTCTGCTCCGTCTTTTATCCTCGCTGTCCAGCTCGATCAATCTACACCTCCTTGAAACCTGCCTGTCTCCGAGACGTCATCACAACCCCACACTTCGTCTCGGACCCGCGACGTCATCCATCAGCAACCCAATCTCTCGTCGCTTCTCGCTTTGAAATCACCACATCGCGCACCTACTGCCACATGGACGATTACGCTCCGCCATCTGGCCCTCCGCCGCCAAAGTCCCCCGAAGTGCCGGCGGGCTGGGCCGCTCGCTGGAACGAGCAGTACAAAGAATGGTAAGGCGCCTTCGCTTTCGACGTGTTGCGCGCAATCCGCCCCCGATCTGACCCGCCATCCTAGGTTCTACGTCAATCTGTACACGAAACAGTCGCAATGGGAGAAGCCCACTGTCCCTGCGTTCCCCCCCGCCGACAACAACCACGACGAGCCCCCGCCCGGGTATGAGCCCGCCAGCGGCCCCGCGCCTACTGATACCAAGAAGAACCCGTACCAGGAGGACCGGCCTGCCTCTGCCGCCGTCGGCGGCTCGTCGACCGAGGACGAGGACGCCAAGCTAGCTGCCAAGCTGCAGGCCGAGGAGGACGCCAAGGCGCGCGGGAACCCGGGCGGTCCACAGCCTCCTGTCGGGTACGGCGAGGCCCACTCGTATCAACATCAGAGCCACAGCCCTTATCCCCAGGAGCAATATCCGCACGACCTGCCGGCGCGGGACCGTGAGAAAGCAAAGGCTGGCGGCTTTCTGGGCAAGCTCTTCGGCAAGGGCAAGGCGCCGATGGGGGGCTCACAAGGCGGCTACGGAGGATATTCGCCACAGCCGCAGCAGGGCTACTACCAGTCGCAGCCGCAATACGCCGGGTATCCGCAGCACGGTGGCTACGGTGGAGGCTACGGGGCCCCGGGAGGCTACGGCGGCGGGTATGGCGGGGGATACGGCGCGCAGCCCGGGTTCGCGCAACAGCAGCCGGGTAAGAAACCGGGCATGAGCGGCATGGGCATGGGACTTGCCGGTGGCGCTCTGGGCTTGGGCGCGGGCGTGCTCGGTGGTGCGCTCGTGGCGGATGCAATTCACGACCACGACCAGGAGTCGTACATGGACGGATACGGTAAGCGCATTTTCCCAGTGCCCACGAAGATGCGTCATCTTTGCTGACATGGTACTACAGCGGACGGCCAGGACAATGATTTCGGCGGCGGTGATTTCGATGGCGGTGATTTCGGCGGCGGCGACTTTTAAGCTACCCAGTTGGGTCCGGGACACAGTATTCTGTTTGATTGGAATAGCTCTTTTTTTTTGGTTTTTTGGCAAGACTGGTGGTGGCGCATCGACATGATCGCCGCGCTGGGAAGATTGTAGGCGCACAAGGAAACTCTCACGAGAACTGAACGGCTGGACAGGCACTTGTGCACCTACTCTTTGCGACACAGCGTCTGTTTTTAATACATTTTACCAAGAGGCTCGTGGACCATCAATCGCGTGGTTGCTCTTGCGGTTTTGAGGAAGCGGTAGAGCTATCAAGGCGCGTCTGTATTTGTTCCCGTGCCATGATCATGCCGTGATGTAACCATCATCGTGAACCGCCGTATCGGCGCGCCCGTGGCTGAATTCAATTCGTCATCGGCGGTGTCCGTCATCTCCTCACGCCCTGCTGCTTGGCCGGCCCCTCACCGCCAGCATCGCCGGCTGAGCTGCCGTCCTTCTTCTTGGAACCGGCCAGGAAGGCGGCCATGTCGAATTCCCCGAGGGGATTGCCAGCCGCCTGGCCGCCGCCCATCATGGCAGCCACAGGACCGCCCTTGCGTTGCTGCTCCTCGAACTCGGCCTTCATATCGGGGTCCACTGCAAGCGGTTACTGTGAGTCGAGGTACAGAGTGGAAAGAGGGAGGTCAGGGCTCACTGTTCTCCATGAGGTAGGGCATGCCGATGAAGATGATCATGCTGACAGCGCCCATGAGGATCATGGGGTTCTTGAGAATAGTGAGGACAGAGACTGCATTGGTAGAGAGATGCGTTAGTAGAGCACAAGGTCGAAGTGGGTGGTGAACATGGCGACAGCCGAGCGACGTACATCCAGGCCTCTCGAGGAAGTAATTCTTGCCGCCGAGGTGCCGCAGCTCAAAGCCGGCGCCGACGCTGCCATCCCTGACAGGCAACGCCTCGCCCTTGTTCGCCCAGTCGTTGCCGCGAAACGTCTCCCAGGCAGCGACGGTGCCTCCCGGGGCGTCGGGGCCGCCGCCGACATCGATACGGAGGGGGCGAAAGGCCTCGGAGGGGCAGTGGACGTCGGCAAGATAGGAGCCGGGGGTGACGTTATGGAAGACAAAGGTGTTGACGGCCGAGAGGGGCGCCGTGTAGTGGGCGCCGAGCGAGGCGAGCGTTGCGTGGGTGCGGGCGGCGAGGGCGAAAGGGTTGGGCGACGCGGGAAGGTAGAGCGTCACGGAGTGGGACGAGGGCGAGGGCGAGGGAGAGGGCGAGGGCGAGGAGGCGGAGGCGGAGACGCACAGCGCGAAGCTGGCGAGGAGGGCACTGCTGTCGAGGCGCATGGTTGCCGTTTGGCGACACGCAGCTGGCGGTGGATGTGGTGGTGGTGGAGGGACGGGACGGTTGGTTAGAAGAGGAATAAGCTACAAAGTTGGAGTGGGCGGACGAGGCCTGGGAGAGGTTTGGGGCTAGAGTGGAGCGGGCCAATCAGAGGCCACATAAGCTTCGGTACCTTGAAGCTTTCATTTGCTGCCCGTCCTCATTATTCAACAACAGCTCTCATCATCAGTTAAATCTACCAATGACTCCAACTCTACAAGCTGCAGTACCTCCTCTTGGGTATCCCAGCCCTCGGTGGCCTGCACGCACCCGTCATTCGCCGTCCCTCGCCGGCCTCACCTCGTCTAGGGCGCAACTGGCGCCTCGACCTTCTTGTCCCCCTTGTCGACCGAATCGGAGCCCGCGTCTGAGGCCTTGGTCGCTGAGGCAGCCTTGAACGACTGTTCAAAGTCGGCAATGATGTCGTCAATGTGCTCGATGCCCACCGAGATGCGGATCAGGTCCTGCGAAAGCATAAGTCATTGCCCTTGGTACCAGATCCATCTCCCGGCTAAGGAGAACGCACCTCTGTGACGCCCGAGCTGGTCTTTTCCTCGTCGGAAAGCTGCTCGTGGGTCGTTGTCCAGGGGCTACGGCACGTCAGCACGCAAAACTCGCTCGCGACGGCGGCGTAACTCACTGGATGGCGAGCGTCTTGGCATCGCCGACATTGGCCAGGTTGGAGATGAGCTTGAACCCGTCGACGACCTGGCTGCCGGCCGCGCCACCGCCCTTGACGCCGAAGCTCAGCACGCCACCGGATCCCTTCTTGAGATACTTGTTGGCAACCTCGTGGTACGGGTGGCTCTCCAGGCCTGGGTACGAGACCCAGCTCACGTACGGGTTCTTCTCGAGGTACCTCGCCAAGGCCAGCGCGTTTTGGGCGTGGCGCTCGGCGCGCAGGCTGAGCGTCTCGATGCCGAGCAGCAGCTGCTGGGCGGCAAAGGGGTTGAGCGTGGCGCCGAGGTCGCGCAGGGTCTCGACGCGTGCGCGGATGATGAAGGAGATGGCGCCAAACGTGTCCCAGAACTTGAGGCCGTGGTAGCCCTCGGACGGCTCGACGAACTGGGGGAAGCGCTTGCCGTGCTTGCCCCAGTCAAACTTGCCCGAGTCGATGATGACGCCGCCAATGGTGGTGCCGTGGCCGCCGATCCACTTGGTGGCCGAGTGGACGACGATGTCGGCGCCGTGGTCGATGGGGCGAATAAAGTAGCCGCCGGCGCCAAACGTGTTGTCCACGACCAGGGGCACGCCCCGCTCGTGCGCGGCCTTGGCAATGGCCTCGAGGTCGGGCACGTTGTAGCGCGGGTTGCCGATGCTCTCGACATAGACGGCCTTTGTCTTGTCGTCGATGGCGGCGGCAATGTCCTCGGGCTTGTCGCCGTCGACAAACTTTGTGCGGATGCCGAGCCGCGGCAGAAAGACCTTGAACTGGTTGTAGGTGCCGCCGTACAGGTTCGAGGTGGACACGATGTTGTCGCCGGCGTGGGCCAGGGTGGCAATGGCAATGAACTGGGCGCCCTGGCCCGACGAGGCAGCGAGGGCTGCGGCGCCGCCCTCGAGAGCGGCCATGCGCTTCTCGAAGACGTCGACTGTGGGCTGTTTGATGTCAGCGCGAGTCGCCGGGGGGCGGCGCAGAGGCGAGCTCCCTTACGTTCATGATACGGCTGTAGATGTTGCCAAACTCCTTGAGGCCGAAGAGCCTCGCGCCGTGGGCCGAGTCATTGAAGGTGAAGCTCTACGTGAGGGACGTCGGGTCAGCTTCATTGGACTTGTCCCGCTTGTTTCTCGACGCAGGCAAGGGCGCCAGGAGTCATACCGTGGTTGCGTAGATGGGCACCGCTCGTGCCTTTGTTGTAGGGTCGGGTTCGGCGCTGGGGCACCATGGTCAGCTTGGAATGTCTCTTGTCGTGATGCCCAACGCCGACTTACCCCGCGTGGAGCTGAAGCGTCTCAAAGTTGGTGCCGAGATCGGGCGACATGCTGGGCGGTTGAGCACTTGGTGGATTGATCAAAGAGGGCAAGTGAGGGCAATGATGAGGTCGGAGTCAATGGCAGCAAGCTGTCAATTGGAGGGGAAGAAGAGCTGAAGGATGGCGAGAAGGACGTTGCTATGTAACTCGCCCCCCAACGCAGTCTCTACATGCAATGACACTCTGCGACGCAGAGCTTGATGCCCATCATGTGGGGGGAGGGGGTAGAAAAGGGCCCTGCTTTTCGATCACGCCATCGAGCTGGGCCCAGCCCGCGCTCGTGTCATCGCCGGCTCGTCTTGCCTGTGGACAGCGTGGGCAGCCACTGTCCCCGTGGGCTGGAATATGAGGGCAGCTCGCCTGGAAGAGTGGAGGAGGGATGGGGGATTTTAGCCGGGCGCTGTCGGTTGGGCTGCTGTTGCTTTTGGGGTTGCACCAGGAACGGCGTCGGGTATGCATGCGTTTTATGTTACATGGCGGTGCTGTATGGTTACCCCGGGCATGCTGGGATGATGAAAGATGAAGACCGGAGGGAAAAGACGACATGGCATGCCTTGGTGGAGGGAGAAGGCAAGTCTTTGCCCGCATCCTCTTGGCAAGCGCCGGTTATAAACCTCATAGCGGCGGTATGAAAAGTCGACATGCCCAGCCCCCGATTTGTAGGGACGACGTTGAGAAATAGAAACGGAAGCATGTCCGGAGTTCGGGCGATGGAGATGCCCGAGGGCCCGCGCGATAGCCCGACCCAGCCGGGGGTTCGGTCCGGGCCGGGGCTCGGATCCGGCCCGGCATGGCCCCGTCCCCCCCGGCACACATCTACTCAAGCGACCGGCCCCTCTCGCGATGGTGACACCAATCAAGGTCCGGTCTGGTCGCCCGCTCGGCGCGGCAGGATGCACGAGCTGGCCCATAGGTGTGAGAGCAAGGCGTTTCGGATCTCAGACACCTGACGTCAACAACGTACCAGTCAAATTTACCAATTTTTCCTCACGTCTTTTCTTTCAGTTACTTACAAACTTGGTCGGCAGGAATCAAAAGACCGTGCAGTGGTAATTACTGTACGCGACGAAAAGGGGAACCCAAACATCTAAAATTAGGGGTGGGTGTTTTCTCTCTAGCTGAGCATGCTTCCCGTTTCACCCCCTGGACCCCTTTGTCGTGCGCCTCTCTATTCCCGCCATGTCCCGCCATGTCGCCGCATGGAGCTGCCCGCCTGTCCAAGTCGCTGTTGTGGCCGTCAACAACCCGCGCCCATGTCACCCAAGAAATGCTGCTGGTCGAATATACCTCGTGCAAGTAAGTACACGAGAGGTTGGGAGTGCGTCGCGTCCTTCTCCCTTTGCCAACCTCTCTCTCTGCCCGTTTCATGCTGCGCCTCGGCCTCTTCTGCTGCCTCGCCGACGCCCGTCTCCCAGTTCAAGCATCCTGCATCTGCATCGCCTTGGTGTTGTTGGCATGGTCGGCGCCCGACTTGCGCACGCCCGTCATGAACATTTGCTTGGCGGTGAGGATGGTCGAGGCACTCCAGGCGCAAAAGGCGGCGGCAGCAATGATGGAGTCGACGCGACCGACGGTGCAGACGGTGCCGCGGCACATGGCGAGCCCGCCGAGGAAGACGGCGTGGGCGATGAAGGCGGCAAAGTAGAAGAGGGCGTTGCAGGCCTCGACGCTCATGCAGCCGTAGGGGTGGGCGGCGCGCGGGCACAGGCGCGGCGCGAGCTCGAGGTAGAGGAGCGAGAGGACGGAAAAGGACGAGGCGAAGACGAGGAAGTTGAGCGAGGCGGGTGAGCCGCGGCGGGTGGTGACGAGATACCAGTGGACGACTGGGCGCAGTGTTATTAGACTCGGTTCTTCTCTTGACCCTTTCCTCATTTTGCGACTTGTTCCTTGCAAAGAGAGTAACGAAAGAAAGAGGTAAACGTACCATATGCCGAGAGCCCGAGATTGGCGGCGGCCAGGAGGCCCTGGAAGACGCGAAGAGAGACGATGGACGTTCGACCCATGGCTGCGATTCAACTAAACGAGTGTAGCAAAGGCGAGGAAGCCCGACAATGAGAAAACCCGGGTATCAGATTCAAGCAGGAGGCACGGAAGCGAGCGTAAGAGGAAAGGGAAGCAAAAGTAGACGACAGGTGCACGGGCGAGCGGCGGCCGATAGCTTCTATGTATACTGGGCAAGAAGCAGGCTGGCCGAGGGGGACAAGACTAGCCACGTTTCGAGGGAGGGAGAAATAATACGAGGCGCAAGTCAAAAGAAGAGCGTGTGCGTGAGGAAGAGAAAAGGGAGGCGGCGAGTTGGTTGGGGTCAGGAAGGGAGGGTGGCTAACTAACTAGATGGCGGGAGGGGAGAGTCATGGAGGCGGAATGAAGGGTTATGCCGTCGCGCGCATTTCCCGCTTCTGGCTCTCTCTCTCTCTCTTCCTCTGGCCCCGGACTGAGACGCCCGAGGGATTGCTCTGAAACGGTCGAGCGACCGGGGGGCGGGGGAGGGGGGGCAAAGACGACGGCAGTAAAAGAGTCGAGAATCAAGACAAAAGACAGACACGCGTAAATAAGGAGAAAGAGAATGGCCGCGGCGGAGCCTCATAAAGAAAGTCGTAAAGAGAGAGACGGACGGACGGACCCCTAATGGATCTTTGCCTGTCCATTATCCGTTATGCCTTGACTTATACCGCATGGATGATCGACATTCGATCAATCTTGCCGCGGGCTTTTAAAGGCAGATCCTTGCTCGGACCAAGACCGTCTGTACGGATACAGTAGTCCGGTTTTCTCCCTCTCTACTTTTCTCTTTATTTTTTGACCTCACGAGCACGAGTCTCTGGGCGTGATGGCTTCGTCGGATGGAGAGGGAGAAAGGCGCCATGACGAGAGGCGAAGTGTCAAACGGCGGGGGAGGCAGACGGAGGGAGAGAGATGAACGAATGTCTCTGCTTGCCCTCTTGCAGGACAGCACAGTGCTGTTCAAGTGTTCAAGTGTTCAAGGAAAGGGAGCGGCCCCGCTGTTAGTGCAGCAGCAAGGAGTGATGATGTGCTGCCTGTTGCGGTTGGACTATTACGTTTTTACAGCACAGCGGATAATTACGGGTCTGCTGGCTGAAGCTGCGGGTGCACTCAATCCACAGGTACGAATAAGTTACTCGGAAACAGAGTTCGAGAGCCCACGAGGGAGGGCGCTCTCCGGCCGCGACTTGGCCGCCTCGGCTTGGCATGCGCCCATGCGTGGCTGTCGCGAGAGAAGAAGGGTCGCCCTTGCGGCTGTCTCGGCCGAATTGCAGTTGTGTCGTTGGTGACGACATGTATGTATATACCTTTATGTATGTATATATTGTGTACGTAGTATGCATGTGCCGAGGATGATGCCCCACCCGTCCGGCCGTAGTTATGGTTTGCCAAAAATGATCAGATGGGTGCCAGATAGATAGATAGGTGCAGATACCTACCGGTAGATGGGTGTAGATAGATGGGTGCAGATAGATGGGTGCAGATAGATGGGTGCAGATAGATGGGGTGCTTCCCACAAGATCTAGGTACAACCTACCTAGGTATTAATCTCTCTTGATATGCGTACGTACCTCGTGTAACATTTGCAGGCACGGAGTCGGAGCATTTCCATGCAAGGCACCGATACGGGGTATCTGCATGGCCGTACGGGGTATTCGCATGTGCTGTGCACTGTACGCGTCGGAGCCATTCCTCTCCTGGACTCACCCGACATTGGCCGCTGGACCTCGGCTAGGGGCCCAGCACATGTACGTACTGTACCGACCGGACTGCACTGTAGCGCGCTGTAGAGTCCACTAAGATGGATGGACGGGCCGCCTGCCGCACATCTATCTCTTGGGCGCTCCATTCCCCTCTTCCTCTTCCTCCTCCTCCTCCTCCTCCTCCTCCTCCTCCTCCTCCTCCTCCTCCGCCGCCGCCGCCTCCTCCTCCTCTCTCTTCTCCCTCGCCATCTGCAGCCGCCTGCTGCTCTGCTAGCATCCTCTCCATCCTCCCTTGCACACCAGCAAGCGTCGCCTGGCCCCGCCTTTCTCGCCATTGATCCCGAGACACCCTGTCCAATCACCGCCGGCCTTTTCGCCTCGCCTTTTCCCCTTCTTCTTCACCCTGCCGCCTCGTTAATCGACTCCCTTGCTCTTGTGCCACCCCGTCTGCTTCTCTGCCTTTGTGCTTGTGACAGCCCTTCCTTTGTGGCTCTGCCGTTCACCCCGCCAATCCCCCCCCCCCAGACAAAGACTCAGATCCGGAACACAATGACGTCCGCATCCGCCAAACTCTCGGCCGCCGATGTCCAGCAGCTCGGCGCGCCTCCTGCCCCGGGCTCGCCCTATGGCCTCCCCGTCCCTGGCTCCGAGCGCCCGGGCCGCTCTGCCGTCTACCGCCATCACCGCTTTCGCGACGCGCCTCTCCTCGCCACGTTGGACCCGGACGTGCGCTCCATGCACCACGTCTTCGAAAGCACCGTCCGCCGCCGCCCCAATAAGCGCTGCCTCGGCTCCCGCCCCTGGGTCCCTTCCACCAAGTCCTGGGGCGATCACTTCGACTGGCTCACCTACGCCGACGTCGCCCAGCGCCGCAAGGACTTTGGCGCCGGCCTCGTCGAGATCCACCACCGCGCCGGCTATCCCAAGGACAAGTACGGCGTCGGCCTCTGGGCCCAGAACCGCCCCGAGTGGCACATCACCGGTACGACCCCCCCTCTCTCTCCCTCCTCCCCCATCTCTGTTTGCCCGCTGACCCTGCTCTAGACCTCGCCCTCGCCTCCCAGTCCCTCTACACCGTCTCTCTCTACGAGACGCTCGGCCCCGACGCCACCGAGTACATCATCAACCACGCAGAGCTGGCTTGCGTCGTCTGCTCCCTGCCTCACGTCCCCGTCCTGCTCAAGCTCGCCCCCCGCCTGCCCACGCTCAAGCTCATCGTCTCGCTCGACCCCCTCGACCATGGCGAGCTCAACACCCACACAAAGGCAGCCGTCCTCAACCAAATGGCCTCGCAGCATGGCCTCCAGGTCTTCTCGATGCAGCAGGTTGAGGAGCTCGGTGCCACCTGCGGCCGGCCCATGCGCCCTGCCGACTGGGACGACATCTCCACCATCAACTACACCTCGGGCACCACCGGCCCCCCCAAGGGCGTCGTCCTCACCCACGGCAACGCCGTCTCTGCCAACTCAAGCTCCCGCCTGAGCTGCAACATCTCTCCCTCCGACGTCCACCTCTCCTACCTACCCCTCGCCCACATCTACGGCCGTCTTGTCGACCAGACCGCTCTAGCCGAGGGCGCCGCGCTCGGCTTCTTCCGAGGCGACATCCTCGGCCTCGTCGACGACATGAAGATTCTCCAGCCCACCGGCTTCATCTCGGTGCCGCGTCTCTTCAACCGCTTCAACTCGGCAATCCGCACCGCCACCCTCGACGCCGACGGCATCCGCGGTGCCCTGTCGAGACACGTCATCAACACCAAAAAGGCCAACATGCGCGCGCCTCCCGGCAAGGCCTCAAACAAGCATCTCCTCTACGACAGGATATGGACGCCCAAGGTCAAGGCCGCCGTTGGCCTCTCTAGGGTCCACAGCATGGTTAGCGGCAGCGCCCAGCTGGACCCGGACGTGCAAGAGTTCCTCCGCGCCGCCTTCGCCGCCACCTTTGTCCAGGGTTGGGGCATGACGGAGACGTACGCCGTCGGCACCCTGCAGTTGAACGACGACTTCTCCCTCGGTAATGTCGGCGCGCCCATGGGCTGCGTCGAAGCCTGCCTCGAGTCGGTCCCCGAGTTCGAGTACTCGGTCGACGACAAGCCCAACCCCCGGGGCGAGCTGCTCGTCCGCGGGCCCAGCATCTTCCGCGAGTACTACAAGAACGACGACGAGACCAAGAAGAGCATGGATCCCGACGGCTGGTTCCACACGGGCGACATTGCCGAGGTGGACAGCATGGGCCGCTTCAAGATCATTGACCGCAAGAAGAACGTCTTGAAGCTGTCGCAGGGCGAATACATTTCCCCCGAGCGCATCGAGAACGTCTACGCCGGCAGCACCAATCTGGTTGCTACGGCCTTTGTCCACGGCGACTCCAAGGAGTCGAGCCTCGTTGCCATCTTCGGCGTCGATCCCGAAAACTTCCCCCCCTTTGCCAGCAAGGTGCTCAACGAGACCGTCCCCGCCGGCGATGCCGAGACGCTTAAGAAGGCGGCCGCGAGTCCCGCAGTCAGGAAGGCCTTTCTCAAGGTCCTCGACGACATTGGCCGTCGGCAAAAGTTCAACAGCTATGAAAAGGTCCGCAACGTGCACCTGGACGTTGACCCGTTTACGATTGAGAATGACCTTCTCACGCCCACGTAAGTCGCCCCTTCGGAATCGGCTGCTATCACGGCCGCATGCTAATCCGTGGTGTTTTGCAGCCTGAAACTCAAGAGGCCTCAGGCCGCAAAGGCCTTCCGCGCCCATATTGACCGCATGTACGAGGAGATGAAGGCGGAGACGCCGGCCCGCGTTGCCAAGCTGTAAAACAGGTTTGGCCGTGTCGGGGGGGTCGCGCGGCGGCTTGTTGCTTTTCACTTGGATTGGTGCTCTCTGTTGCGCGCTGCCCTGGTTGAGTAGTACATATTCCACAGCTATGGGGAAATGGTCCTTGTCATGTATAGAAGTGTTAATACCTCCGACTGGCTTCAAGACAGACTAAATGTACTCGGGGATCCACTCAGCTCTGTCAAGTGAGGATGGGGCGTGTATTGAGCGTTAAGCAAAGCTTATTATGATTGGGCAAGTATTAAGCTAGAGGCGAATTAATCTTGGTTCCCCCTCAGCCCTATCGATAATACTGAGAGGAGGCTTATATACTAGCGGCCTGTCTCTGGAATGGGGAAGACGGCAGTTGACGAAGTGGTTTTGAGAGTGCTGTACTTTAAACCACCATGCCAAAGGGCATAAATGATGCATTCAAGCTTCCAGGTATATTTACAAGAGAAAGTAGACTCAGATTCGTGGAATGCGGCTTTCTAGGTCCTCTAGGAGAAAAGTGAAAAGAGCCCGGAACCCTCTTCGGCCACTGAAAATTTATTAATGATGCACACGTGTATTGTCTTATGTCTAGCCGAGTAAATCGATCGGACAATAGGTGCCTAGGGTCGTTGTTCCTTGATTGAGCTCTGCTAGCCGCGGGTTATAGCAGCTGATGCCCTCCAAGACAACGCATGTCCACGGAAGAGCGTAAGCCCCCGCGACATGACAATGGGAATGAAAAGTAGGAATAACTAAGCTTAATATTAATCCTATTTATTACCTATACCACTTGCTCATTAAACAAACGGATTTCTAATATCTATATCCTAGCTAAGATACTTATTTAGAGAGAAGAAAAGTCTATATTTAATCTCCTTAAAGTAAGAGTATACGCTTATTGCTAATATCTTAGGAGATAAGGCGGGAGCTCTATTATTCTTCTAAGTAAGGCTTAAGGGAGATTCTAAGTTTTTAGGTAATAAATTTATTTATATATAAAGCTAATAAAGTAAGAAAGATAATAATAATACTATATAAAGTAAATATTAAGAGAAGAGTATTATATTAAGTAAAGTTAAGTATTTTTAAATGAGTATTACTATTCGGCTAAGTAGAAATCTCTATTCGACTAAGAGTCTCTTAAAAGTCCCCTCTTTTAACTAGTCGCTTTATATCTTAGTTATTATAGAGAAATCTTAAGTATCTTTAAGTACTCGTCTTATACGTCGCGCTCACCTCGCGCGGGGGATAAACCCCCACAGTAGGGCCCCTCCCTAAGAGGGACCCCTCCCCTACTAGCTCGGGCGCTCGAGTACGCTATTTCGTAGTTAGAGCTATCTTTAGGGGTTTTAAGGATTTTGTGTTAAAGGAATAGTAAAAGGATGGGATTAATAAGGGACATTAAGGCACCCCGTTATTTAGCTAGTATTGGCCGAATAGAGATTTCTACTTAGCCGAATAGTAATACTCTTTAGAAATATATAAACGGCTAAATTCTTAACTTATTTACCCGACGGTATAATAATATTCCGATGCTTACCTAATCTTAACTGACTCCTCGACGCGGCTGGCTAGAGCTAATCTTAAAAACGACCCTCTTCTAATTAATTACTAAATGACCTTACGAGATGCGTATGATGCGGTAAGGAGCCCACCTTTTACCTAAAGACGCGTTTACACGATAGCCTCGTGCTTTGGAAGCCCGCGAGAACCTTTCCAAGGCCGGTGTTGCGTGCACGCCGGAGCTGCGCGTGCCGGCGGCCCCATGAGCACCGCGCTTACCGCCACCCTTCCCAGGGCCGTCATTGACCTCACAGGCGACGCCGCAACGCCTCCTCGTCGAGGCTCGTTGCGACCACCGCCGCCGCCGCAGCAGCAGCAGGGCCAGATCGTCAACGGCGGACGACGGGCTCCGTGCGACGAGCCGCCTGCCAAGCGACGGCGTTCCGAGCATGGGGCCTCTGGCAGGCGAAGTCTCAGGGCCTGCGTCCAGGAGCAGATCCTCCCCCACGTCGTCCAGGCGGTCGAGTGCCTCTCGAGGGAGCAATATCGCGTTGATGATATCGCCGTTCAGGTACGAGTTTTTGCCTCTGATGCTGGGGCGAGTGCTAACGTGGCGCGTTAGACCGTTGCAGCCCTTGCTAGGAGCTCGGCGTTTCGCATTGTCGTCGACGAGGCCCACGCGTCACCACTGCCGCTGCCCCAGGCTCAAGCGGCCATTGCCACGTCCAGTATCATCAACAAGTTGAAAGCGTTGCCGGTAAGGGTTACTCCGCGCTGTCGGGGCAAGGAGAAGAGGTGGCTAATCGTTACCGCGCAAAGCAATACCGGATCCGCCCCCTGAGCTTCATAGGCAGAGAAGCCACACACAAAGCCGCGAGGCCGAAGCCCTTGGTTGCCCAGCCAAACGCGCCTCGCGGCGGGTCGTGCGGCATCCCCAAGCCGCGCGCTCAAAATGCCCTGCAGGCACGCAGGCGTACGCGCGGGCAACCCACAGAGCCTTGGACAGGTGCAAAGTGGTTTCGGCTCGGGACGCGGCCCTATCTGCCCGCCACCGAACGGGACTTGGTTGCCCAGGGGGCCAGGCATCCCATTCGTCCGCCCCATGGCGTCCTCGAGTGGCCATTTGTCTACCATGTGGACTTTACACAAGACGAAATCGGCCAGATCTTCGCCCGCCTATCCGAGTGCCTCCTGGCCGACGTCCCCCGGACCATCGACTTCCTCACGGTGCTCTGCTATGAGCACAACGTGGCCTCTATCGTCGGTGATGCCATCCAGGGTCGAAGTGGTGAGGATCTGCGCAACTTTTGCTCCGACCTGATGGCAGGCCGAGCGGCTGCTCCGGACAAGATCAAAGTGCTATCACTAGATCAGGACCTTCATGAACAGCGGAGGGAGAATCGACGCGTCAGCCGCATCCCGTCGCTGCTCCTGGCGCGGGAGCTCGAGGGCAACGCTCGGTTCGGACGCTCCAGGCGGTTCGAAAACTTCCAGAACGAGTTCAAAAAGGCTGACGAGGATGGCTTGGCTGTCATTGCCGAGTTCACAAACTGCGCTGGCGATCTCTCCGCCATGTCGTGGGTCCCTGACGGCAACATACTGTGCGGCACCACGGCCCATTCTGACTCGCATAACCAACAGTACAACAAGCTGGGCAACCTGCTGCTCTGCTCGACGTCGCGCGGCACGCTTCGCGCCTTTGCCGACCACCGCATCCCGCGGCCGTTGGTTGAAAGCGGGGAGAACTCGACCGAGGCCATGCGCCGCAGCCAGGACCCGTGGCTCTACACGTCGGTCGTCTCCTCCGACTACGACGAGGTACACGGACGGGCCTTTACCTCCGGCTTCGACAGGACGGTCAAAGTGTGGGCCATTTCACAGGATGGCGACTCCATGGAGGCGATGGCCACCTGGCACCACGGCGGCAACGTCAACTTTGTGGCGGCCGCCAAGGATGGCTCCGGGCGCGTCGCCTCGGCGGCCGATGTCCCGTCCGAAGCGGTCCGCGTCTACACGGTCCGCGCAGATGACGTGGGCCAGAGCCCCTATCAAGCCATCTCGTGCTCGCGGACAGACGCCGCTGGATCGGTCAAGTGGGCGTACTTCCCGGCCACGATGCAGTGGGGGCGCGCGCCTGGGACCACTCACTTCCTCATCGTCGGCTACTCGCCGCGGAGCCTCACCAACGACGACCAAGACATTCCCGAGGACAAGAGAAACTCGGGGGAAATTATGCTGTGGGATGCCGCTCGGGGCTGCCGGAGATCCGTCATGACGGCCACGACGGCCAACGTCTTCGAGGTGGCATGGCACCCGACGCTGCAGCGCTTCATCGTCGCCACGTCTCCCTCCGGGCTCAGCGTGGAGCACGGCGTCTGCACCCAGATCCACCTCTTCCAGCTCGACCGCGAGCGGCAGGACGGCGCCTACCACGAGTTCCAGAAGCTCGACTGCCCCGCGGCCGACATCAACGAGCTCACCTTAGTGCCCAACTCGCTGCGCCACGCCTACGTCACGGCGGCATGCACCGACGGCAACGTCTACGTCTGGGACACGGCCCAGGGAGACGATCCCATCCACATACTCAAGCACGGCTACCCCCTCGACGACTTTTCGTACGACCGCGAGAAGGAGGACACGGGCGTCAAGTTTACCGCCTGGGGCTCGACGCTCGACCGGCTGTATACGGGCTCCAGCGACGGCGTCGTCAAGGTGTGGAACGTGCGGAACCGGCACAACCCCTTTGTGCGGCACCTGCTCGAGGCGCCGGGGCCAATCTCCATCGGCGCCTTTTCGCCAGACCATTCCAAGCTGGCCATTGGCGATGCCACCGGGCGTCTGTTCCTGCTCTCGGTCGACAAGCGCGACGAGCACGAGGCGCACTTTGTGACGCTGCCCGGGTCTAATCGTCGGGTTCGACGTCCGACGCCGTTTATCCCGCACCCGGAACCGCCGCCGCCCCAAACGAAGAGCAACGACCCGGATGATATGCAGGTGGACGGCGAGGACGACGACGTGGACGACGACGAGGCGGCGGAACACTCCATTGCCGTGTACACTCGCCAGGCCTACCTCGACTCGGGCCAGCTCGTTCTTCACCCCAACCCCGTCGTCGGCGCCGTCCAAGGGCCCGAGTACGCGTCGACGGGCCTCTTCCGACCCGACGCGCACCTCGACGAGGACCCCGCGCGCCCGCTCCTGACCGAGTTCCAGCGGCTCCAGCGCCAGAGCCTGGACGCCAGCCACGGGAAGCGTCGCCGCTCGGAAAGGCGCCTCAAGAACCCCCCCCCTCTTGCCGCCGACGCCGACGAGGCGCAGCACGCGGCCAACTGCGCGCTGGACTTCGAGGGCCTGCGGTGGGACTTTGCCGACTTGTGGGAGCTGCTGGGGGACGGGGCCGTCATGTCCGACGATGGCGAGGATTGGGGGTTTGCGTACGAGGATGGGCCTGCGGGCGAGAGTGAGGGCGAGTGAGGGAGGGGCCGTGACTACTTTGCTGCAATGTACGACTTGGACGACTTCGTCTACTACCTCATCTTTCAAGCCTGATTTTTTTGGTCACCATAGCGATAGATATTGAAGGTGATTTCAAATAAAACAGCAGAGCAAGCCTCCTCACACACACACAAAGTCCGGCGATATCCCAACATCCTCCTCTCTTTCCTTCCCCTCTGTATCTGCCAGCCCAGCAGAACATATATGCGCCTCCCCCCCTCCCCTTCCTTCCTTTTAGACAGTCCGAGTCCTAGGCCAGCGCAGCAGCACCGCGGCCGCAACGACGGGCAAGACGCTGACGAGCTCGCCGAGCCCCGCGTACTGCGGCGGGACACGGGCGCGGACGAGGGCGCCGGCGGCGAGGAGCACGGCGAGGGCGTTGTAGACGAAGCTCCAGGCAAAGTTGAAGCGGATGCGGGCGACGGCGCGGCGGCTGAGGCCCATGGCGGCGACGAGGCCGCGCAGCGGGTCGCGGCGCAGCAGCAGCACGTCGGCGGCGCACTGCGCCACGTCGCTGCCGCCGCCCCGGTTGACGTGCACGCCGACGGTGGCCTGGGCGAGGGCGACGGCGTCGTTGGTGCCGTCGCCGCAGAAGACGACGACGCGCCGCTGCCTCGTCTTGGGGGGCGAGTCGGCGCTGTCGTCCAGGAGGGCCTTGACGTAGACTTGCTTGTCGCCGGGGGAGCTGCGCGCGCGAACGCGTTCGGCGGGGATGCCGAGCTTCGTCGCCACGCGCTGCACGGCGCCGTCGTCGTCGCCGGAAACCAGATGGACCGCGATGCCGCGGCTCTGCAGCGTCTCGACTGCCTCGGCGGCATCGGCGCGGAGCGAGTCCTCGAGGCCGTAGATGGCGGCCAGGTCGCTGTCGATGGTAAAGCAGAACACGGTGTAGCCTTGCGCCAGCATCTGCCCGACGGCGGCGTGTGAGGACACACCGACCCATCGCGAGTTGCCGGCACGGAGCGTCTGTCCGCCCACTTTGGCCTCCAGGCCTCGCCCCGCAAGGCTCTTGACCTCGGGCGAGGAAGGCGCCACGACCCCCTTGCTCCTCAGGTGGCCAGCCACGGCCTCGGAGACTGGGTGCCTGCTGTGGGCAACCAAGCCCAGGAGGAGAGGCAGCGAGGCCTGGTCGTCCCCTGGGTGGTGCTCGGCTGTCACACTGAGCTTGCCTTGCGTCAGTGTCCCCGTCTTGTCGAAGATGACGTGGGATGCCTTGTAGGTGAGTTCGATGGCCTCGGCCGCCTTGAAGATGATGCCTCGTTCTGCGGCTATTCCGCTCGCAATGACCACGACCATCGGCACGGCGAGCCCAATGGCACAGGGGCAGGAGACGATGAGGACCGTGATGGCGTAGGTAATCGCTTGGATGGTCGCCTCGGAGCCCGTCTTTCCACCGCTGGTGACTCCAATCGAGACCCAGGTGACAAACGTGACGATGGCTAGGGCCACGACGACCGGCACGAACAAGGACGCCACCTGATCAGCGAGTTGTTGCATCCTGGGCTTGGAAAGCTTGGCCTCGTCGACCATGGCAGCGATGGTGTCGATGGTGTTGTCGCCAGGGAGGCGAGTGGCGCGGATAACCAGCATCCCGGAGCCGTTGATGGTCCCGGCAATGACGGGCGACTTGGCATGCTTCTCGACAGGACGGTGTTCCCCTGTAATCAACGACTCATCGACTTCAGACGATCCCGTGACAACGGTCCCGTCCGTCGGGATCCGCGAATCGGGAAGGACCTTGAACAGGTCGCCAAACTGAAGGAGTCTCGCGTCAATTTGGCGCTCGCCCGCGGTGTCGGCATCGTTGATGAGGAGGGCGCTCTGGGCCTGGAGGGAGCGGATGGAAATGGACTCAACCGCCTTCTGGCGGGCGAGTGCTGCGATATACCGCCCGACCATGATGAGGGTAACGAGGAGAGTGCTCGTCTCGAAAAACTGGCCCGTGGAAAGCGGTTTGCCTGCGACGAGGTAGCCGAAGGAGACGACGGAGAAGATATAGGCCGCACTTGTGCTCAGCACAATGAGCAGGTCCATCTCAACCACCCTGGAAAATACCAGGGCCTTGAGCGCCTTCGGATAAAAGGGCCCCGCGACAAAGACTTGAACACCGGTGGCCAGGGCTAGTGATGCCGAGCTATAGGCGATTTCCCGCTCAGGCAGCGGGGCCCACGCCATGACCAGGACTGGGACGGTGAGAAGGGACGAGAGGATTGTCATGGAGCCGACGTGGCGAACATGCTTGCTTCCAGCCTCGAGCGAAGGGTCGCCGTGGACCGGAGCAAGGCTCACGCCCTGGTCCCAGGGGGCCGTGAGGAGCTGTCGAGCCCCAATGACGGCTGGGTCAAAGGTGACCCTTACAATGTTCTTGTCGACCCGGGATATGTCAATGACGCCCTCGGGCCAGGCCTGGTTGATGAAGCTTGATGCATCTCCAGCCACGAGCATGTCCAGGCTCGATCCACGAGTGGCGATTCTCTCGCACTTGAACTCAGTGGTTCGTTCAAGATGCTTCACGACGTCGTTGGCAGTGACGAAGCAGAGGTCAACATCAAACTCGGCCCGTGAGAGAACCAAGCTCGTTTTCAGGTTTCTGACGCCACTCACGGTTGCAAGCGTTCGGTTGAGCTTCGTCTCGCAGCCGGTGCATGTCATGCCCGAGATGCAGAGGACGACGTGCTCCTCGCCGATGGCCTGATTCTCAGGATCCCCCGTGGCGGATCTTGGCCTCGTATCCTTTTGCTGGATCGTCGCTGACTTGCCGGTTTTGCACAGAGAGGTGGCTGTGACATTGAAGGGTGCTTTCTCGGCAGCGCAGCAGGAATCAGCACAGCCGACACTCCCATGCACGGCCTTGGTCGTCTCGCAGCAGGAACCTCCCGTGCAGGCCGCAGAGGCAGATTCTCGGTCTCCACACAAGCCGGCGCCTTTGCGGGCCCGGACTCGACTCGTCCCAGCTCTGCCGCTGGCACAGCACGAATCCTCCGACGAGCGCGCCAGGGACCGAGTAGAGGACCTTTGGGAGGCCGACCTCGCCTCTCCCGAGGGGCGCTTTCGGGCCTCGCAGCACGAGTCCTGTCCAAGGGCCAGGAGGGCACGGCAGATACAGCCCAAGGCCTCGAGCGTGGCACCGTAGCGCTCCCGCGTAGACTTTCGGTGGCCATCGCATGCAGTTTCCGAGCAGGTCGCCCTTGGCTGAAGGCAAGACTCTATACAAGCAATTGTTAGCCCGTGGGGGCTCGAGGGATACGAGCGGTCAAACTTGCCCTTGTCTTCCTTGTCAACGCAGCTGGTAGTGAGACGTGTCTTGCACTCTCGAAGTGCCAGGCGTTCGAGGCACGAGTCGTCACAGCAGGGAGACGACTTGCCACGGCAGCAATCCGGCGCATCAGAGTCGGTCTTGAATGAAACCTTGGTGGGCGAATCATCGCAGCAGCCGTCGGCAGGCTTTGCATCGGGCACCCGGCCGCATTGGTTTTCGCCGTCGGTGCCTTGGCAGCAGCCGTCGGTCTCGTCGTCGGCATGGTCTCGAGACTTGGTGCCGCCGCAGCAATCCTCCCCATCAGCCTCATCCTGGTCGTCGACTCCGCGGGTGCTGGGTCCATCGTCCATCCTGTTGGCTGGCCATCCATTCGTCGCTGACTCCCGAGGAGGCGTGGGTGGTCCACAGCAAGAAAGTGCCATGATGATTGAAAACCCCGTAACAAATCCTTTGCTCTCTTGTATTCTGTAGAGTGCAGACAAGAGACGCAGGACTGCTGCGGGAGGAGAGGGTTGGCTCGTTTCGAACCCGCCTTGGCTCCGAATGAGGTAAGCCGGAAAAGGCACTCACGATGCCAGCTGAGGGGAAACAGTTGGACCAACCAAAAAGCAAGTCCACATCGGCCACTCTGGCTAGAATCGTCACGCTGTCGCTTTCTTTTGGCCAGTCGGAATACTCGCCTTATTGCCTAGGCCCAGACACTGAACACTGCACTGGACAAGACTTGCAACTCCGTCTATATTTGTTGCTCCATAGCGCACGACGAGCCCGTCTGGTCACGCTGACAGCATCCCCAGACAGCAATCCGAGCCCCACGACCCTGGGTCTCCTAGTCACCCAGGTGAACTGCAAGTACGCCGCGTCCAGACCCAAGCCCGCCTGTCCCCCATCCAATAGGAACATCACATCATATAGCACAACAGCAGATTCGCCCGTGCCCGTAGCCATGAAAAACGCCGCCTAATGCTTCGCCGTGACGGTCTCGCCGGTCAAGTTTTCAACATACGTTTTCGCCCTGCGCGACTTGTCAGTGGATTGCCGATGCTTGGGAAGCAGAGGAGGGACCAACATGTCACCAATTGCCACCATGCAAATGGTTTGCCAGACACCGAGGCCGATTCGCGGCGCCACGCCGCGGTAAAGGCCCCTCACGCCGTTGTTGGAGTAGATGTACTTGAAAGTGTTGCCGACCGTCATCTTCTTGGGTCGGTTGGGATCCTCTTTCTTGCTCTGCATCTCGACGCGAATGACCTCAATGGGCTGGTTCCAGGCGCTGAGACCACCTCCGAGGCCGCTGGCCAGGATCTTCTCCCAGGCCGACAGCTTCTCGTTCTTGCTCTTGCCCGTGGCACTGCGGATCCAGCCCTCGGCCAGGCGGCTGAGACCGAAGCGGCTGCCCCAGTTGGTCATCTGGCGGATGGCGACGGCATTGACACCCTTGTTGATGCCGCGGATGCCCTCCTTGCGGTAAATGTCCATGAAGGTGTGAAAGGTCGACGTCGGCTGAACACCGGCGGCAGCCATCTTGTGCTTTGTGATCTCAACCGTCTTCATGCAGGTGCAGAAGCCCATGGTGGCATAGGCCTGCGCGACACCGCCGGTGATGCCGCCAAGGATGCCGCCGCCAAACTCCGAGGCGCCTGCCGCCCGAGCATAGTATTCGGCCTCGGACGCGACGAAGAGGAGGACAGCGCCCTTGGTCGAGGCTTCGATCCAAGCCCAAGGGATGAGGCCCTGGTAGACTGCGAGGATTGCGCACGTCAGCATGCGGCGCGACAAGAGGACCAAGCGGTACAACTTACAGCCGAGGACTCCGCCTCGAGACCAGATGCGTCCCAAAGCCGTGCCAAAGCCATCACCGCGGTGAGCGGCCATGGTGGTCTTGACAACCTCAAGGGGCTGGCCGAGGGTGGTGACCTCGAACATGTTGAGGCCGGCGCCGAGTAGCAAGTTGGAGAACTTAATGGGCTTCTTCTCCAGCTTCTGGTCCCCCACGGGGCCGGGAAGGGTGGCGGTCGCGACCATGGCTTTGGAATTACTGCAAGCGGGGGGGCCCTGACCAAGGGAAAAGGATGCTTCTTCGCGGGGAAAAGGGGGTTTGCTGAGTGAGAAAGAAGGCAGGAGACGACGTTCGGCGAAGGACGGTGACAACAGTCAAGGGCTTTTTGGCTGAGTCAGGCGGAGGCGTTCCTGATCACCAGCGGGGAATTGGGAAGCCGGGGGAGATGGGGAAAGCTCACCAGGACAGGGAGGGATGACGGGTTGGCGCCGGATGCTTTTCCAATGTCAACTGGCCGAGGCTGTTCGTCCGTATGTGTCCGGAGCAAGAGGCTCGAAGGGGTGCGAGAGAGCCGGTCGCGTCGCACGTGCCCACTCGAGGGGAGCTGCGCTGCGCGAGGTACGTACCTTTTTGGGTGATAAGGCCAAGTGCCCTGCTGAACAGGTACGTACTACTGTAGTGACAGGGGGGGAGCTGTTGCTTGCTTCGTGCCCCTGTAAGGTACAGAGTGCAGTACCTGAAGATACTTGATTCAGCTGCCAGCCAAGGTGCCTTGCATTGTAGCAAAGGTTCTGATGTCTTGATGTTGGCTCGGCCCGAACAGAGTACTCTATACCTGGCTGTCATGCTTGACATGCCGGGGTGTCCTCAGAGAGCAAGGTCCAAGATACATCGACATTGGCGGGTGGGCCCGTCCGCAAATAAGGCAGGGGATCAAAAGGCTGGCTGGGGCTCTCAACAGCTGCTTGTTGAGGAGCGACCCACGGCAGGCCAGAAGACTCTCGACGTGCCTGGAGGCACGAGCAGTCAATTCCGCACATGGAAATTCCGAGTCTATTACCTCTTCCTGGGGAGACCAGTTCCCAAGCATATTGTACTGTACATGTCCAGCGCCAGCCGGTTTTGCGGCCGCCACAGACTGTCTATTCCCAAGCCGGCTCCCCCCCAGTGCACGCAAGCCTTGTTGTACACGGCCCAAGGAGCCACGGCATGCCTCTCTACATGTGCTCGCATGCGGTCGTCTGAGCCACCCTCGTCGTTTGCTCTTCCTTCTACGCCTTCTTGCTCAACTCGATCCACTTGTCGGTGGAGAAGGACTTGGGCCGCTCAATCGGCGCTCCAAAGGCACGGTCCAGGATCAGCTGGGGAAGCACGCCGATAGCGCGAGAGACACCGAACAGCACCGTGTAGTAGCTGGCCTCCTTCAGGCCGTAGTACTGCAGCAGGACGCCCGAGTGAGCATCGACGTTGGGGTACGGGTTCTTGGTCTTGCCGTGCTCAGTCAGGACGCCAGGGGCAATCTTGTAGACCTGGCTGACGAGCTTGAACATGGGGTCGTTGGGCATCTTGTCTGCTCGCTTTGTTAGCGACACCCTTTTTCCTCACGTCATGGGGGAGCTAGACGCACCAAGAGCAAACTGGCGCTGGGCCATGTAGCGGGGGTCCGTCTTTCGGAGGACAGCATGGCCGTAGCCGGGAACGACTCGCCCGGCGTTGAGCGTCGACCACAGGTAGTCGGTGATGGCCTTGTCACTGAGGTCGTCGCCAACAGACTTCTTCATTTCAGTAAGCCAGTTGAGCACCTCTTGGTTGGCCAGGCCGTGCAGGGGACCGGCCAGGCCGTTGAGCCCAGCGGCCAGAGACAGGAAGGGCGAGCTGAGGGCGCTGCCGACGAGGTGGGTGGTGTGGGCGCTGACATTGCCGCCCTCGTGGTCGGTGTGGATGGTCAGGTACAAGCGCAAGAGCTCGACGAAATCCGTGTCCTTGCCGAAGCCAAGCTGATTGGCCAAGTTGAACGAGTAGTCCTTATCTTTTTGGATGGGGGCCACCTTGCCGCCCTTGAAGACGTTTTGGTAGATGCGCGAGGCAATGTTGGGCAGCTTGGCAATGAGATCCATCGAGTCCTCGAACGTGTAGCCCCAATAGTCCTTCTTGTTGATGCCCTTGGCGTAGGCCTTCGAAAAGGACGACGTGTGCTCGAGAGCGGTGACGGCCAGGGAGAACTGCGCCATGGGGTGGAGGTCGGTCGGGCAGTGGTCGATGAGTTCCTCGACAAACTTGGGAATGTCGGAGCGGGCAGCCCACTCGGCGGACAGATCGCGGACCTGCTGCTCGGTCGGCACCTCACCGGTGAGGAGCAGCCAGAAGAGGCCTGCAAAGAGCAAAGTAATTAGTCGGCGCACAGCCACGGTGTCTTGCGAGCCAGCCCTCACCTTCTGGCAGAGGCTCCTTGCCGCCGGGAGCCTTGGGCAGAAGCTCCTGGCACTCGGGGATCGTCTTGCCGCGGAATCGGATGCCCTCCTCGGCGTCGAGAACGGATCCCTCCCAGACAAGGCACTTGATGCCACGGGCACCGCCGTAGACCTGGTCGAGCGTCACCTTGTCGACGACCTTGGAGCCATGCTCTCTGCAAAAAGAGTCAGCAAGGGGAGCTTGGATGCTGGACGGGCCACCAACTTCCGGAGGGCCTTGATCTGCTCAATCTTCTCGGGCAGGATCTCGGCGAAGCGCTCCTTGAGGGTCTGGGAGGCACGTCAGCAAACGGGCAACGCACGGCCGGAGGCGCTTTGCGCGTGCTCACCTGGGTCTTGGCCGAGTAGCATCGCACGGCGGTGTTGAAGGCGGCGGACCGGCCATTGAGGGCCGGAGACCTGAGCAAGGCCCGCAGGGCCGAGTTGCTTAGTCGCGCGACGGGAGCCATTGCGAGACTGGCGGTGCCTGTGGATGGTAGAGGAGCAAATGTGGGCAGAGGACTGCGAGTGAATAGATGGTGGGAAGATTAGGGAGAGTGGAAGAGTCGGAGGGCTGGAAGGGGGGAAAAGTATCTGCTGGGGTTGCCGGGTGCGCCGAAGGGCAGTGGACGTACCGTCTGGTCTCGGGGAGGGAGAAAAATTAGCTGGAGGTGCCGGTCGATCTTGATGCTGGACCTCGGAGGCAGCGTGGGCCCTGCAGGTGGCAGACTGCAAGGTACCAGCTACCTTGCTTTGGCCGGCGACGTCGGAGCGTGCGTGTACAGGGTACGCGGATACCCGACGCCTGTTCCGGACGGAAAGCTGTGTTTCTGCTATCCGTGCCTCTGCCTAGGTACAGGTGACATGGAGGATGATGGCGGTCGCAGTCCTGCAGGGATCCTTGTCCAGGCTCTCCCCAAGGCGCCCCCGTCACGGCCAGCTGTTGTTGGCGGGAGACATGTACTGTACACCATCAAGAGCCTCATGCTCCAGCAAGGGTATCGGCCTGCGGAATGCGAACCCAGCTTGCCCTAACACCTCCGTGTATCCGCCGCAAGCGAGAGGGCCCCCATCCAGCCAATGACGGGGCAGACATTCACAGCGTTACCGATCTCGGATTCCTCTGGAAATTACTGAGCTGCTTGGTGCAAACGACAAGATCTGATAAGCTGCGGCCATTTATCACCTGGCTGTTGGCTGTTGCAGGCACAACGCCTCATGTAGGGCACTCTGCTTCGTACTACGTTCTGTGCCACGATGGGGACGACTGCGGACTGTAAATGTCGTGAAATACGGCCGAGCTCCGGGTGAGGTGGACTGTCTTGGAACAAAGGACGCACGGTAGACGCTTGTCTAGCACGTCCAGCTGGCATTAGGACCTCTGCACATTCTGTTCCATGGGGGGGCCCAACACAGAGCTGCATCTCGTTGGCAGTGGATACCTGGATGGCTGTGCAAGGATTCCCAGGAACAACGCTGCCTTCCATGATGTTTGTTCTCACCGTACTGGACGGATGGACGCCCCCTTTCGGATACCTACTTATACGGTGCTCACGCGCAATAGCTCCGCCGGCCATCGGACTGTCGTCGCGCAGCGCCCACACCGCCAGGGTTTTTCGTTGAGGCTTTTTTTTCTTTCGAGAAGAAGCTTTGCCCCAGAGTTCAGAAAAGAGCGATGCTCGCGAGATGCGGGCACGCTCGCGGCAAGCCAAAGTTTCGTGACTGATAATAATAATACGTGGTTGTTTCTGCTGCTAAGTCGGGCAGTGCTTACTAAGGTTGCCCACGAGACCACACCTCAGGCACTAATGGCAGCCTGAGGCAACAAAGCTTCTCGCGTCACGCTTTTCACTGGCCCCAGCCAGAGCCAACGCTACCCACCACCCCCAGCAACCTCCTTTTTCCACCGCACTTTTCCGCCTCGCGGTTGTTGTCCATTTCTCTCCTCGCCCACCTCCCTCTTCCATCCTCTCGACTCATCATTTCATCGACAACGCATCGCCTCGCGCTTCACCAAGGCCCCAGCTCGTATCCTCCTCCACGCTCATCTCGACGTGGCGTGTTCGTGCCGACGGGCAAACTCATAGACTCGCCCACTCCAAGCATCGTCAGCTGCCAAGGCTGCAGCACTCGGGTGACATCGTCGCGCCCGACGCCACAGTAAAAGCCCTCGCGACAGAACACATATTTAGCCACCACACGTACCTGCTCTCCCGAGCCTGGGCCATTTCGTACATCTCGCCACGACGCGCGACGCTTGCCCCTGGTGAAGAGCCACGGCCCCGTAAAAGCCCGTGTTTGCCACGGCTTGGGTCTTAGCCGGCTGTCGTTGGCGGCGTCTAGAAATCAGCCCGTTTGCTATCATTGAGGCTTTGATCTCTTGGAAGGCATCATCTCGGGCGACGAAACCTTGCCGCTTGAGCAAGGGGGCAAAAGAGAAATCAGCAACAGTTGCTGCGTTTGCCAAGTGCTAGCCGCGACCTTTTGATTTGCCCGCTCGTGTTGCCTCGGGCACCATGGCAACTGCAGTAGCAGACCTCGAGGCAGGCCTCCAGGCCATGCTCAACTTGAAACCTCCTGGGGTGTCGGGATCCCGTATCACTAGCCTGACGTCGCTGTGCGTCTCCAACATTCAGGTACGCATCGCCTCGGTCGACGATGCCCTCGTGCAAAGCGCTGATCATGACTCGATGCAGTCCGAATCCGTCCTCCTCCAAAAGATCTACACGCACTTCAAAAAGGCGCCCGGGACGCACAAGTTGGGGGTTCTCTACGTAGTGGACTCTGTGACCCGCAAGTGGCTCGAGCAAGCAAAGGCCCAAGGACAGCCAGTAAACAGCTCTGCGCAAGACGGCACGTATGCCGCTGGAGTACACCGAGTGACGGAACTCATGCCCGTGTTGATGAATGACATTCTTCAGTCCGCTCCCGACGAGCAAAAGGTACGCTCTTTTTTACATCCCATGATTGATTCCCAGGACCTCTGCCTCGTAGCAGTCACCTCGCGACCAAGCATCGTGGCCCGAAGGCTTGTGTCTCGGGCCTAGTCATGTCTGGGTCCGCCTTGCAATCGAGACATGGCACGTCTGCGCCCGCCATTCCGTTGCGCTCGCCATTGATGTTTGCGCAAGCCCGCAACTTACCGTTTGTCTGTCGTGTAGGAAAAGATCAAGAAGCTCCTCGACATCTGGGACAAGGGCCAGACCTTCCCGGCGCCTATGCTCGAATCCTATCGCCAAAAGCTGAATGCTGCTCCGCCGAGTACGTTGTCTTGGTCGAAGCCCATGCCCCGTCCCGTTTGCGAGGCAACCCGTTGGCTAACCTGGTTTGCTGTCGCAGATGCCTCGACGACTCCTCCCGGGAGCCCTCCCGCGGGAGCCCTCGCCTCGCTGCAGAATAAACACCCAGCCTCGACCGCGCCGGCGCCTCCCAACGGCTCCTCCATCCTGGAGGCGCTGGCCAATATGGCTCGCCAAAACACCGCGGCGAACCCTGGCAAGCCCGGGCCCCCGGCTGCCACAGCGTCCTATGCCGGAATGCCTCAGGCGGCCCCATCGTCGATGCCACAGCAGCAGCATCAGCAGCCGCCCTCGCACGCCCTGGCCGCGCCGCCATCGTATCCTCCCGCAGCGCAGTCTGTCCATGGCTCGTCGATGCCCTTTTCCCTGCCTCCGATGCCCGGCCAGGGTGCTCAGCCGCCCGCGATGCCCGCTGCGGCCACCAATCCATATGCTGCCCCGGCGCCCGCTCCAGGCCCTGGCGGTGTCGGCCTCGACTCCATCACACAGCAGCAGATCGTATTGATCAAAGCCCTCGCAGACCAGGGGGTGCCGTTTGACAAAATCCCGGCCTTGATCCAGAGCATGACTGGTGCCAGCAGTGCGAGCCTCCAGACGGCGTTCCAGCCTCCCGTGCCCGCGGCCCAAGGCTCGTATCCCACCGGTCAACAGCCGTGGGGCGCCGACAACGCTCGCGAACGCGGCTTCCAGGATGGCAACCGGTCTCCCAGCAGGTATCTTGGACGTTCCCGGTCCCGTTCTCCTGACCATGGCTGGGCCGCACACGGTTCTCCCCGTGGCGGGCACGACAGACTCGACTACGGCCAGCACGAAGAGCGGGAGCGCAATGGCCGCAGAGGCAACGGCTATCGCCAGCGGAGCCCCCAGGCGCGACGGGGTCGTAGCTCAACCCCGTCCTCGGAGCTTCCCAAGGTTGAGAGATGGATAGAATTCGATCCGAACATGCCGGCAGGCCACATCAAGGTCCTGAGCCGAACCCTGTTCGTGGGAGGAGTGACGTGAGTTGCCGATTTGCCTCGCATGCCCCTGACAGTTTGCTGACAACGGTCCAGTTGCACTGAGGCCGATTTACGCAACATCTTTGTTCGTTTCGGTACTGTACAGACTTGCATCGTCAACAAGGAGAAACGGCATGCCTTTGTCAAGATGCTCACCAGGAAAGACGCAATTAATGCCAAGGACAGCACCGAGGACACCAGGAACCTCGAGCTGCCTCTACGAGTAGGTTGAATTGGTCACGCTAAGCGCGGCCGACGGCTGACAAGGTCATGACAGACACGCTGGGGCGTTGGCTTTGGCCCAAGAGACTGCAGCGACTACGCGACGGGCATCAGTGTCATCCCCATCCACAAGCTGACCGAGGCCGACCGCAAGTGGATGTTGACTGCGCCCTACGGCGGAAGCGGAGGACGGCCCATTGAGAGCGGCATGTGTGTCGAGGAGCCCGACATTGAGATTGGCGCGGGAGTATCGTCCAAGGCCATCAGCCGACGAATGCAGACGGACAAGGGCGGCAGCAACGGGCCCAAGTCCACGCGAGGTCGCGACGAGGATCCGGGACGCGGACGCCGCGGCCGGGACTCAGGAGGCAACCACGGGCGTCGGGGCGACAACGGCGACAACGGCGCGAGCGGCCAACAGCCGCCAATGCCCGGATTCCCCTTTGGTATGGGCAGCCTCCCCAACGGGATTCCCAACTTCCCCGCCGGATTCTCGTATCCGGATTCTGGAGCGGGAAGCGGGATGTAGCCGCGGACAGGCATGATGGATGATACCCCGGCGTCGGTCGAGACGTCGTTCTTCTTCTTCTTCTTCTTCTTCTTCTTGCTCTTTTTCTGTTGTGCTTTTCCCTCCATCTCCTTGCGGCAGGCTTTGGGCAAAATTGGGGCGTCAACGAGGGCATAGCCGGAGGGCGTCCAGTTTATACTTGCCAGTCGGGGTCTTTTCCCCGTTCGGCCAAGGGATGTACAGTAGCTGACAGGAGGCATGGGTCACTCGGGACGGAGGGCGACTGGGCGTTGCACAGGATAGTTCCCGCGTGTGGATATACAGAGCATATCGAGGCCCTTTTTGCTGTCATCGTTGCGAAGTCGTTGGACCACGATATTGGTCAGTTTGACTTTCTCCCTGGACGTGGAATTCGGCGGTCGAGGCCACGTGTGCAGCTTTGTATTGTACATACATCGTACAGTAGCCTACAGATGTCGGGTTTCTACCAAGGGGTGCGTGGCCAATGAGGTCGTGGACCAGGTGCTGCAACTCGCACATGCATAACTACATGAAGAGCCGCAAGCATCATGGGACAAGACGAGCTGCCTACCCTGTATCCCTCGGGTTCGACTGTTGGTATGTACTGTACAACATGGACAATGTTGTTGGGAGATGAGGTAAAGCACAGGAATGACAACTGAGTTCCTCTGCCAACGCACCAGCTACACACACACTCTCTCTCTCTCTCCAAGAGCTCCTTGCGTCGGATAGATGAAGCTCGTCATGTCCCCCCGGTTCGCCGCTAGGAGGAGGCCATGCAAGTCTACGACACTCGAGTCCGTTGTTTCTTTGCCTCTGCTAAGCCGGACGGAAGCTCGAGACGAGAGATGACACTCGGTACGCTGCGGACTGGGCTCCTGGATGTCTCGATTATTTCGCATCATGGAGGCTTTTACATGTGTGTCTCTCTTGCGCTGCATCTGCGCCCTCGCATCCCGTCGCGCATGGTCTCCGTGGGCCCCGTGGGCCCCGTGAATCGGAGACCTGTTCTTGTTTTTGTTTTCTTTTTACTTTGTTTATTGTTTTGGGGAGGGGACAGTTCTTTTCTTCCCCGGCTTCCATCATCCGCCAATGCAGGGCGACGGATTGGTCATGTAGTCGAGCGGAGGCAAGAGAGAGAAAGAAGAAAGACGAGGAGACGGGAAATGAAGGTTCATGCAGTTCGATAGGTGGACGGAAATGCCCACGTTTGGCTACCCCGGCCCTCTCTTGGCATGGGGAGGCCGTGTTATGATAATCGCAGCATGGCCACCGGCCTTGCCCGGAACTGCAAAGGCTAGTTGGGACAACAACAAACAGCTTTGGGGAAATGGACGAATGCATTGGTTGGTGAGATTGTTTTTGCGCGACGGGGCATGCACGCCCTACGGTGGACTGCGCGCCGCGGGTGTCGGCTAAGACGTTTGGCTTGCATCTACTAAACCTCAAGTGACGCGGAGAGCAATGGTAGATGAGGGTTCGTTTGATCTGCGACTCTTTTCGTGAACGGGTTGCGGCGAGCAAAGACGGAGCTGCTGCTGTCCGAGGTGCAAAGGCGGGCTTCCGCCCCGTCGAGCAGCATCAACAACAAACATGATTCGTCTCCCGGCCTCGGCCGTTTTTCTCCTTGATTCGAGCGGGGAGACTGGCGGCATCTCATGCGAATCCATCTCCGTTCCCGTCGCAGTCGGGGTGTGTGAAATTGCTTCTGGACCCGGCCGGACATGGCCGCAAGCGGTTTCTGTCGCCGGCCGGGTCAGGACAAGTGTTCGGTCCCGGAAGTGTGAGCCGACTGCCGCTGCATCATGCCCGGATAGAGTGTGATAAGTACATGCGGTATTCGTATTTCATCTTGTCTCCCTTTCATCCCGGAGGTGCAGAGGGCGGGAGGGGGCAATGGTTAGAAGGCGACCGTGGACGGTTTCTGGGGATACTAAACTTTGCGTTATTTTTACTCTTTTCCAGACATGGACTCGAGTGAATGGGACTAAACGAAACAAACATGACAGCCGTGAAACGATATGCCGGGGGACTGTGTTTGGAAGACGGACTGCCATTGGCTGGGCTTGACGGATCCAGACGTATCAATGTGGGAGACGAAAGCGGGTGGCATGGATTGACAATGGCCCATCGATCCAAAAACTTGTTTCGAAGCCGCGTCTGATTCTGGTCGTTTGATCGTCCTTCTATTATTTATTCCCTCTGCTTGTTGGGGGGCACGGATGCCGACGTCTCGGAGGGACGGCCCTGATCCCTGCTGGCCCGCCGTGCTTCTTCAGCCCGGCCGTTGCTGACACCACGATTCCTGGTGAGAGGAGGCGGAAAAAGAAAAGAAAGAAAGGATAGAACGGCTCGGCGGGTGCGGGAATTTGCATGCATAGGAGATGCCGTTGAGCCGTCCAAGGTGCCGGCCGGGCCTAGCTAGCTCCGACCAGCCGACCGCCTGTTTGAGAGGTCGGAAAAGTCGGAAGCGCTTCTGGGGAGGAGGCGGAAATGCCTCGGGCATCGGGCATCGGGCAACGAGCAGTAGCGCGCTGGTGCTGCTGACCTCGGGGTTTCTTGGAGAGGACGAAAATGGCGCGCTCCTGACTGGCCACCCACCTGGCACCCACCAGCTCGCGGTGGCGGCGTCGCCGGGCGTCGAGACTGGTTCTGCTCTGGACAATCTAGGTCCCTGATCCTGGGCGGTCGAGCCGTGCTCGTCGATGACGGCAGTGGTGACGTCGGCGTCCCGGTGCCGAGACGACGGCGCACGCAACACACGACCTTATACGTCAAGGCACCGCGGGGAAGATAGCCTCACCTTGGTGTTGGGTGCTCGGACTACCCAGCTAGCTCACCTACGCGCGGTATATAGCGCCGCTTGTTGAGATGGACGGGAGCTATGATAGCCGAGCCCAGTCCAGTCGACAGTCTGGAGGCGGTCTACTTTGGCCGCCCTCCCGACTTTGACAAGTACGAATACGCGTATACAAACGTGCCGCCGCCAACCCAGATGAATAATGATCAAGCCCGGGAGAGGCCGGGCAAGGGAAAGGGAAAGGGGGGGAGGGGTGGGCGTAGGCGGGTTCGGACGGTGCCGTGTGTGCGGTTCTGTCTGCACGCCATGCCCAATCCATGGCCTTGTTCTACAGCAGAATGGCTTGCTAGCCCGTGCCAATAGTCGCTCGCCGCCGAACCCCCTAGTCTGCGTGCCGGGAGGTGGCCCGGCGGGAGACATGGCAAAGGGACGATGATGAATCAGTGACGTGCGTCTTTGGCTGCCCGTTGGGAGGTGGCGATGAATAATGCGAAAAATAAACGGGGGGGCAGAGAGGGAGAGGACGAATATCGGGACAGAAAACGGGAAGAGGGCGATGGAGAAGGGGGGGGGAGAGAGGCAGACTGGCGTCGAGATGCGTCAACAGACGGGGAGCGGCTCTCATGGGATTGACCCTTGACCGAGTCAGTCAGTCACCAGGAGCCATCTGGCCGCCCAATAGTCGTCGAGCCCAGGAAAACTAAGGCGAGGAACGAGACGCATCCCGGACCTTGACGGCCGAACAACAGAGCCGGCCGGTTTTCGGACTTGCAAGGAAAAAAGTCCCGTTTTATTCTGTTCCGCGGCTTACACGGTTTTCCCTCAACAAAGTTGTGCGTGCTATCCGGATACGGGCATTGCGTGTCGCTCAGCTGCGCAGTTTTACCCCAAGTGGTGTGCACAGACGGCCGCGGAGACGGGAATAGCGCGTATGGCCGGCGGCCGATGTGTCCGGGGGTGTAGGGTAGGCTCGCCGGCCCGTCGCACCTGGAGCGAGGCAGCATCGGCGGGAGCGCGATAACATGGAAAGGGAAGCAGGCCATTCTTTGCCGCCGGCAGCCGAAACAGGCAGCAAGGAACTAACTCGCAGTACTGTGCCATATCGGCGAAGAGCCTTTGGGGAACACCGAGGTCGGCGGTGTCACGTAGCCGGGATGGACATGACGGCGCCGAGGAACGGCTACACTCGTCCTACCAAGTAACTTTGGCTTTCAATCTTGACTCCTGTGGAGAAACGACATGGGAAAATATCCACCATGCCGGGTGATTGTTTTCCTTTTCCCGTCCCAGCTCACGCGACCACTTCTGTCCCAGGGAATGCCGTAATCAAAACAGCCCTCACACATGCACACGAGGCAAGCCGCGTCGGAAGAGACGACGACGAGATCAACTTCCCCACGGGCAGCGGCCGGAGAAAGGTCGGCATGAGCGGGCGTGCCGGGGGTGCGCCAGACGTCTCCCAGGCTGACGGCAACAGGCCGAAGAAGCGGCGAAGAGCCGAGGAGAAAGGGAACCAGACGGGGGGAAGGGTGGGAAACCGAGGGCCCAGGATCGGATGGGGAGGCCTAAGGCCAGATGAAAAAGCCGACGAAAATTTACACAGAACAATAGATAGACAAGGATGTCGATTGGCTGGCGCGAGGGTGGATTTGTCTCCTTGACAAGCGCCGTGTGTGATGATGACACGCCACGATTAAGCAGCCTCAGGGGCTTCCAGAACATGCGGCGAACTTTGAGAGGGGGGGGGGGAGACACTGCCGGAGAAGCAAGAGAACGACAAAAAAAGGCTCATTCGGATCGGAGCGAGTCGGCCACGGTGCAGGAGGCGGCGTGATGCACCTCAGCGCTTACACTTGCTGAGTGCTTTGTACGTCCATTGTCAATCTTGCTCATCCGCCTGCTCCCCATAACTTACCCGTGCTCGGGTGGTCTGGAAGGACGTGTGTATCTATGTGGGCACATGCCTGGGTGTCCTGGTGCGCGCATTTTGGACGAGGTTACCCCGAGATATGAATGCAGGCAAATTACGGAACCTACCTGCGTATCCACCCCAGGCTCGTCAACAGGCCGGCGGAGGGGCCAGAAAAAGCATGCTGTGCAGGATTTTCCTACCCTTGCTTTTTTCTTCTTCCTTCCTCTCTTCGCTGCCACGAGGAGCAATCCAGGCACCTCGAGGTGGTGCTATTACGGCCCCGTGTGG